GTAAAGTTAAACACGGATTAAATAGACATTATTCTTTATTTAAATAAAACTTACTTGAGTCTCCCCGTGACCACGGCTGCTGCAAAGCATCCGAAACTTCGGGCCGACGTTAAAAATCATTTTCAAATAAGTTTAACTAATATATCGCGTCTTAAACCGTTAAAGTGTTTTATTTAAATGTGTACTACTCGCGTAATCTATAGACAATATTTAGATATTATTCTACTTTTTAGGTTCTTACTTGCTTGAGTAAGATTACATGTGTGGTGTAAATACATTTTTATGTAGTGACTATTAATTTATGTCAATACTCGCTGATCCGGCAAACGTTTTTTTATTAGATTGACCATAAAAACCATACAAACCACCCATAAAAACTGCACTTGGGAGTTAATTATAAATTAGACTGAAAATAAATCATAGAAAAGGTATAGGGTGGCGGATGTTTTATGGATAATTTAAAAATGAATTTTTCTTTCAAACTTATTTGGGTATAACCGTTTTCGCAGAGTACGCAGCGAAACCCTCACAGATAAATATTTTCCCCGTTATTGCTATGGTCCAGCGTGATGTTTTAAGCTAAAACCTTCCCCGATAAGTTGTCTTTAAACATACCACAACTGATCTTTTAAAAGAATAATTATTTTTAAATATATTTTTTGGGTATACTGAACCGCACTAGTCATTTCCACATTTTCCGCTTATGTGCTCTTTTAGTACACCATGTCTTATAGCCTCAAGCCTTCCTCGATAAATACACTAACTAACACAAAAATATTTTTTTCAATTCGAACCAGTCAGTAGTTCCTGGGATTAGCGCGTTCAAACGAACAAATTACTCTACAGCTTTATATATTAGGTCACTTTGTAATATGCAGCCGTTGCGGCGTGCGAACTTAAATCATTCATAGATTATTCTTACGGCGTATGGGTACCGTATAATCTATAAGGGAACGCATAGTCTATAGAGGCCTATTGTAGATATTGTGCAACAGTGCAGCTGTCGGGCCGCCCTAAATAACTCCTGGCGTTTAAAAAAAGAACGACTTATTACGATTTAAATAAAGCATAAGAATTAAGTGTATCGGCGATAGATACGTGTCAGATATGAGACACACTAGTTACTAATGCATTTCGCGTTTTAAACAGTTAAGTTTTATGTTGGGCAATATTCTCACATAAATAGATAAGCAACCTATACTTGAATGTCACAGCCCTTATTTACAGCATAGGTAAAAAGGGATTAAAATATTCAAATTTACAATTAATTAAATGTGTCCATTATTAGCCACAATTCCTATTAAGACTGGTCTGTGAATCAGGACCCATTTTTTAAATAAAATTAAAATATTTGTTTACATTACTTAACACTACCTGAGTCTAGTTATAAAAAAATCTAGATCATTTTAGTATTATATTATTCTGACAGCGTGATATATCTCTAACATACAGTAGTATGCCCTTTATAGGCTACAATCTAATGTCCTCCGCAAAGGGAGAGCAGGGAAATAGGTGCAATGGTGCAGTTCTATCGGTGTATACAAAATAATAATTATTTTTGGCTTCAAGCAAATAAAATACTTCACAAATATGAATAATTGTATATATTTAAAGAGATTATGTACCTTGTAATCAAATATATTAAACAGTTTTAAAGAAATGACGGACAGATATATTAATTTAAGAGGATTAGATTTTCATTACTATGTAGTTTATTAAAAGCAACAGAGCACAGAAGTGGAAGTGGGGTTCAAGTCCTGCCCATGTCATAATTATTTATAATCTAGAATTGATTTTTAATTTAATGGTAAGTACATTTTTTTACTTCTATGCAAGTTTCTATAAAATGACTTCAGAATTGTTGAAGATTCATAATATATATGTATATAGCCACTGGCACTTAGGAGACAATAGGTCTAATTAGAGCACTAGTTCAAGTCAATTAGGTCAGATCTTTTGACGCCTTGTAATGATACTATAAGCCTGATACATATCTGTGTAACTAGAGCTGTATATATTGTACACATATATATGTTTGATTTTAATACTTTCATTACTATAAACATGGGTTTTATACCCAAATTCCATATTCCTCTCCTGTGTGCCATATTCTATGATAAAATAAATTATTTTTTGTAAGTTGCCATATTAATATAATGGTCAGTTACTTTTTTAAAATAAGAACGAATATGTAGCCAGTATCTAGTTTTATTAAACAATTCAAAGAGATCATATAAAATTTAAAATATAAATTATGAATACATAATGTTACTATGTATGTCCAAAATCAATTTAGGGTTGACTCAAAGAGATAGCTTATTAGCGAAAGCAATCCATATTTTTAGTATATATAAGTCTTGTTTGTATTTTTTCTTTTCTTTTGTGTTAATAAATACAATAAATAAGCATTCAAAGTTTTTTTCTAAGAATATCCTATAAGAGTAGTGGATCAATTAAAAGGGCAATGTACCATATCCGTGAACCAGAAATATTAGAATTAGGTCACCTGGTGCTTACACTGACATCCAACTTATGGTCGCACCCCGCACTGTACGACTGCGCAAAAATCCTTTTGCAATCACGATAACACAACGAAACTACCGGTTTTATACTGAAAGTAATCGATTGGAGGTCTTTAATGCGCACTGTTCGGACCTGTCACATGTTATAAGGTCTACCTGCAGAAGGTTTTAGAATATAAACCCTTACCTGTTTACTCCTGCTCTCGACTCCGTTGGCTTTGCCTTCTTGAACATTGGCAATGGTTTCATCACTTTTTTCACTTTTCACACCCTCCAGCGCCATGATCGAGAGCGAATTTTATTCACTACCATGCGCAGAATGTTTTTATTCGTATAAATCCACTGCGCTACATATAAATTAGAATCGAACGGTTCACTCCCAAGCAGAAAACGTCACAACAACATCACGCACCACTTACGACGGCGCACCAAGCGCGAATGAATTTTGAAAAGCGAAGCGGTGTTTCTAGCCTATGTAACAAATATTCGCCTACAATATTGACATTATTTATGTGTCAACAGTTTTCTTTGAAACATTTAATGTTATTATATACAAAAATATTATTCTATGATACGAAATCATTGAATAATTGTATTGTGACAAGGGAAATCGATATCTACTAGTAAATTGTTCTGTATAGTAAATTTAAAATTGCGATGGATTGTTGATTATGAAATTATGACATTTCTTCTTGCTTTATTTATTCCCAATTACCAAAGTTTTTTAATTTATTACGAGTCGTCTCTTTTTAAATAAGCAAAAGTGTAAAATAATTTATTTGTTTTATTTTTCAACTATATTGTATTAAGTGGCAATAAATTACAAAATTGACAGACCTAGCTTATGGCTTCCACCGATGACAGCTCTGACATAAGAAGAAGTCAGTGTTGCAAGTTAACATATTTACATTTAAAATTTCCCCGTATATAGAATATTACTAATAAAAAATGGCAACTTCAAAGTGTAAATTCTACGTAATGCGTATAACTGGGATCGTTGTTTAAACAATATTTGGATAAATGAAATTTAAGAAAAAAACATTTGAATGTATGTAAGCGATCTCTTTGAAGCAAAATATTAGTTACAATTTTATAATATCGATTAAAATGTATTAATGTCATGTTTATCATTAAAAAGTCTACAGTTGGGCTAATATTGTTTTCCATATCTCTCGTATCATTAAATGTTACATCATCAATGGAATTGTTTAGTTGAATTGAGTATGTAATTTATATCTATTTAAAGTTCTTTATCAATTACCTATGTTGATAAAAAAATATTTGCCAAAAGATTTATAGAACAAACTCCATTTTCGTACCGATCGCATGAAAATTCTATAACTTATTGTTAGTCAACAAGACGAAAACGATATCAATTTTTATCGTGGTTAATGACTAAACGCATTACGAAGTTTACATCTCCTCCATGTATGGCGCTGATAATACAACGTTTGATGAGTGATTCCTAACAAATATTATCAATAAACTGTATACAGACAGCGTAAAAAAGATTAAATAAATTTTTAATCTATAATATTATATAAAGCTGAAGAGTTTGTTTGTTAGAACGCGCTGATCTCACGAACTACTGGTTTGAATTAAAAATTATGTTTGTATTGTTTAGAGAATTTATCGAGGAAGGCTTATAGGTTATAAAATATTGCGCTGCTACTAATAGGAGCGAGGGCACATTGGGAAATGTAAAAACCGGGGAAACTTATTCATTCTCTGGGTTTCCGTTGCGTAGGCTGCGGAAACGGTTCACTATAGCCAAAAAATGCGTGTGAAAGAATAATTCCTCTTTAAATGATCAAAAAATTTTCCGCGATAGTGTATGTCTAGCTTTTAAGATTTACTTGTAAGAACGACGGGACGCAACGTCGTTAAATTTAGAAAGTCGAATATGAAACAAATTTTGATGGTCAAAATAACATAAGTCGCTGGCAAAGCTACATAATTGCATTACTGCTCTCGCGCTTTTAAAACGCAGGGCCTATTAATTATTTCTGTAGAATATACACATATATATATTAATATTTAGTACATTTTTACACTACAAACTTCTAATATTTTTCAAAATATTTTACTTGGTATAAAGTACTTAGAATACTGTGCTTTACGTGCAAGCTGCAAATTAATACCTGTCTTTACTATTTTCTTACCGCCTTCTTGCCACTGTGTCAAACGCGTCATATAAAGTCATTCAATATTTTCCTTAAGTGTTTTTCCTGACCGTACATATATTACGGCGATAGGTATTGAAGGAAACTGGACTCTAACGCATTCTGAGTATCTTTCATTACGCACGTCCACATTTAATATGCATTTATCTGTTAAAGTTATTTAACAAAAACAATAATTTAACAAATATTTTTTTTATTTAATTTAACAAATTCTAAGTTTAACCCAGTGTAGTGTTTTATTTAGAATACCAAAACTAAGTTTTCTGGATTACTAACTTAGTCATACTCTACCAAAATGTTGAAGCGTAAGTAAATAAATTTATTAGCAAATATATAAACAACATTAAATGTAACTTTTGATATATATACTAATGTAGAGTCGTAGTTGGAAATATTTAATCTAATATGTTTCGCGTTTCAAACAGTTAATAGTGTTTTAAATAACGTCTAAACTTTACGCAAAATATACTATATATCTAATTTAAAATACCGTGAGGTCATTATGAGTACACTTTTAATCTATAGTCTTCGTTTTGCTTACGTACTATTTATGTATTACGGATAAATGCATCAATAAATAATGCACTATGCGCTATGTTTACGTAAAGATATTTAATATGTCAAGTGAGATCGACACTTGTTAGCCTTGTATATTGATGACAATACTATATGCTTAGTAAAAATGTAATTATCGCGTCGCGTTTGTATTATATGACAAATGTAAGAATTCTAAACAAATTAAAAGCATAATGCTTTCGTTACTTCAATAGAAAATGCAATAATATGTATAGTAAGTGAAATCCTGAGAAACAGACACATAAATGTGTCTGTTTCGAGTACGATTTATTTACGAACACCAAAGTATGTACTGTATGTAAAACTGTTATGCTTTCACGGGATATGGACCCAGGACCCTTCGCAATATTATTTACATCATTTTAATATTATTTCATATGTTTGTGTCAATGTTTACTTCTGCCACAGTAATGAGATGCAATAGAAGTAATTGACCACAAGGCTGCATGGATATTATTGTATCAATAAGCGTTAACAAGTAGTACAGACGACAACTATTAAAAGTACTAAAGCTTTATTGTATTATTAGAATAATTAAACAATCTAACCAAAATAATTATTATTTAGGCGTTGTTAAATTTTGTAAAGAAACACTAGACTTAGAATCTTTAATTAATTTGATATGGATTCAAAAATACTAGACGGTTGTGTCATAAATACATTATAAATACTGTCTGTAGTTCACGCTAGTAGTACACATAAAAAAACATTAAAACGGTTAAAAACGCGAAATATATTAGTGATTTGGATGCTTTGCAGGTGCAGCTGTGGCAGCAGCACATAAGTTTAACTAATATATTTCGCGTTTTAAACCTTTAAAGTCTTTTATTCAAATGTGTACCACACTGAACTTATCCATGATATTCTTATTAACTTTGTGATCTTATTATTTTTCACACCTATGTTAGATATTGTCTGGAGAATCTGGACATTAAACGGTTATATGTTACAAAAATACATTAATTTAGTAAATAATCAGTAAATAAAACTAATATGAATGTATAAGTTCATAAATCTATACCAATATATAAACTTGAAGAGTTTGTTAGAACGCGTTAATCTCAGGAACTACGGGTTCGAATTGAATTGAATTCTTGTGTTGGTTAGAGCATTTATCGAGAAAAGCGAGAATACGAAAACCCCGCGAGAAATGTGAAAAACAGAATGGAAAATTATTCATCATAATGGGTTTCGAGGCATACGCTGCAAACACAGATCAAGATACTATGATAGATGATAGAAAAAAATATGTATCAGAGCATAATTCCTCTTTAAATGATCTAAAAAAAGTCCGCGATGTTATATGTCTATCTTATAAGATTACCTTGTAAAAACGACGGGAAGGGACGCGGCCGACGTCGTGGAAAACAGCTTAAGTTTATAAGGATAAAGTGGGTTTGCGAAAACGAATTTGGATGCCCAAAATAAATGTTCTTAGCGGACGAAGTCGCTGCAACAGCTAGTATATAATATAAATAAAAATCCAGCAATTGATAGTTTTGATTTGAAAGCTTAGATGTATCTATATCATATGTTACATATTTACGTCGGCGTTAATTACGGATGCTATCTATTTTAATATTAAAGCCATGTTGCGTATTGTGTCACTGATAAGCTGATAACCTTTTTAAGAGCTCTCAGTCATTGAGAACATCGTCTTTAGAAAACTCGTCGGCTGCCAAACAATCGTTGACGCGAACCGTGAGTTTTTTAGCGAATATTTTTAAACGTTTTTACGTAATGTGTTGCGTACATTTTAATAAGTGAATTGACCTCTGTAGTTTCGAATCAACTTCTATCATCAACAGAACTTGTCACTATTAATGTGACAAAAGTATTTATAACAACAACTAAATTATAACCAATGGCTTACCTACACGCTGATATCCGATTTCTTCTACATATCTGACGTATTTCTGCATCTATTCCACTAGTTTTTCTAGGAACGTTGGTCAAACTTTTGTGCCTTACCCGTCCGAAACTATTATATTCCCAAGGATTCCAGAGAAGGAATTCGCACTTAAAATACAATTTAAATATATATTGTATTCTTTATCACCTCATACATTCTTACCTTTATTTATTGTTTAAATGCAATAAAAGACTTTAGATAAACTGATTACAATAACTATTTTAGTCATAGGAGTTATTATTATTGTACTTGTACCTACGCAATGTAGAGATAAATGTGAATTAGAATTATTCTTCCTTTATTTTTATAATAAGAGTAGAAAAGTAATATATAATAATAGAAAAGAGTTCTATTGTAGAAGCTTTTAAAAATCTCAACAGCTAGCCGAATATACATACAATAAAATAATTAATAGACAATTTTGAATTTAGAACACACGATGTTATTCACTTGTTGTGCCATTTTATTATATCAACTAAGATCTAGATCAAGGGATCCTAATAGGCTATGATAATAAGTACGGCTAGTCAATTCCACCCCTCCATTTATAAAAATAAAACAATAAAAAGTTTAATATTTTTTTTAAGTTTAAAAATCGAAAATATTTTTTTTTTTTCCCTCCACGGGGGCACCGGCACGGGCGGTGGTGGGGGGTGGCCCCCCCCCCTGGGGGGGCGGCGCCAAAAAAAATTTTTTTTTTTGTTGTTTAAACCGGCCCCCCCCCCCGGAACCCCCCCCCCCCCCCTTTTTTTTTTTAAATTTTGCGTTTTTCCAGTATCACTGCAAGAAGCAATGAAGATCGGCTTTATTGGTGGCGGTCGCTTGGCCTTTGCCCTCGCAAACGGTTTTATATCAGCTGGTAAGTAATTTTTTAATTATTTCTAGCATTATTCCCTTCATGAACCTTAACTTAAAAGCTTCGAGCAATATCGTAAACTCAAATGTAGCCTTTTTACTTATTTAATACTTATAAACTTCTGACTACTGACCACAAGACCCAAACAAAATATCAACTTATGATAGCTATTAATGTTTTCAGGATTAGCGAAGCCCGATGAGATCACAGCAAGTGTCCACCCATCAGATTTAGCAAGTGCAGAAGCGTTTAAGGTATAAAATACGAAATGTATAGTACATATTTATAAGCCTTCTTTTCTTTCGATCTAAAAACATTCCAGTCCGGAGTACCGGTCTTCTCTCGCATATGCGAGTATCGGCGGATCCAAGAGAGGAGTCTCTCTGAGCTGGTCCATGTCTTAGGTGGACCACTAATTAAACATAATGATTGTTTAAAAATCGAAAATAAATTGAAAAAATTTTCGACTCGGCAGGACTTGAACCGGCATCGTCAGCTTTCCGTGCTGTTGCTCTACCAATTGAGCTACCGAGTCTCGAGATATAGTGCCTTCATGTGCAATAACATGTGAAAAATATTAATGTTTTCAAACATAATAATTGTTTTAACAAGTTATGATGTGTACTGTTTCTGTTTCAAGTTCATTTTTTTTTTCGGGGCCAACTGTGGTATACTCTCATTAATAAAATATTTTATTTTAACTTATATCTATAGTTATCAAAATTCAATTATAGGAGGGTTTTAATACAGCAGCGTGGCGAGTAAGTGTAAGTAAATGTTAGTGTTAATAACCGGGATTGACGGCTTAACAAGGTCTTCGAGGCAATCATATTAACATTTATATGTATCATCATTATATTTTATAAGTAAAAGCCCGTTTTCCACTCGTGGGGCATGGGGCGAACATATTTCTGTGTCCGTTTCACTGATCCGTTATTTTAACGGGCTTTTGAGCAGACTTCTGTGCCCTGCCCGACCGAAACAATGTTATATTTCCCTGGGATTCGAACCCAGTACCTCTCGCGCTTAACGGAATGCTAGGCAATACGTTTAACTATTTGGCTACAGAGGCGGTCTGTAGCCAGCGCGTGTGGAGGCATTATATTGACTAAATGCAATTTACATTTCTATAGGGATTAGGAGCAACAGCCATCTTTGAAAATAAACCAGTTGTGGAGAAGTCTGAAGTTGTCATAGTATCAGTGAAGCCAGATGTCGTTGGTCCAGTGCTGCGCGAAGTAAAGGATCTTCAAGCTTCAAAAAACAAGTTGTTTATTTCAGTCGCAATGGGTGTTTCTACGTCTAGTATAGAGAAGGTAATTACAAAATTGTATTTCGTGGTTTATGTTTTCTTTATGATAGAGAAGGACAAGCACCCCTAGGCTTGTTGATGATAGGTGAAACACCAGCCTATAATGCATCTAAACGAGATGCTTGGGATCTATTTTGGCTTTGGATATTTGGAAATCCACCCATTCACACAGGCTTCAGACGCATCCCATTTTGAAAAATTAAATATTGGGGGGGAGGGGGTTAATACGCATACATTACACCAACGAGCCTGTTCAAACCTCTTTAATGTTTAAATAAAACACTTCAACGGTTTAAAACGCATTATTTTAGTTAAACTTATTTGAAAATGATTTTAACTTCGGCCCGACGTTTTGGATGCTTTGCAGCAGCCGTGGTCACCGGGAGACCCCCCGTTTTATTTAAATGTGTACTACTCGCATAAACTATAGACAGTATCTCTTTAATGTTTTTTTTAATAAATTTAAAATGATTTCAGGCCCTACCTCCTGAAGCAAGAGTGATAAGAGTCATGCCAAATACCCCAGCGCTAGTGAAACAGGGAGCGGCTGCCTTCAGCAGAGGTTCGCGGGCTACAGCTGATGATGCAAAGTTGACTACTGAACTTTTCAAAGCAGTTGGTACTTGCGATGAAGTTCCAGAGTATCAAATGAATGCTGTAACTGCACTTAGTGGCAGTGGACCTGCTTATGTATGTGATTATTTATTTGGTAATTCTAAATTATTTAATAACGGTTTTTATCTCTGTGTAACATAATTACGCAATAATCTAGAAGACAGATAAGATATAAGTATCTATTGACAAAGATAATCCCTAATAAGGACACCTTTCCATTGCTTTGTGTAAGATTTATTTTCGTATTCTCAAAGTAAAACTCCCGGTAAGAAATCGATTGTTCTAGGTGTATATGCTAATAGAATCTCTTGCCGATGGCGGTGTGAGATGTGGGTTACCAAGAGATTTGGCACTCCGGTTAGCCACACAAACAACTCTTGGAGCTGCGTCGATGCTTAAAAACGGCGGCCATCCGGCTGCTATGAAGGATAATGTCACGTCACCAGCTGGTTCAACAGCGGAAGGGACTTACCATTTGGAACAAAATGGTATTTTTGACAAAATAAAATCATTCGTGAATGTTACGTGTTTATTTTATATGCGCGAATTAACATTTCAATTTACTTTCTGTTTTAGGTTTTCGATCAGCCATCATTGGTGCAGTGATGGCAGCAGCTAATAGGTGTAAAGTGGTAAATGAAACCCTGAACAAGTAGAAGAATTTAAAAATCCAGTTATTCGGTATAAATATGGGAGTTTGTCAAACTTTCTACAAGATTATAATATATTTTGTTCACTACAAGTTCTTTTTTTGCCTTTCGGTATTCCGAGATTTTATTATTTACATTTCAAAGACAAAATAATAATAATAATATTATTATTATTATTCCGAGATTTTATTATTTACATTTCATAGACAAAATAAGCTAACATAAAATTTAAATAAATACGAAACTAACGAGACACAAGATGTGGACAACAGCTCCTTAGTCGGGCAACATTTGTCAATCGCCTGCTGTCAAAAATTTTGACATAAGTAGTTCCTGTTGACATATATATGTCAATTGTCTAGCAAAATTAGTTGCCATACCAACAGTATTCACAACTTCCTTGGGACATTTCAAAATTAAGTTAACACTTTTCTTTAATTCAATTATTATTTAAAATTCGGTTTTTTTAATCTAAGTTCATGCTTTAATAAATTATTTTAAATTTTGAATTACTATAGTCCATTATTGGTTTCAATCAGTTACTTTATCATTTTTATTGACTAATTATAATCTCTTTTTTGTTGGATAATGGCAAGCTTATAGTGGCAACATACGAATACGAATTTGAAAAATAGGCAGATAAACCTTTCGCCTTGTGAATTTCCAATTTGTGTACGAAATTTGATTTAGAGCATTTATTTAATAATATTAAAATCGTGTGATTTATATAGTGCTTAAGTTAAGTGACAGCGAACTCGCGCACCATATTACTACGTCCACTTGGTTAAATCGTCAACTATGATTTGTTGTTCCGCCCGGTTTTTTTTGCTAGTTCAGTGTTGAACAAGTTGCTATGCGGTTCTGTTCACTTCGAAGTCGCTTCAGATGAATTGTATTATCAATCCATTCTGTTGTCGTCGTGTAGTTCCTATTTCGTCGGATCTGACCTCAGTTTTAAGTAAGAATTCTCGACCCACGCCGCGTAATAAAGCCTCCTACGCGCTACTAAGGAATTAATTACGTGTTTCGACTAAAAAACGATAGAATGCGAACAAAACTAGACGAATCTAAGACACTTTCGAAGAATTTCACTGTGTACGTTCGTTTTTGAGTTCGTGTGTGCCGTGTAGTGTTGTGGAATTTGTGCCGTACATTTTTTCGTGAGTACTTTAAAGCCTTACTAGACTTACAGATTTTATAATGTTGTCAAGGTTAAAACGCACTTTTAAGGAGCTGGCTGCTCAATATTGGAACAGATGGCATTAAATGCAGTTAATTAACATTTACCTTAACAAAAACTTATACTTAAATAAGTTGTACTTTGCCTTTTTTAAGATATTTTTTTTATCTAGAGTATTGTGTAAATTTGATGCTTATGTTATAAAGATAGATCATATTAGCAGACAATTCTTTTCAGACTAAAATCATAGTGGATTCCAACAAGATGACTTCATTACGGTGAACTAAATATAGTTTGGATACTTACAGATTATTTGTAATCAAAATAAAGAAATCATCAACCCTTTTATGTTACAAAGTGAGAATGGATGAGAGTGATGTTATAATTTCTTCCACGGAGATATTAAAAGGTAATATTTCTTATAAGTTTTTAATACCTTAAAGTAAGAAATGTATATAATGCTAGCTGTGCCCGCGACTTCGTTCGCATGGAATAATGACTTGGGGTAGAATTTTTAATTAATATCTGTTAAAATCCATTCAGTAGTTTTGGTGTGAAAGAGTAACAGACAGCAGACAGAGTTACTTTTGCATTTATAATATTAGTAAGGATATATGGTTCTCTGTCGGACCTCAGAATAAATTTATTTATATACACAGCAATTTATTAAATTCAAAAATGATTGTATTAAAATATTATACTTTTTAACAGCAACATATGAAAAAACCTTTAAAGTATTATACATATCAGATAACTAAAATTAAGTTTCTAAAAATTATAAAAATGCAATACAGACATGAATTCAGTTGTAATTGTAACAATAATAGTATGTTATGAGATGACAATTATATACAAACATTATTATAATCAGGGGTATCTTAGAATGATAAGAAATATATACCATTAAGTACTGAACTTGTAAAATGAGAGAACTATTATTAGTATGAGTCTGATCACAAAGTTGTTAGGAATAAAATCTGTTAGTAACATAGAGTCAAGCTTGATTGGCTTTAATGTATAAGGAGATGTAGGACTTCTTTCTATATTTATCATCATAATTGTTGTATGTACAGTTTCTTTAAATACAGCTGCCTTCATCTATATGGCTCATTGCAAGTAATTCTCGAGTTTTCCATCTTTAATTCGGTGACACTCAAGAGTTTCAAGTTGTATACAGAAGCTGTTTATATGAGATATTTATGGTACAATTTAGTATTCATAAACCAAACGGCAATTCGTAGGTGGCATATTAAATTGCTCTTAAAGATATACTCTGTATTTACGGTATGACATCAACACCAACAAAGGCAATTACATCAGTGCACTTGACAGTTACAAAGCTTCTATGTGGCCTTCGTGTTTTATGTAATCTGTTACAAATTGTTAGGAAGGTTTTTGTTAAGCGTTTTTTCTATACCCATTCTATTAATTTGTTTAACCGTCATTTGAATGGTTATTTATGCAAGCAACTGTTTTGGCCACCAAGTTAGCTTCATTTCATATTAATACAGGCTGAAATAATCCTAGTAAAAAATTACAGACAACCAAATTAAATCCTTTAAATAAAACACTTTAACGGTTTAAAACGCGATAAGTATTAGTCTCCCCGTGACCACGGCAGCTGCAAAGCATCCGAAACGTTGGGCCGAAGTTTAAGTAATATATCGCGTTTTAAAGCGTTAGTGTTTTATTTAAATGTGTGCTACTCGCGTAAACTATAGACAGTATTAAATTAAATCTTCTTATTAAATCACTAGCTATGCCAGCGAATTCGTCCGCGAGAAATAAGTAGTTATTTTGGACACCACATTTATTTTGTAAGAAACCTCCTCAGTTTTATAATTTATAGGTGTTCCCGACGCTTCCCGTTGCTCTTGGGAGTTAATCTTAAAACCTAGATATACCACCGTGGACAATTTTCGCAGCGAACGCAACGGAAGCTCTCAGATTTTCCACATTTTCCTAAAGCCTTCCTCGATATATAGTTTAACAAACACAAAATTATTTTTCAATTCGAACCAGTAGTTCCTGAGGTTAACGCAAACAAACAAACTCTTCACCTGTATATATTAGTGTAGATATTATCTGCCTGAAACTAAATGAGTAATTTAACGTGCTGTTGTAAATGAACGCCTTTCAAATGTTGATGAAGTGACAAACATTTTCGCATTAAAACTTTTATTACGACTTCTTAATTATTGCTCTAACCGTCCCAAGTTATACTAAGGCACACGCAACATCGTGTTTACAAAGTTGAAACCTTTATTATTGAGATAAGTTTGCTATTCAATAACACGTAACTAACTGTATATTGAATCAAAGTATACAAATATATTTCGGTAATATTTAGTTAACTTCGATCTAAATACTGTCTGTAGTTTACGCGAGTAGTACACATTTAAATAAAACACTTGAACGGTTTAAAACGCGATGCATATTAGTCAAACTTATTTGAAAATTATTTTTAACTTCGCGCCCGACGTTTCGAATGCCTCGCAGCAGCGGTCACGGGGAGACTAAAGATGGAGGATGGCTAAAATAAAAATAATTCTCACATAAGTTTAACTAATATACATCGTGTTTTAAACCGTTAGTGTTTTATTTAACTTTGATTTGTTAATTTAAGACCATACGAAGTAGTAAATACAACTCATTAATAACTATTTGTGCGCGCGTCTTCGTCCGTGTAGAGTAGTTATTTTGGACATCAAAATGTATTCAACCTCATTTTCGTAAAATATAGCTGTTGTACCCACGACGTGGTCCCCGGCCCGTCGGTCTTGAAAGTTAATCAAAAAACTTGGTATATTTAAATAAAACACTTTAACGGTTTAAAACGCGATGTATTAGTTAAACTTATTTGAAAATGATTTTTAACTTCGCGCCCGACGTTTCGGATGCTTTGCAGCAGCCGTCTCCCCGTGACCACGGCTGCTGCAAAGCATCTTCTGTTTATAATATAGAGCCGCCCCTGGGACCCAATGGTTAAACCTAACATTGCTTTAAGCATTCCTGGCCTCTAATTCCGGAGTTAAACATAATTTCAATGAGACATAGAGTCCGTTTGACTATCATCAGAATATACTTGTACATGTTTATTGAAACTATATTATTGCACATCATACATTCAAAATTGTTATATAATATTTGGATAGTATGAGCAAATTTGTGGAACTAGCTCCACGGGTGAGCTTTGTAGACGCTAAGGTCGTGGGTTCGACTCTCGTCCGTGCCATCGAATATTTTCACTCTTAACTTTGTTTTATTATATTTCGTTATGACATTACATTACACGATCTGAGTGAAATATTGCACTTTTTTTTATAATACCAACCCGGGCATATAATATAATATATCAAGACGAAATCCAATGTTTCACAAACACTATAAATTGATTAGAAAAATTTTGAACCCACGACCCGTTGATTGTTTCGTATATAGCTACTACTACACCAACAAGCCCGTCTTTTAAAAGCATGTACTTTTTATAGGTCGCCTCTGCAGCCAAACGGTTAAACGTATTGCCTACCATTGTGTTAAGCGCGAGAGGTCATGGGTTCGAATACCAGGGAAACATAAAATTGTTTCGGCACAGAAGTCTGATCAACTACTTGCCCGGTAAAAGAACGGATCAGCGAAACGGACACAGAAATGTGTTCGCCCCATGCCCCACGAGGGTGAAACGGGCTTTCACACACACTTTTTTATATACAACACTGCCTATGACGTCGTTTTGAATTTGCAACATGCAAACATTCGTTTTCTTACCGTCTTTCAAATGTTAAACAGCTATAAAAAAACTCTAACTGCACTAACCCCGCTAATTTGCATTTTGCCTATAAACCTATGTTCTAAAATAGCCATCACTTCCTTTTCGGCTTCAGCGCATGCAATGAACGTGCGGGGCAAGTGACAGCCGTACCCTTGGACGTTACGTATGGCCCAAGGACGAGCGGAAAAAATATTTGCATATTTGCATTACGCCGCACTAAATATGCAAATTATTTTTCTTTGCGTGGTGTACGGTTATCTTTTATCGAAAGCTCGGTAATGGTCTGGAGTGAGCTTATCGTAATATTTTGATAAGGATCTTTACACAAAAACGCTCAAACCGGAATATTTCATGTATCTAAGCTAACGACATGGGACGAGTCCCGTCGTTATTGCTAATCTCAAAATACAGACGTATAGTGTCGCGGACATTTTTAGATCATTTAAAGAGAAATCATTATTTTCTATATATTTTTTTGGTATCTTGAACCGTTTTCTCAGCGTACGCATCGGAATCCCACAAAGATGAATTTCCCCGTTTTTTCCAAATTATCCGCTGTTTCTTTGCTCCTATTAGACACGGCGAGGTGTTTAATAGCCTATAGTCTTCCTAGATAAACAGTCTACCTAACACAATAAGAATTTTTCAACTCGAGCCAGTACTTATTGTAATTTTTCACATTTTCCGCTGTTTCTTCTCTCATAATAGACACAGCGCGATGTTTTATATATTTTCAATTTGAAACAGTAGTTTCTGATATTAGCGTGTTCAAACAAACAAACAAACTCTTCAGCTTTATATATTAGTATAGATTATGAATTACAATAATACTGCACGTTGCAACTTAACGCTGGTAGCCGCCACAGGCTATAAAACAACGGTAACAGCATTTTATGGTTGTGGCTTGTACAGGATCTCGAATCAAATTTTAAAATGTTTTAAAAGCATAAGTAAATGCAACAGTGACACGGGAAGCCACGATCAATGTCAAACATCCGATACACAGTGTAAACTCTATATAACGTCATTTTATAGAGATGTGTCGTTATAGGGAGAGATGAAAATTTGAATTGGAGAGTTTAAGTATAATTCAGACTAGTAAATAGAGAGTTTGTCGTTAAACCGTGTGGTGTTGTTACATGAAGGCGATTATTTAGATTGTATTTACATTAGTATATCGTGTATAATGGGAAAAGTTCAAACTGTATGTTCAAATACACTTTGTAACTCTATCTTAAATCATTTCTTACGCTGAAAATAAAATAAAATTAGACCTTGATATGTAAGTTGAAATTTCCCTTCGCGCACCGATGCTTGTATAAATGGGTTGAACAAATTCGATGAGAACGAACTTGCTCTAAAATTCTGTAATAATAATAGCTATTCCTTCAGCAATAATAGAATAATTTCTTAATTTTTAATTTCATAGTTCTGCTGCAGTCGTGGTCACGGGGGGATATAGCATACGAAACATCAGTACTAATCAAATTTAAGTTTGACTAAATTTTTCGCGTTTTATTAGGCTCGTTAGTCTAATATATGTATCAACGGGTCGGGGGTTCGATCCCCACCGGATACATGTTTCTCATTTGTTATTTTATATTTTTCTAAAACACGTTGGACTTTGTCTGTATATCTGGGTATTGAATGAACCACACCGTGACCAAAGCCGTGAAGTTTAATCTCGTTTCGGTTTCAGTTTGTAGATTTCCGAATATCCAAATCCAAAATAGGTCGACAGCGGAGTATTTTGTCAAGATATTATGTGTCCCTGTCCTCCGTCATAAAGAAAACCGTTAAATGCGCTATATGTTAGAATTTAATACGTTTTTCATTGTTTTCGAAGCTTTTATAGCCAAATTCTTATGACTTAAAGCCTAAAGTACCCTTGCACGTAAATATTATACTTATATAAGGCAATATAATTACCACTTAACTGGTGCAGGGTTATCCATCACGTGGTTGTTCAGGGCTTTAATTAACAATTGATCAGTTTCTTTGCCTTGAAGTGTGGGGTGGCGAGTTTGTATAGCGCTTTTGGCATCGTTGCCATCACTTTCAAGGTCTTGCGCCACTTAAAGTTGTTCAAACATCTTTACATAGCTAATGTATACTAATATTATAGGCTGAAGAGTTTGTTTGTTTGAACGAGCTAATCTCAGGAACTACGGGTTCAAATTGAAAAGTTCTTTTTGTTTTAAAAATCGAAAATAAATTGAACTTGAACCGGCATCGTCAGCGTTCCGTGCTGTTGCTCTATCAATTGAGCTACCGAGTCCTATTCATCGAATTTTTCAACTTATTGATTCATGCACCTCTCGTGCAATGTTTTTTTACAACCTTACTGTAACCTTAACACTTGCTAATACGGTTGAAATTACATTGCCCGAATTGAAAGTTTTTTTCATTGAAAAAAATAATTAAGTTTACAAAAAATATTTTCGTGTTGGTTAGAGCATTTATCAAAGAAAGCTTTCTTATATATATATATATATATGCTTCCAAAAACATCGAGTTGTGACTAATAGGAGCGAAGAGGCAGCAGGAAATGTGAAAACAAAAGGGACAAATATTTACGTCGTGGCTTTAATATATAAAGATGAAGGAGGCTTGCAAATACATTTTTTTTATAAAACGCTTTAACGGTTTAAAACAAGATATATATTTGTTAAACTTATAATTAACTTCGGTCCGAGGTTTCGGATGCTTTGCAGCAGGCCTGGCCCTACGATAGCTACGCCACTGACCCCCCATCTCAGCTGGACATTACCAGCTTTGTAATGTGTTTCTAAAAGCATGTAGGTATACGTGTGTTATTTAAACTTTGTAACATTTGTACGTATCTTATATAGCTTTCACATATAATCTATCCCAAACTATATATTTAGTTTATAACCACGTATCCCAACTTTAGGGATCCCTCATGGCATAAGTTATCCTTCCCTCCTTATCTTCGTTGCCTCAATCACGGATGGCAGATGTTTCATGTTCAGTCCTATCTTGACATTTAATATTATTTCTTGATCCAGTTGTCACAGAATATAAGTATACTAGCTATGTCTGCAACTTCGTCCGTGTAGAATAGATATTTTGGGCATCTAAATTTGCTTTTGCAAACCTCCTGTTCAACTCTATAAATTTAAGCTGTTCTTGCAAGTTAATCTTAAAAGAAAGGCATATAGTGTCGCGGATATTTTTATAGATTATTTAAAGAGGAATCATTCTTTTATACATATTGTTTGGGTATCTTGAACGGTTTTCGCATTGTACGCATTGGAACCCCACAAAGATGAATACATTTTTCCGTTTTTTCACATTTCTCGCTGTATCTTATCTTCGCTTGTTGTCCTCGATAAACACCCTAACCAAAACAAAATTCTCTTCCCATTCGAACCCGTAGTTCCTGAGATAAGCGCTTTCACATAAACAAACTCTTTAGCTTTATATATTAAGTAGTATAGATTATGAATTTTTTGTCCTTGTATTATATGGTCAGCAATTTCTCGTAGTCCACCTTGTTGACAACGGATTTTTTTATGCATGTTCCAATTACGATGGTCAGCCATTATTAATGGAATTCAGCAAACGAAGATTCGTTCCCAATTTAGCGTTTCGCCAATCCGCTGTGAAGAATTTTGCAGTCGCTTCAATTTATTCACATACAACGTTCGATTCGTAAACCGATTCAATATTACGTAAAATAAAAATTACTACTCTCTGTAGTTAACGCGAGTAGTACACGTGTAAATAAAACACTTTAACGGTTTAAAACGCGTTATATTAATATACATGTGTGAAAATTATGTTATATAACTACGAAACTCCCGGTGACCACGGCCGCTGCAAAGCATCCGAAACGTCGGGCCGAAGTTTAAAATAATTTTCAAATAAAACTAAGTAATATATATCGCGTTTTAAGCCTACAGTGTTTTATTTATATAATAAAAATAGCCAATACAACATCTACAAACTATACCTATACGTATAATGTGTTTGTGCATGGTATTTAAGTTTAGTAGAAATTAAATTAAATGAGTTATTAATGATTTTGCTAATTTATGTGAGGTAATCTTGTCTTAATTTGTCAAAAAAGTACGTACCTAATATACTAATTATATTTATAACTTCTCTTGTTGGCACGTGGCAAATACATTTTGTGTCCGTTTTACTGATCGATTATAATTTAGTAGGACTCGATCATTTAAATAAAACACTTTAACGGTTTAAAACGCGATATATTAGTTAAACTTATTTGAAAATGATTTTTAACTTCGGCCCGACGTTTCGGATGCTTTGCAGCAGCCGTAGTCACGGGGAGACATAGAGGTCATCGTAATATATCGCGTTTTAAACCGTTAAAGTGTTTTATTTAAATGTGTACTACTCGCGTAAACTATAGACAGTATTTAGGACTTGATCAGTTACTCTCTGTCTGTTTACCCGAGTAGAAAACACTTAAATAAGACACTTTGACGGTTTATAACGTGAAAATATTAGTCAACTTCAACCGTTCATGAGACGTCTGTGCCCTGCCCGATCGAAACAATCTATTGTTTACCCGGGATTCGCACGTAACGTTATTCTAGGAAACTCGTATAACCAATGTTTTGGAGAAGCGTCCTCTTTTGGGTAGTCGGTTAAAATACTTAAGAACCCTTCCAGGTCGAAATAAAAGTCTAAGCTTAGGAAGCTATTAATGCTTATAACGTCTAGGCGGAGCTAGTAACAAAAAGAATTGCCGCGGAACATGCGAGAGAACTTTTTTCAATTCATTTTTAGTGTTTCATGCATGAGGAAATTATTGAAATTCACCTACTTTCCATCTATATCTATACATATATATATTGCTGAACAGTTCGTTCGTTTGAACGCGCTTATGACTGGTTCGAATTGAAAAATGATTTTGTGTCGGTTAGAGCATTTATCGATGAAGGCGAAGAAACGACGAGAAATTTGGAAAAAGCGGGGAAAATTATTAATTATTGCCGTTTGGGTTTCCGTTGCGTACGATGCGAAAACGGTTTAAGATACCTATGAAATAGTGATGCCTCTCTCTCTCTCTCTAAACATGTCGCATATAAAATATTTGCGACATGTCTATCTTTTAAGACCTTCAGCTTTATATAATTAAGCGTGGGTAACAGCTTAATTATATAAAGCTGAAGGTCTTTTATGCCCAAAATGACTACTCTACCCGAACGAAGTCGGTGACACAACTGCTCTATAAGATTAGTTACTTCTATATAGTTTTCGCTGGGGAAATTAATAATCTAACGATTAGCTACTATATTCTTGTATATGACATACATTATGCGATCCATAATGGCGAGTTCAAAGATATGAATAAAACTGCAGCGTCCGTTTATAATTAAATGAATTAAATATGCAATATATGTGCGGGGAATATTCGCGGACGTATTGTGCCTTTGTTCTGCTGCTCAGCTTTCTTTGGTTTGATTAGATTGGTTTAGTGGCGTACCAGATCACAGGGACTCCGGTTTGACTCCTACGTAATAAATAGCATGCATGGTTCACTTGATGGTAGGTGAAATACCCAGCCTATAGCATCTAAATAAGTTGTGCTGTCTACCTATTGGCTTTGGATAATCGGAAATCTACAGACTGAAACCGAAACGTGAAAAATCTTCACGGCTTTTTCATCTGTGGACGGTGGTTTGTGACCCAAAAAAAAATCCAGATTACCAGACGAAGTCCAACATGTTTCAGAAAGAAAGAAATAAGAAACACGTCGGGCCCGGTTGGGATCCAACGACCCGTTGATTATGGCTAACATTGCTTACACCAACGACCCCGTGAAATTAAAGCATCCATCTTTTCCAGATAGATTATACTTCGCCACCCTTAAAACCGGATACAAGCCGAAACCCACACGCAACAGTAAATATTTCCACATCGAAGATGAGATCGTCTACGAGAATTTCTACTTCGACTTTGGACCTTATCACCTGTGCCATTTGTATCAATTTTGCAACAAGCTCAACGAAGAGCTGGAGAGAAATCCCAAGAAGAAAATCGTCTTCTACACCAGCAACAATGAGACGCTTAGGCTTAACGCCGCGTACCTCATTGGGAGTTATCAGGTACCTTTACCCACCAGCTCTACCTTCCTTCCAATGCATCAGTTTATTGGTATTGGGTATTCATTCACTGCTTTTAATACACGTTTAAACAGATTAAAACCTGCACCTTTTAAAATTTATTTTGTTTCTGTTATAATTCGCGTTTTAAACTGTTTAAAAGTGTTTTTTATTTGCATAAATGCGTAAGCTATAAATGATTAATGAGGTATTTAATCTACTTATTGCATTTTACGAGATCATAGTGTATATCTTGTGTATGCTTTGAAAATTGTACAATCTTTTATAATTTTATTAAATATTCTTTTAAACTGAGCTACAAAGAAAAATATAGATCATAGTAGTTCTTTACAAAGGAAGTAATTAAAATAGTTTTATTTGCGTAACACTATTAAACAAAACAAGAAATTGATTCGTCTGTTTGTTTGATAAGACAATGTTTTAGGGGAAATATTTTACGATTTATAATTAGTGTCAGGTGTGTGTGCATTTACTTTTCTCATTAACTACTTACAAAAAAGTATCCATAACCATAACATAATAACCATATTGTAATCTTTATTAACACTTGCTTGTAAAAGAGAAATAAATATTTTTTGTAAAATTGTAATAAATAGAGATTTCGTAATTATGACGTCCCCTTCTTACGGAATCACAACAGCCAAATACTAATTATTCGTGGTGGAAATTAGATTTCGCACATCGTGGTATCATTTATGAAAAACCCTTTATCCGACTCGCGGGTCCCAAGAGACGACAGCACACTCGTGAAACAATACATGAAACTCTAAACCTTTGTTATGCTATACAGAAAATGGCGAAGCGTATTTTTAGATTTGCTCGTTTCATTGGATAATTGGCTTTGCGTGGGAATACATTGTAGAAGAATGTACCTACAACGAAATTACTTGTTATTTTGCTATGTTTTAGTGGATCTATTGTCGATTTTTACGCCCATTCGACCAAAAGATGACTGCGATATAGTAAAAAAACGGCAGGATAATTTTTTTCGCCTTGCAACGGTGGTATTGAGTGCTTTTTTATTCTACAAAATGTAGGATACTAATAATATATTTAATAAACATACTAAGTATTTCATAAGAATGTTTCTGTCTGTAGGTATGCAAGTTGCACTTTAACGGTTTAAAACGCGATATATTTGGCGTTTACATATTTTTTGGGTATTTTTTTCCGTCCGGGAACCGTTTTCGCAGCGTACGGAGAGAAACCCGCAAGGATGGATAATTTTCCCCGTTTTTCCATATTTTCGCTTACTTCGTTCCTATTAGTTGCATCGCGATGTTTTTAGCATATAGCCTTCGAATGTTCTAACCAACACAAATAGTTCCTGAGATTAGCGCGTTCAAACTAACAAACAAACAATCACTTCAGCTTTATATATTAGCATAGACTTAGCACTTAAAACGAAACGTTTCTGAAACATTATAACACAGCAAGTTACACTAGTATCAATGAACGCGCTTAACCGAGCTGAAGGGATCTGCAGCAAATTCGATTCGCGTTGTAATCTCATCGCTCGGATTGTGTTTCAAATTAATTTAGCGACCATTCAATGGCTCGAGTCTCGGATTTCAAATATAAATAGTGCTAACATTGTTTTGAAATGTAGATAACACGATTGACAGATCGTTGGTAAATGGTGGCAATTTATAATTCTTCTGAAACATGTTCGTCTGGAAATCTGGATGTTATATGGGTGGTAGGAATATAAAATACCGTCCGGGTTACAAGGATCTTTATTAATTTAAGTAAGGGCGCATTTAAGGCAGCCAATCTATGTTGTAAGATCTACTCTGCCGCAACACTCTCACATCACATCACTCCTACTCTAATTCCCACTCTCATTCCTACACTCACTCCCACTCCTATTCCCAAAAAGCCGAAGAAGAAAGTTTCATTGTTCTAGCTGCAAGAACCACGAATTTCCATACAAACTTTCATCCCCTTTTTACGTTATTAGAAATGTCATTAAAAAGTCTAATGTCCTTTCTCAGGCTCTACAATATCTGTGTACCAAATTTCATTTAAATCAGTTCAGTAGTTTCGGAGTTAAAGTCGGACAGAAAGACAGACAGACAGAGTTACATCCGCATTTATAATATTAGTATAGATTAAGGACCCCATGCTAAACAAAATCTGTTCTTTTAGTCTTATGAACGTAAAACTACTAAAAGAACTAATGATTCTAATTTTACATTTACTACCAGTTGTCAAATCAAGGGCGTAGAACGAACGAGAAGAACTGGCAAGAAACTCGCCGCCACTCTTTTTATAGCTGGGTTCAGTCTTTACGTACTTTAAGAATACAACATTTTTTTAATAGAGCGGGTTTTTCGAAACCCCAAGCATCAGTGCTTATGATAATAATGACTATTTTTATTAATTACAGATAATATATCTCGGTTCTTCCCCGGGCGCAGTGTACAAACAGTTAACGGAGGGTACCTGGACGTTACTGAACTTTCGAGATGCTTCCGGGGGTCAGGCTCTGTTCGATATCTCGTTGCTGGACGTCTTACAGGGCATAAGAGTAGCTCATGATGCTAGATTCTTCGACTTTGATCACTTTGATGCGGAACAATATTTGTTCTATGAGGTGAGTCTTCATTATCCAAGAAATGCTCCACTACCAACAGATTACGACTCTCTTCTTGTCTTATAAAAAGAAAAAAAACTGATTTAAACTGTTAAAACGAGAACTATATCTGTCCCCACTTTAAATACGTCCAGTCAAAATTGCATGTAAATTTTCTGCAAATTGGCTGATTAAAAAAAAAACAATAATCTCACTTTCCAGAAAGTGGAAAACGGTGATCTAAACTGGATTATACCGGAAAAAATGCTGGCATTCTCCGGTCCCCACCACAGGTCGCGATTGGACCGGGGCTACCCCCTCCACAGCCCCGAGCACTACCACGAGTATTTCAAGAAGTACCACGTAACCACCATAGTGAGGCTGAACAAGAAATCGTACGATGCGCGGCAGTTTACGTCGCAGGGATTTGAACATAGGGAACTGTTCTTTGTGGACGGTTCTGTGCCGTCAGACCTCATAGTCAACAGGTTTATAAGAATTTCTGAGGCCGCTAAGGGAGCGGTTGCAGTACATTGTAAAGGTTCGTAAATATAAAAGACGACAGTGTTTTGATATGAGAAGTAAGAAGAGAGCCTTTCTTGGCATAGGACATAGGCACATAGGGTTTCATTTAGCATCTAAACATGATATGCTGTCGATCTATTCTTGCCTATAGAAATCCACAGACTGAATCCGCCCTTTTCATCTGTATACGATGGCGTGTGGCGAGTTCGGATTTCGATATTTCTACCCGCATTTAATATCCAGATTTCCAGACAAAGTTCAACATGTTTCAGAAAAAATATAAATTGCTTAGAAATTGGTAAAAACCTGGTGGGGATCAAACTACGACGTTGATCATTAGCATTGCTACCACCAGAGCAACAAGTCCGTCAGAAATATGTCACAACCGTTGTCTCATATCTAATATTGTATAAGGCAAATAAATATATTAAAACGGGTTACAGCCGGCCTTGGCCGTACGGGGACACTGATAGCCTGCTACATGATGAAGCACCACGCGTTTACGGCGAGGGAAGCTATCGCCTGGCTGAGGATCTGCAGACCAGGCTCCGTTATAGGACACCAGCAGTGGTTTCTTGAAAAGTAAGTTAGTAGTTAGTCAGACTTCGGCTAAAACTCACCTATTTTATTTATTCGAACTCAGGACCTCTCATTGTTAAAGCTTTGCTTTAAATTCTTTTTTTTAAGTTTTGTGTTTAGTGACTGATATTTTGGATCACTTAAATGTTAATAATATTTAAATTGTAAAAATATAAATATGTTTCTGTTACACGATAAACTAAGTAATTTGTGAGTAGCATCACGCGTGAACTTAGTCTAATAAAAAATATCTCTATCTATAAAAACTTACAATTCGTTGGTTTCTTTTGATTGTGATATAATGTTTCCTTTTTCAGTATTCAACCTCGCATGCACGCAGAAGGCGAAGCGTACCGAAGACGTCACAACATAACCTCTCTGCCCGTATTTACAAGGGGTATCTACAGCGATCTACCCCCCGAGCCGCCAGCACCTGTTGCGCCGGCCCATGAAAAACCCGTCTCGCTACAGACTATACTACATGCGAAAAATGCTAATACTAATTCTAACAAGGTAATAGAACAATATATTCCTATTTTTTAACTTAGTCTTAATGTTTGGTTGGATTTAAACAATATTTAAAAATCTCAAATATCTTTCAGCTCGACAATGCAAACGCGTTAAACGCAAACGAGACGGACAGAGAGAACAACATAACATCAGTGATCGGAAAATACAAAACCACCACTTCCCCAATGTTGCCAGCTAAAGTATTCACACCGAAGATGAACTACATGCTCCCAACTAACAACATACGCAACGCGAACAACACAAATCTCAAACCGCAACCGCGAATAATCAACTCGACCTTGAAATCTCACTATGCGGCCAAAACCTCCACCTTCCCCCCCACACGAGGTGCCAATTCCCAAGCCAAACTCACCGGGGTAAAAGCCCAGTTCACTGGCAAAAATAGTTTCCACGGCCGAGCGAATCTCGCCAGACCCGCAAACTATACACACGGTGCCAGTCCGATCAAAACGTTCACAAGAAAAGCTATCAGCGTCACAAAAATCTCGAACGACACGAATACTACTACAACGATCAACAGCGTGACAACTACCCTCTCAGCGTTGACGGAAAACTGTCATTTGAACGGAAAAAACCGTCTACCCTCCGAGACGAATCTCAAGCCCGCCCCAAAAACCCCCGTAGCCAATACCGCGAGGAAGAAGTTGATAGTTCGCTCCAACTCCAGTTCGCGAAAGAAGCTTCCGAAGAGCGTCACAAAGAGCAGCCTCGAAGCGAGCCAGGAGCTATCTTCGAGCGACACAAATATAACGAACATTTCCGTCGATTCCTTGGACTCTCCGTTTCGGTTTAGACGGAAACGGGATAAGTCGAAGAGTCCAGAACCGATGGACACAATATCGAATTCCATAATAACAGCAGATGTAACCCCAGAGAACTACGAAGAGTCCACGAACTCGCAGGGGAACAAACTGTACAAAATAAAGGCGTTGCGAAAGAAGTGTCCCGCTTTTGGGGTCAGTTTGTTGAAGAAGGACGGCGTTCAGACGCGTTCGAGTAGTTGTGCTAGCGGTTCGACGGTACGGAAGAAATGATCTCGAGTTATCGTAGCCCGGTAGATATAGGTGCATAGCACATGTTGTAATAGTTCTAGATTGGGTACGGATGGATTATCCTTTGACAGATTTAGCTGCTGTTCTGGTGCTGGATTAATCTCACAAAACGGACTAATTTATACACTGTACTGCATAGCATTTTTCTCTCACGAAATATATTTTCCAGTTAAACTATCAAAACTAATCCCTTCGACCGATAGGTTTCTTTAGATCCGTACTGACTGACTCGCTAACCCATATAATATCAAGTTCCCTAATATAATAGACTTCAAATTTGGCATAAAAATAGAGAGTGAAAATAACCCCAAACGCTTATCTGCGCGAAAGTGGAAGTGGCTTCCAATATTTTATATTTTTAAGGGGATGCCTATTCGAAGCCTAGAGTCTAGTGGACTTGAGGCGAAATACTTTGTTCATAATTTTGGCACTTTAACAATAACTAAATTGAAAATACCGTGTTTTGATGTAAGAGTTGGGCATTCCTTTTTAGAGTATTACGTTTGTCCGCAAAATAATTAAATCTGTCATCATGTTTATATGAGCCACGCCCATAAGTAGGCGTGTCTAAGCCCAAATTGAGCCTAAATATTTGTAATAATATATATGTTGTTGAATGTCCGATGACTTCAACATTTTGTACTATAAGTAGAAGAATAAGGATTCTTTTGTTATTATTTTACACTGAATATAAATGCCCTTTATATATTCACCAAAATATGATTTTGCTTACTATCTGTAGACTAGTTTTTGATCTAAATACTTTTACTGTTTGACTATTGGCTTAGAACCATCTTTATTTACTTTCTAATAGTTTTTATTATAAATCTTTTTTCGTATTTCATAATATTTGTATGATGATATGCATTGAGTTATTATATTTAGTATGTAAGCTGAAATTATTTTTGTAAAGTTATAATTAATTATAGATTATATTAATTACCATTTTATAGCCAACACTCGTAAACATATGTTCGGTTATTTGCAATATAAAAAGTAGATCTTTCTTATTAACACACATATGGAGTAATGTTTACATTTTTTGATTTTATATATTTTTTTAGTTACATTATATGCAATTTATATTATTTTTATTGAAGAATATATAGTATGAAGACGAATTTATATTATCATATCATAAATTCACGTAAAGGCATCACATAGTGTTGCAATTATTTACCATCGGTTTCTATATCAGAATTATTTAAACCTACATTACAGATATACCAATGATTCTTACTAGATACGCTTCTGTAAGAATTCTTTATGTAGGTATAATGTAAGTATGTTCTAAATGAAATCTATGATGTGTTTACAAATTTGATGGTAAAGTATATACAAAGTAAAAAGAACTAATGATGTGTGAACACGTAAATAGATGAAGTATCAGTCTTGTCCCAAATTTGTAATGTTTAGTGAACAATCACTCTTGTAAGTGAGTGTATATCGAAATGTAACATTAGCCGAGTAAATATAAGACTGTTGTTTATGCCATTTTTAATACTTTATTCGTAGAGTTCGTGCTTACAATATTGCAACGTGTATAAGATAGTATTCATCTCGTTTTTTTTAATTATTTAACATCAATATAAGAAAATGGTCCTTTGAGCCGGATCTGATTTAGTGTTTCAGTGATATTGTAAGTACACCTCTTCACTGTTAATATTCGGACAGCTTTTAAGGTTATCATTGGATTAATAGTAAATACTACTGAAAAAACCTTGTATTGTCGCTGAATTTTTAACAGACATTATTTTGTTGTGTATGAAAACAAATGCCATGTTCTATTGCTTAATTGTGATTTCGTGATCGTATTCATTGTTATAATGTTAAAAAATAACTTCCACTAACTGCGGTGCCTGAGTTATTTTTCAAAGTATACTTTTTGCTTATCATTTTTTTACTAAGTTGTAATCAGCATTAATTTTTAAAATATTGTAATAGTTGTTTAAGAACGTGTTTTTAAGTTACAATGAGCTATTCATAAACAGGTCACAACAAATAATTATATATAACAAAAGCGCATGACAGTTTTATATTCATGAAAAATCTATTTTAGATAAAAAATTGTCGAGGGCGGGATCTAAAACCACTACCATGGCTTTCCGTGCTCTACCAACTGAGATACCTAAGTCGATAACTTGTTAATTGTCTTGTGTGAAGTCTAACTTACTTTTAATTACAATATATTGCAAATATAAAACATGCAAACATTTCACGGCCATCGTTCAGCTTATCATGTTTTCGGGCTGTTGGACCGACGTGAGCGAGAAGAGGTTCTCGACATTTGGCAATCGAGAGCGGACGGCATCATCAGGAGATAGTCCTCGATTGCTCGAATTCGAGTAGTGAGTCCTCTTCGAGCCGAAAAACCAATGAAATGCAGATTGCATGTATGTTTTAGCTTACTTTTTTCAACGACATTTTTCATTTAATACACTAATAGTAAAATAAAAAGAAAATATATCGACATTTTGTATGTGTGCCTACCACCTTACTTGCATATGAATGGCTCATCCTAGGCGTGATAAAGAGGGACTCGGGACCAGAGTATAGAGTATGAACATACCGCAATATGTTTAGATTATTTGAATTTTATATATATGTTGTGATTGAGATATTATCAGTTACTAATGCACCGTTATAGTATGTGTAAAATAACACTTAGCAATGGTGGATAAGCTTGTGCTTAATAAAAGATATATTACTATTTAGTTTGCGTTTTTTTTACATAGTCAGTGTATATCAGTGTGATTCACTATACGAGTGTACAACGAATAGCAGACTTGGAATTAAAACATTACTTTGTCTGAATTATCAATTATCTTGCATAAAAAATAACCGTTTAAAACCGCTTAATTAAAAGTTTATTTAAGACTCCGTAGAATTAAAATTTCGATACGACCTGAACACGACTCGGGGAAACTAAATGTGGGGCTGTAAAATACTGTTTACGCCAGTAGTACACATTTAAATAAAACATTTTAACGGTTAAAAACGCGATATATTTTAAATAAATTAACTAATACAATCGCGTTTTAAAGGGATACTCTTACTTAGTTGAGAGTTACGTTAGCGACCCGCACGTTAATTTGACTAACTTAGCTGCGTTCTTCAGTATATCTTGCGGTGAGGACAAGGGGGATAGCTAGTAGTGGGGCAGATTAAGAAGACAAGGAAGCTTAACCTTAACTAATTTTAGTCATCATGCGCGAAATATCCTGACCAGTATATACTTACTTACTCCGCTGGCACCCAAAGTGAGTCTTGGCCTCCTAAACTAAAATATTCTTAAAACCTTTATTTTTTTGTAAATTTAAACAAAAGAATTAAAAACAAGTGCAGAGTATAAAACATAATTTATAACAGTTCTGTAAAGCTAAAATTCAAATTCGGATACAATAACCACTAATCTCGCAACAGCACTACCCGCGAACTGTGCTCTTTGGTACAAAGACATGGTGAGTTCTAGTTCAGCTACTTGAGGTCCTGGTAGCGAGCAAAGCAGGGACACCACGCAGATGTTGCCAGTCGGCCGCATACTGGAAAGTGTTGAAAAATAAAATGAATATGGTTCCAAAAAAAACAATGGCCAAATTGTGACGACGACAGATATGGGTTATATATCAAAAAATAGGTTATTTTTTTAGGAGTCATAAAAATGTTTTTTTTTTTCCCCGAGTAGTACACATTTTAAACACTAGATAACTAATATATCGCGTTTTAAACCGTTAAAGTGTTTTATTTAAATGTGTACTACTCGCGTAAACTATAGACAGTATATAATGGTTTGTTTAGATTTGGAAAAAGGAAAATAAGATTTATCTTCTGAGTCTGTTTTTAGTATGTATTTGTATGTTGTATTTTATTTTTTCCACATATACGCATTTTTAGAAATGTTATTACTTGTCCTTTATAAATGTATACTTTATAATTGGATACATAAAACTTACTCAAAACAAGATAACTCCGCGGGTTTGACTCCCGGCGAGGCTTGAACATCGATCATGCGCATTTCAAAGCTCACAACGGAATCGTGCCAAGATGGACCGTGCATTGTGAAGAGATCGACCTGAAGAAAAAAAAATCGTGATATTGTATCGTGTACTCCATAGCGCCCCAATCACCAACGCACAGCGCGGTGGGGTTTGGGGCGGGTCATAACTTTCACATGTTAGTAGCATTGATAATATTCTGAAAATTGACGAAACTAAAAACAAGCACTTCCACAATGAAAATACAATTTTAATTACCTAATAACTTACTTGAAAACTTTTTAAAAAACAACTTTGTGAATTTACCACTTCTACTTTCTTGCCCTTGACATTTGGTTGCCTGGAAGAGATCGCTCTTTAGCGACAAGGCCGCCCTTTATTTATAAGCCAGTACATTTGTTTTTATTAATGTAAACCATTCCAGTAGAGTTTGTAAATAAAGTTATAGAATTAATAAAAATGAAATAATATAATATCTATTTTAAATTTAGGTTAAAGCTCTTAAATTATACTTCTAGCCTGTGAATTAAATGGAACAGTGAAACAGACACAAAAGTGTGTTCGTCCTTTGCCCTTATATAAAATCGTTTCCAATACACTTACGCTTCCCAACGGCAAATAGATGTTTGACACGAAGGTGATAAAGTTATAGCTGTAGGTGCTTGGCCTTTGAATGCAATCCCAGTCTGACACTAAACAGGAACGCTGAATGCGGCTGCATTTGCTGCAAATATACAACATGATAATTAACTGTTAGAAGAATACTCTGGTGACGTCATCAAGAAGACGAGATGATATGTGTAATGGCGGATGCGCATCATTTCGACGAGTTTAGTTGGGTGACTCTGTCTCGAGTGACATGTTAATCGGTTTCCATTCAAATAATTCAATGTTGCGCTATTTCGAGGCGGGATTATTTAGTTTTTGTAATTTAATTTAGTTTAGAAATGAAACCAGTTTATAATTATTGCGTTTTTTTTTACTTTCCGCTCTTGGTCTTTAAAATAAACAAAAATCCGATATTGGTGGCGATACACAATTCTCTATCCATTTCGCAATTCGATCTTTATTTACTATTAAGTAGTTGATCGGACTTCTGTGCCCTCCTAGGCCGAAACATTCATTGTGTCCCTGAGATTTTAAGCTAGGGCCTAACATAACTTAATCTACATTATCTCGATTTGCGTTCTACATTGTTTAAATAAAGTGCTAAACATATAATCACCAGTTATAGTATAAACTTATTTAACAATTTATGGGACCGTTCAGGTATTACGTAAGAACTCATGGGGGAGGGGGATGTTTTATTTTGTTATTGTTCGATACATGGGGATAGGGGAGTCCAGTTGATGATCGATATTTATTTACTTTCTGAACCAACTTCCTTATTTTAAAATTAAATATAAATACATTTTTAATGAACAAGTTTAGCTGTAATCAAAGGAGTCTTTAAGAATTTGCTTTCTTTTGTTGTCTTTATGTATGGGGGGTAAATAATTGTACTAAGTCTGTCTGACTGTTAATACTTGAACGGCCACTTAGGGATATTTAGTTAATTAATTTGAAGGTTCAAAAATTAAATTCCAGTATGTTGATTGAACAATAAGAAATTATGACGCTTTATAAAAATCTCACTTACTGTTTTCCTTCTAATTTGTATCCTGGTGGGCAGCGAATGTTGTGACAGTGGTAGCCCCCGCGCGTGTTCTGGCAAACGGAACCAGCCTCTTTACCACACTGCGCTTGACCGTTCTCACATTCATCGACATCTGTAACACGAAATAAATAAAGTAATATGTAAGAAGAAATAAGGAGGATGCATAAAAAAATAAAAAAAAAGTATAGTAAGTAAAAACATAATATGGGAACACAAAATAGACATCAGTAATAACTAAATCTAAAAGAAACCAACATTTGAAGGCACATGTAGTTAGATCACAGGTGCGGGACACCAATTTCGTTCTAAGGCATTTAAATAAAACACTTAACGGTTTAAAACGCCAAATTGTATAAAAAAACTAAATAGCAAAAACGGGCTATAGTTTTCTTTTAAATAACAAACTTTTAACGGCTTAAAACGCTGAATTGTATTGGTATAGGTGATTTTAACTACAGTTTTGATCACTGGAAAATATTGCAAATGTCGCGTTGGGCCATATTTAAATTACTTTGTAAATAAACTTAAGTAATACATTTTGCGATAACCCGTTAAACGTGTTTTATTTGAATTTGTACTTATCGCGGTCTCAAACAGTTTTACATGTAACGTTTACAGGGCCTACCTATGCAACTTCTAGCGTCGTCAGCTAGACGATATCCCGCGGGACAGGCACACCTGTAGGTTCCAGGTGTGTTCACACATCTCCCCCCACACAGGCGGCCTCTACTTCTAGATGTGCCCCATTCCGCGCATTCATCTATGTCTTCGCACGTCCTGTAAGTACACGGATATTTAGTTATTTTTATCTCGACTGTTTCTCCTTCTGTATATATGCCATTTGTTCTTGTTGGCCATGAGGCGTAAAATTTTATGCATACATTGTTAGGCTTACAAGGCGAAAATGTGGTATTACTACTGTAGTATCACAAAGTTAAAAGTAAATAAGGTACAACTTATTTTACAATAAAAAACCTCAACGGTTTAAAACGCGATATATATTAGTTAAACTTGTTTAATTTGATATTTTAACTACGGCCCGACGTTTCGGATGCTCTGCAGCAGCCGTGACCACGGGGAGACAGATAGGTAGGTATCGCATTTTGAATCGTTAGTGTTTTATTTAAATATGTTCTACTCGCGTAAACTACAGACAGTGTTACAACTTTTTACCTATTCTAAACTATTTATGTATGTTTATCTATAAATACATAAAAGTAGAACAACACACATTTTAATTGACTACACTAGTATATTAGCTAACTTATATTGTCTACGACCTGACGTTTCGGACGCTTCGTAGCAGCCGTGGTAAATAAGTTAATTGAACTAAAACCCATAAAGATGAACAATTTTCCCCGTTTTTCCACATTTCCCGCTGTTTATTCGCCCCTATTAGTCACAGCGCGATTTTATAGCCTTCCTCGATAAGTGCTAACCAACACAAAAACATATTTTCAATTCGAACCAATAGTTCCTCGGATTAGCGCGTTTAAACAAACAAACTGTTCAGCTTTGTATAATAGTCTAGATTACCTATTATCGTTTCGTAGCCGGTAACCTCTATTACAGTAGCATCGGTAACTGCCCCAAGCGTTAGCACAGGCTTGTTCGCACAAAGTCGAAGACTCCGAGCACTCGTCGACGTCGACACAAACTTTGTCATTAGACGGAGCGTTGCGGAAGCCCTCCCCACAATCGCAACGGTAGGACCCGACAGTGTTGATGCAGCGCGAGTTGTAGGAACAGGGCTGTGGAACAATTAATTATGAATCGATGGCATTGGAGGTTGCTTCAAGAATCTTAAATGGAGACAAGTAGGTATTCAAAAACTTGATAACTTTGAACTACGGTCCGATGGTACTGATTTATTGCATCTGTGGTTGGTTAAAAGTGTTTCATTTAAACCATAAGTCAAGGACACAAACGTAGTTCGAATAAGATATTTTTTAAATAACATGAACAAGAAAAAATTTCAAGAATCTGACTTTAGTATTGTTTGTAGTATACGCGAGTATTACACATTTAAATAAAACACTTTTAACGGTTTCAAACGCGGAATTAATAAGTTAAACTTATGTAGAATTTTCTTTAAACGACGGCTCGTCGTAGCGGGTGCTTTGTAGTAGTCGTGGTGACGCTACGCTGGTGCAGTTTGGCGAAAATAGCCGGTATACAAAAAAATCCGCAGCTTCACAATTTTGCCACTTGTGGCGATAGCTGGATTCTTTGCCTCGCCAATTGTGATCACTTACACTTCCATATCTACATTCATCTATATCTTCGCAGTGTTTCCCAACCAGACGGTGCCCTGCTGGGCATTGGCAAGAGTATCCACCGTAGAAGTTCTCGCACTTTTGCTCTGGACCACACTCGGACACGTTGCGTTCGCATTCATCGATATCTATAAAAATCGTATTTATTTAATAATTTGTTATTTCAACTGCCATAGCAGACGAAATCCAATGCGACAGTGGCTTAAACTAATTAATACTGTCTGTTGTTTAATATAAAGTGTTTTATTTAGATGTTTAATACTCGCGTAAACTATAGACAGTATTTAGGTATAGGTCTAATAAATATTTTTTTTGGTATTTACCTCGTTTATTCTACATTCCCCATTGTTTCTTCGTTCATATATTTATGATGATGGCGATGATGTTAAAGAGGTGATTAAATGATGTTTTATATCATTCAATCAACCTCTTTGATCTCTCAAGCTAAAACACTAATTATTCAATGCAACATGTAGTTCCTGAGGTTAGCGCAATCAAACCACTCTTCACCTTTATAATAGTAGTATAAGTAGAGAGTATAAAGCTGAAAGATCATTCGCGACACAGGCTTGCCCAACGTAAGGACTTAGGTCATTATCTGGACCATTTATGTATGGAGGAGAATGTAAATTACCTAGGCAATGTCTTTCAGAAGTCAGTTTGTACCCCCAAGGGCAGATGGCGGATATGGATCCGGTGTTTGGTTGCCTTGTGATCGTTGGTCTCATGTAGCGCTGTCCACGCCTTCCATACTGGGCACCTACAGTGATAGTATTGCTTTCAGGAAGGGAATCCGGTTCGCGAGAAGGTGGAACTAAAACAAATAACACTCTTTCGTCACGGGCTCGTTGGTGTTATGGTGAGAATGTAGGGCTAATAATCAAGGGGCAAATATTATGGAAGGTTTATCATGAATGAATTGTTTAATTTTAATAACATGACAAAAAATTTCCCCCATAATCTTACTTTCCTATTACATAAATTTTAAATTTATTTCTTTTATTATATTATTCAATGTGTTAATTGGAACCCTAAGAGGGTTAAGATGTTAGTAATGCATTTATAATTTTTCTAAAACATGACATCTACATATAACATGGGTGGCAAGAATATCGAAATTCCGTCTGTTGTTGTAGTCTGTAGATTTTTGAACATCCTTGGCCGTAATACGTTAATAGCACATTTTGATTTGATGCTTGTCTATCTTGCTCCATTAAAAAAATGTTACCCGAACTGGGTATATCTCCATGACATCTCCGCCCACAGTCACATCGATATCCACCATCAGTGTTCACGCATTCTTCCTTCGGTAAACAGTTTGCTCTGTTTGTGGCACACTCGTCAATGTCTGAAATCATATGAAGAAAAACAAGTGAATTGCGTGATTTAGAAGAATATTTATTTAGTGTTTTATGTAAGAAAACCTAAGGTTCCTAAACGTAAAAAGTAAATCAAAACAATAAAAGAACATAAAGCGTTCTTCATTAACGATTTATGGCACTAGTAAAGATACCTTTACTGTCATACATATATGCAATATCAACCGTATGTTTTAATTCCTTGTAAGCTATTCAAAACTTACCCATACAACGTCCTTGAGAGAAACTGTAGGAGTAGCCTTGATTGCACGAAGTTGTTGGTCGCCAACCACGACTGTTCGGGAGGTAATGCCAGTCGGGTGACGTTGAAGCTATTACGAAAGACATTACGTATATTATACAAAGATAGGTATCTGAATTTAACTCACAATATCCCTAAAACAGATTGTTTTAACATATCTGTTTTAAAGATAGGTTAAAAAAATCTTAGACTATAATAACGTTATGTTTATTATAAGATAAAAGAAGGCAGAGAAGCATACTGTTCACACACACACAATGATCATGTAACATCTTAACAGGATCTGCTGTCGACTTGTATTTTGGCTTCTGTGTGGTGGTCCGCGATCCAGAATTTCGATATTTTTACCACCCATTTAGTATCCAGATTTCCAAATAACGACACCTTGTTTCAGAAAAAATATAATTGATTTAAACAATGTTGGACCCGGTGGGGAGCGAACCCGCGGCCCGTTAACCATACACGATCAGAAAATGGACACTTTAAATTATGACCATCCATGACATCATTTTTGACACCTCACCATTAACCGTGTCGTTTGAAGATAAAGCTGCTGTTCTTAATCAATGTCACGAATTTGTGGTGAAATTGGATCTAAGTATAGTTGAATTAACTCGCTTTCGCAACACACCTGTAGTCACTTCAGTTTCTAAAGTAAACACAGTAGTAGAAGTTGTTGTTTGTTCAGTGGTGCTAGTGGTTCTAGGAGTTGTGGAGCTAGTGGTGACTTGTGTGGTGGTGATGGGGACACACCACCCCGAGTCATCTCTAGTAAAGCCCCGAATACACTCGCATTCATAACCGCCAGGTCTGTTTTTGCAGGTTTCAAGATTGCTGCAGATGTGGTGGCCTTCCTCACATTCATTGACGTCTGAAAATAAATTATACTTCGTTTCGATAGGTTCTATTTATTTGAAAATTTATGGATAAGTTTATCAATACTAATGAATTAAAAGAAGAATCATGTAATAACACATAAACTTAGCATAAATGATTATCGAAACGGAACTTTGATTATCGTATAGTACTCAAACACTCATCGGGTTTCAAAAGCCAAAAAGAAACTTGCCAACCACCCTTTCGTTTAATTGACACAATAATTTTGAATGCATACAACGAATAGTTCATAGATCTCCAAAAAATCTTACCAACACACTCTCCTCTTTCGTTTCGTTCAAATCCATTTAAGCAATGTACCAGATTTGGATCAAACGGTGTTTCAACAGGATCTCGGCCTATTACATTTGTCCATTTATCTTTCGGAATATCCCCAGTCTCAATATCATAAGTTCCATCTGGTGCTTTATCTTTTTCGATTACATTTATGTCTGTTGGAGCTGTAACTGTCACTTCGATAGGAGTAGTCGGTCTTCTCGGGTAGAAATGTGGTCTTCCATTATCCGGTCTTCTATTTTTGGGTGTAGTTGCTTCTGTAGTATCTTGAATATTTGGTCGATACTGTGGCCTTCTATTGTTGTTAGGAGGTTTGCTTTCTGTTGTTGTTTCCTCTGGTCTGCTGCTTGGCCTTCTATTATCTGGGACATTAGGTAATCTATTTTCTGGTCTCTCTTCAACATTATTAAAGTCACTTTCATTAGGTGTTCTAACACCATTGTTATATGGACTTTCTGGTTTAGAATCATCAATTGATTTTTCTGTAGTGCTTGTGGTCGTTCTGGAATAATATGGTCTTCTGTTTGGTCTAGGCGTTGCCCGTGGGTAATAGGGATTTCGTCGAGGAGGTTGATACGGTCTAGGGGTAGTCCCTATGGTAGTAGATGCTGTTGTTGGGCGTGGTGTTGTCGTAGATGTTGTTGTGGACGTGGACGTAGACGTGGATGTTGATGTTGAAGTAGAGGTTGATGTAGAAGATGATGAAGTTGGAGGTGAAGATTGTTTTGGCGGGGGATTATTTGTGTTTTCTTCTTCCCTAAAATTTATAACTACTTTTTAGAAAACATATATTATTAGCTATCATGTGCACTGTTAGGTATTATCTCTTTTTAAGACCTATTTTAGCGTTATATATTTGATATGTATATCTTATTTTGATATAAGAAAAAATAAAAAGCAAAATGAAAACTAAACGCTAAATTTGACTACGACCCGATGTTTCGCATGCTTTGTAGCAACCGTAGCCATAGGGGACTAGAGTGGCGTATATCGCTTTCGGATCAGTTAAAAACGTTTTCTTTTATTTACAAAATAAAAGAAAACGCAAAAAAAAATTATACTTACTCCGAATCATAGTACTCATATTCGTACAGGGGGGGTGGAGTTGTACTCGTTGTACTGACAGCACGTCGAGTGCAAGTAAAAGATCCCAATACATTCAGACAATTTAAACCTCTCTCGCAGTTATCCAGCTTTAACGCACATTCATCAACATCTGAAATAAATAAAAATCGGTGAAAAAACTTTTTTTTTTTGTGCACTGAAAATATATATATTTTTTTTAATTTTGACATAATCATCGTGTTTACTAGTGTAGCCCTTTCATTTGGAGGGGGTTAAGGAAATATAATAATCCGCCATTTTGTATCGGCGGCCATCTTAGATTTATAATGTGTATGATTTTATTATATTGTATTGTCATCGAAATCAAACGTGTATACCAAATTTCAAATCACTCTGACAACGGGGAGATGCTTAAATTAAAATTTTTAATTTTGACCCAAATAAATAAACTCCGTACGGGTAGATAAAACCCGATTAAAAACATTGGAATATTGTCATCTATATGTATACAAGACGGCAATTAGAAAGAGGCTGTATGTATACTAAATTAAAAAAGTATTTTTAATGTAGAGAGAATAGAAAAAAATATTTCAAATCACTCTTCTTCTAGCTACATGTCAGCGCTAAACATCACCATCGAAAGAACTAGAATAACCTTTTCACGAATTAGTGTCAAATGTCAAAGTACAAGAATCTTGTCTCTGATGTTCATATTATATTATTTTAAAATCAAATATTTCTTAGCAATATTAGAATTGGTTATATTTTGTTTATTAACCATTTATGATGTGAATTTAAGCTAACAAAATTACAATAACTTGATTATGAAAAGTTGTATGTTAAACATTAGTATTTTTTGCTTAATATAATTGTTCGTGTGGTAAACGGTAAATTTTATTTAATAGTACGAACCTACACAAGATCCCGACGAAGAGTCCAATTCAAAACCGTTCTTGCAGCGACACTCGTGTCCACCAAATGTGTTGATGCAATTTTGAAACTGATCACATAGATGTGTGCCTTCGCGACATTCGTCTATGTCTATAGAAAGAAATAAAAAGTACATACTTTAGAAACATTTCAATTCAACTGAAGTTCATGTTCGGGCTCGCCGGTCTAATGTTAGTAATGTATTCAGTAGTACATATATAAATAAAACACTAACGGTTTTAAACGCGAAATATAGCCGTGACTACGGCTGCTGCAAATCATGCGAAACGTCGGCCCGTATTTCAAATAATTTGTAAATAAGTTTAGGTACCTAATCCATTTCAAGATTTCAAACCGTTAAAGTGTTTTATTTTTATAATCGCCGTAATCAAGTTTCAATGATATTTTTATTATCAATTTATAATTTATTTGAAATCGTGGTTGGAATATCGAAATTTCATTCGAGGCAAAAAGAAGAGTTCACTCATGAAAATCCCGTGGAGTTTAAATGCGTTTGGTCTCAATCAACGGATCCCCAAATAGCCAAAGCCAAAATGTAGGTTGGTAGACATGACTTCTTGTTTAGATGTTATATGGCTGTATATCTTCTAACATCAAGTAAATTTTTGCTAGTCTATCCTCCTCTATTGCAAAAACATAATATTTTATATTTTTACCTTCACAAACAGTTCCACCGGGACGCACTCGAGTTCCTTCTTGGCACTTCTTGGTGGCTAATCTGCGATTAAAAATGTATTAAGCAACAGAAAAAAACATGCTGTTTATATTTATTTAAATAAAACACGTTAACGGTTTAAAACGCGATATATATATAGCAGTTAAACTTGTTTGAGAATTATTTTTAAGTACGGCCCGCCGTTCCGGATGCTTTGCAGCAGCCGTGGTCACGGGGAGACTAAAGATGGAGGATGTCTCTGACGTCAAAGTAAAAATTGCTACGCTAGCGCCATCTGTTCCGTCGAAGTTGGTATTTGGCGAAACTGGCTGGGTCCTTGCAGAATTGACTCACGGTGTCTTCGCTTTTGCCGGTATGCTGTTTTTTGGAATCCATCACTTGGTATTGCTGAATTAGACGTAATATTTCTCTAACTCATTCAGTATACTAAAGATGAATGTTAAAATTTCAAAGCTTATTTGAGTATTAAAACATTGTCATTATACTTTACTTGGGCAGTGTGGAAATCTTCGATTTGCAGTTATAAGCACCGGGTAGGTTGACACAAACTTCACTACGTTTACAAACTTCAAGGCTTTCCTCGCATTCATCTATATCTGTAAAAATGAAAATTTTCCACATGTTATTGCGCATGATGGAACTATATAAATTAAAAATCGATTATAAATTGAAAAAGATTTTGGTATAATGTAAATATGACTCGATAGCTCAATTGATTAGAGCAACAGCACGGAAAGCTGTGGATGCCGGTTCTAGTCCTGTTCCGAGTCGTGAATTTTTTCAATTGATAATTAATATGGTTATATAACACCAAACTTTACAGAAGTATTGAACCTGGTGGTAGCCCTACCTTCACAAATGCCAGTTCGAGCGTTTACTTTAAAACCTGGAGCACATCGCTTAGACACGTGGTCCTGACAGAAGTAACTGCCGTGGGTATTGATGCAGTGTTGGGAGAGATGCTGACAGTCGTCCAATCTTTCGTCACATTCATCAATATCTATAAAACGCATATTTATAATGGTGTAGATTGTAGGAGTTAATTTATGAGGGTGGGTGTTCAATCCCGATAGAGCATTTTTGTGCTGGTTAGGACTATTATAAAACATCGTGTTATAACTAATAAGAGCAATAAAACAGTAGGAAACGTGTAAAAACGGGGAAACTTTATACACTTTTGTTGGTTTCCGATGCGTACGGTGCGAAAACGGTTCAAGATATCAAAAAAAATATGTTGAAGGAATGATTCCTTTTAAAAATGATCTAAAAGGTTGTGCCGCGATACTTTATGTCTATTTTTTAAGATTAACTAGCAAGAACGACGGGACGCGACCGACCAACGTGTCGGGTAACTGTTTAAGCTTATAAACATGAAGAGGAGGTTTGGAAAAAGGAGTCTGGATGCCCCAAACTTTGCGGCGAAGTCACTGACACAGCTAGTTAAAGAATGAAATTCGGAATAATAGGTAGAGTTGAGGAGGTCCTGATCAGAAATATATATTGTCAACTGTATCAATATAATTATAGAAGAAAGAGAAATCTTACCTAAACATTCATCATCTTCCCCAGCTCTAAACCCAGGAGGACAGATGTCGTTCTTAACAGCTGGAGTCACAACAGCCTCTGTGGTAGCACCGGGATTCGCTTCTATAGCTGGTTTCCCAGGTTTACCAGCACACTTGAAACCACCTATTGTATTCTCACAAAGATACTTAGGACACGGTGGTCGTGGTAACTGGCATTCATTGATATCTAAAACAAATAAGTCATTAGCAGCAAGATTCAAAAACAAAAAAGTTAGCAGCGTCATTACAAAAATTTTCACGATCTTACCATCACATACTTGGTTAACAACATTTCTCTTGAAACCCGCTGGACAGCCAAGTCCAACTTCTCTCTTCTTCAGCGGCACACAACGAAATGATCCTTCTGTGTTATGGCATACAGTATCTGCTGCTAGGCACAAATCGTCGATCGCCTCAGCACATTCGTTTATATCTAAACATTACTTGAAACATTATTTTTACTTGTTGACCATGACCGCTGATGTACATACATAAGCTGTCGTGGCCATTAAAAAAATCAAAGTCACAAACTAGCGAGGTTCAAACCCTCGACACGATGATCCATTTTTAATTTTTGGAAAAAAAATTGACGGGCTCGATGGTGTAATGGCGTGTAATAAACGGGTCGCGAGTTCGACTCCCACCGGGTCCAACACTTTTCTAATTTATTTACGACTTCATCTGGATATTTAATGGGTGGTAAGAATATGGAAATTTCGACCAATCACGATCCACCGTCCACTGATGAATAAGCCAGGATGGTTGGATCACTTTTCGGTTTCAGTCTTTGAATTTCCGAATATCCAAAGCCAAAATAGGTTAACAGTGCATCTTGTTTAGATTTCACCTACCATGAACCTTCCCTACTCTCATTACAAAATGTTCTATAAAAATATTTATACCATAGTCATGACTAGGCAAAATGTACCTTTGCAAGATTTTTTATCAGCCTGGAGCCTGTATCCTTCATGGCACTCGCAATGAATGCGATCGTGGTCTACCTTACATATGTGATCACAGGAGTTCTTCTTGCACGTCTCTTTGGGATTCGTTTTTGGCGTGGTGATTTTCTTTGCTTCTGTCGTAGTTTCTTCTTCTGCAGCTGCCTGAAAAGATTATTTAAGTTCAGACACAACTAAATGAGGTTCCAAATATCTTCCATCATTTATTTCATTAAGTCACTCATTGTTTAAAATTCAAGTATCTACCTTTAATGTTTATTAAGTAACTATATTAACCAACTCAACATTTGGCATATTTTATATATTACACGACTCTACAAAAAAAATTTCGACGACTTTTCAACTGCAGACGTTCGTTCTCTTTCAAGTCATTTAATATCCACATTTCCAGACGAAGATTAACTTGTTTCAGTGAAATTGTAAATTAATTAGAAAAATGTTAGAACCGGTGGAAATCGAACCCACGTAGATTACTAGCCATTACTTCCATTAAATCAACGAGTGCGCCAATTAGCCGCGAGAGGAGTAGCGAGTTGGTATCCCGGAAAAACATTATTAATTATATGAATGTGGTTTTAGAAGATCTAAGTTAAGCATAACATACCATACAACACTGGTAATAAGCGTTCTTCCTGAGAGCTGCAGTAGGACTGTAATAGTCTTCCGAGGGTTCTCCGCATCCAAGTTTTCCTTGAGACTCGCCCGAGATTTGTCCGAATGTACATTCATTGCAACACATCTGCAAATTGTATAAATGATAAGAATTAGTCTTGAAGGGCCGCCATTTTCGAATATTTCAACATTAACTCTATTAAAGAAATATCCTTAATTTGTCTAGAACAGTGGCGTAGCTATCGTAGGGCCAGTCCACCAGGGCCCCGGAATTTAGGAGCTCTCTAAGCTTATCTTTAAGAAAATGTAAGCGTAGAAAAAAGATTTTTTAACGGTTCTGTTTCTATTTATAATTTTGGAGGTTAATTTAATTCAAGCTATGCTAAAAGAGGAAAATGAGAACCCGATTCTTTCTTGAGCCCTAGGAGTAGGTATGTAGACCCTTGTCCACCTAGCTACGCTACTGGTCTAGAATAGACTGGTATTTTTTCACAAGGGTTAAATTGCCAGCCTAGTTTAGTTCTACGCACTACAAATAAAAAGATAACACGTGAATTCTACACAGTACTAAATTTATATAACAATTTAAAAATCATTGACAAGACGTACCTAATTCAAGGTATTTTTAAATTAAACACTTTGAACAGTTTAAAACGCGAGAGTTATTAGTTAAATCATTTATAATTTAATTTAACTGCGTCTGGCGATTTGAATGCTTTTTTGCAGGAGTAGTGGTCGCAGCAGTTACAAAGTTAAGAAATAAATATCGAATTTAAACCGTTAAAAGTGTTTAATTTAACAATACCCTCCATTATAGCTACGTCTATGATACTTCTGCTATTACCTTTCCAATATCACTGGATGGTGTATTACATTGCTTCGACTCTGCCAGTTTCACTCCAAGAGCGCATTCCTTTTTCTGTCTGAAATACAGTTTGATGTTGATTCAGTAATGCTTTGAGTAAATAATGTGTTATAACTAATTAGACCACTTCTTCGATTTTCATAGTTATGCAAGGTGGTTAGGTTAGTCATAAGTTCGCTTAAAAGCAATCTCTTTTAACCCGTACAATCGATCTTTTTATTTAAAGACAAAACAAAATTACAAATAATAGAAACAGTCATTTGTAATTTTGCTTCGCGAGTAACGTTGTAACGTGTCATGGATGGTTAAAAGAAAGTTGCTTAAAAGCTTTTAAGTGTGTAGTTCATGACTGCCTAGCATTGTCGGATAGCCCGATAAAATACTCGAAATAAACGTCTTTTAGAACGGTCAAACTAACTCAAAATGAGCAGCGATGGAATCGATCAAAATGGATTGCTTTTGGAAACGCAGTAAGTTAAATACTGAACGTTAACCGCTAACGCGATTAACCGTTCGTGACTAATATTGACTTTGAACAAGATTCAGTCGCGTCACGATTCGAAATATACTACGGTGGGCACATGACTGTATCTCCCCACCAGAAATCCCTACCCCGACGTTATTTCAAAATAACTGGTTGTCAATAAGATTCCGTCGTCGCTCAATGACAGTTTGTCAAACGTCATTCCATTTTATCGATACCTAAGTCACAAAGACTATTTGATGTTACCGCTTATCCCTTATAGGTGTTAAACAAACTATCCAGTCGATATAGTTATAAAAATAGTAAATTTAATAGACGTTACATTCTCATTTCAGGTTCACCCTGCTTATAATTTCCACATCCGAAACGTTTCATGACTAACTCCGAGAAATATAATAAATACTAACTGCTGCTGGTCCTCACAGCAACTTGTTAACGCAGAAACGCACGTTTCTCTTTGGTCATCCTCGATGTCGTCTGACGGCTGAGCGCCAGAACACGAGTCTGCAGTCTGCGCGTACGCCTGGCCTTTAGTACAGCATGCCTCTGTCACGTCTAATATTTCCTCTGAAGTTAAAGCTGTAATGGAAAAATAAAAGCATCATAATACGTGGAAATAAGTATAAGCAGTTTTCTAAACAGTCTATTCAAAAAAGTTAAGTTTAAAACGGATATTTCGCGTTTACAAATCACTTTTGGAAACGAAGTAAGTTCAATACAGTGACGGAACCTTATAACGCAAGCGTGACTACTAATGACTCAGAACAAGACTCCTCGTGGGTACGGCACTCTGTCTCACCACCAGAATACCTACACCGTCGTTGTTTCAAAATAAGAAGTTGTCCATAACCTTGTGTCATATTTCAATGACAGTTTGTCAAACGTCAATGCCACTATATCGACCATACATACATGCGATAAGTATTCCTATTTCTATATCTGCCAGAAGTAATTTATTGTTGAAAATCGTTAGATACAATATATATTATACTTACAAACATATAATATAGTTATGTTATAGAGTATATGCTATTTACAGACGTGTTTATATACAACATATATACTAACCTACGACCTACGACCATCTTAAGTGGGACAATGTCGTTTAATAAATAAATACTTGGAATTCAAGTGATGGGTAAATTGGTACGGATGCCTTTTAGATTACCTAGAGTGAGAGGATAATACGAGCATAAATATTAATGAAGGTTGACGAGACTTGTAAACATTAAAATAAAACAGTTTTGACGGTTTGAAACGTTAACTTCGAGGCGCAACACTTGAACTTGGGGATCGGAATCATCGATTTGTAGATAAGAGATATATTTCACATTTTAAGCCATCAAAAGTGGTTTTATAAACATTATTGTTTTGTCTGTATAAACACTTAGGCACAATCTCAAATTTAACAAGATGCGCTAGCTAACTAACCTATTTTGAATACTGTCTATAGTTTACGCGAGTAGTTTACACATTTAAATAAAACACTAAAGGTTTAAACGCGATATAATAGTTAAACGTATTTGAAAATGATTTTTAACTTCGGCCCGACGTTTCGGATGCAAAGCATCGTTTTAAACCGTTAAAGTGTTTTATTTAATAACCTATTTTGCTTTCAATATTCGGAAATTCAAAGTCTCGATTATACATCCTTGTACATGGCTAACTAGACTAACGAGCTGCCAAATCAAAAAAGCTGGAAATCAGTTGTCTGTAAATAAAATAAAATTAGTGATACAAAAATGTGTTCGTCTCACATTTTATCAACACTATAATAACATCTGCCCTATGCATTAAATGTTGTGCTGGAATTAACATGCTATTTCAAGGAAAATATTGTTGTATTTTCTAAACATTATTTAAACAACTCGACCATACAGTTTTATTTGCGACTAGAGATAATCTTTGTGACCTTACAGATGCACCCTGCTCGTTAGATAAACATTAAACTTACTTTAATTCAATAACAATGTTTAAATAAAATAGTTTTGACGGTTTAAAACGCGAAATATATTAGACAAACTTATTTACGTGTCTCCTAGAGACTACGGATGCTGCAAAGCACTCGAAAAATGAGGCCGTAGTTAAAATAATTTGTAATTAAGTTTAACTTATACATTTCGGGTTTTAAACTGTTAAAAATACTTTGCGTAAACTACAGACAGTACTCAATGACAATATTTAATAGTAAACGAGTTCATAAAATAACAGTCCGCAAGGTAAAGAAGACCTCCTCGGAAGCAGAAGGGATGTGATTTATTGTTTGCACTAGCGGTTCTGTGTTTGATTCCCGGGGAGTTAATAAACTGTTTCGATCAGATCGATACAGCATTTTTACGAGCTATTTGCTTTTTTTTTACTTTTACATATTAATGGAGAAAGTAAAAACTATACGTTAAGTGTGCCTTTTCGAACACCTGATGGTAGCGGTTGCATCACTGGCACCGTAACGCGTTACGTATGTAGGTTCTACTAATTTTACTACTGTTCTAATTCAAATGTCAAGCTTGGGGCATCTCTGAAAATAGCGTTGTGATAGGTAGAAAAGCTGAAGGGTCTCCCCACACATACATCTTAAAGTATTGTATATTTGTTTAATTGTATGTGAAATAAATTTCATATGGTATTATAGTAGAGGTATAGTCGATTAATTTATCATTAATTTATTCAGCGATTGCTTATATTCTTGTGATCGATATTTTTTACATATTATCGCAAGATTTTCCATGATAAACATTTCATAAATCTACCATTGCATTATCAAACAGAAACTCTGGCAGTCGACTTTCATAGGATACAGGAATATCATGTGTGAAACCCCGTTTCTCCGTCGTGGGGCATGGGATGAATACATTTCTATGTCCGTTTCACTGATCTGTTCTTTAACAGGCAAGTAGTTGATCAGACTTCTGTGCCCTGCCTAACCGAAACATTTGATTGTTTCGCTGGAATTCGAACCCAGGACCTCTCGCGCTTAACGCAATCCTAGGCAATACGTTTAACCATTTGGCTACAAAAGCAGCCAGGAATATCATAAGATATTTATATATGTTGAAATAAGTCCTGTTATATTTGATAAAAAGTAAAATACTACAGCCCTGTATATAATACCGAATCGCTGTCTATTTTTTTTTAATCACACATCGCTTTTTTCATCTGTGTACGGTTGATCGCGACATGAAATTTTGAAATTTCTATAAACAATTCAATGCCTAGATTCTTCAGACATGGTGTGAGTTATAAAGATCACTAGCTGTACCGGAAAACGTTATTTTGTTGTTTGCAAGATTAATTATACAACTCTAATTAAAAATACATCAATTTGACTAATTTTAATTACCATAAAAATGGTTCATAGAAGTTACCTTAAAAGATAGCATATACAGTCGCGGACATTTTTTTAGTTCATTCAAAGAATAATTTTCTCAATTTCACACACTATCCACCGTATCTTTGCTCCTATCGAAGAATTTATCAATTCGCATCAGTAGTTCCTGGGATCGGCGTGAAGAAACAAACCCTATAATATTAGTATAACGTTATAGGTTTCAGAATTTGAATCTACGAAATCAGTAGAATCAACGACCAACCAACCCCTCATAAAAAGTTTTAATAATTTAAAAACTTATATTTTTACACGTTATTGCATATGATGGCACTAAATAAATTAAAAATCGATTATTTATTGAAAAATAATTACGACACGATAGCTCCATTGGTTAGAGCAACAGCACGGAACGCTGTGGCTTCCGAATCAAGTCCTACCCGTGTCGTAATTCTTTTTTAAATTCATAATTGCTTTTTAAGTTAAGATTTTTTATAAATAAATATCAATCATAATTACAACTAACTATCAACATACTCCCTGTATCCCATTATCTTTCGCTGAGTCAAACACCGAGTAAATCCGGGGGCTTAGACACTCGATACTCGTGTTATCGCCTATACGGGTTCCGGATATAGCCAGGTCAACGTTTATTCCAATTAATTAATCTATTATGTGCCTATTAACTGATTACTTCTACTCTATTCTGGTACACCACTCTCATCGAAAGGGTGCTGTGAGGCTTATCGAATTACCACTATTACACATACCGTCTATAGTTTGCACGAGTAGTACACATTTAATCAAAACAAATTAACGGTTTAAAACGCGATCTATATTACTTAAACTTATTTGTCAATTATTTTAACTAGCTGCAAAGCACCCGAAACCGGGCCGTAGTTAAAATAAGTTTCGAATAAGTTTAATTAATACATATCGCGTTTAAAACCGTTAAAGTGTTGTATTAACATATTACCCATATTCACAACTGGCTTACTTGACAAACGTTCTTTTGCCATATAAAGTATTTTAACCAAATAAACGGTTCTTGTGAGTCAATTTTAAAAGAAATAGAATTTGAAAGAAATCATAGAAAAGATAGATCACTTTCAAAAGAATCATTCTTTCATAATTTCCTAGTTTTTTTTAGTCGTTTGCGCGGCGCACGTAACGGAAGTCATCTAAAATAAATAATTTTCCCCGTTTTTCCACATTTCCTCTGTTTCTTCGCTCTTATTGGTCGCCTGATGATTACCCTAAACCCCTTCTTGAGAAATAGTTCATCCAATTAGCGTGATCAAACAAATAAACAAACGCTTCAGCCTGCATTAGTATACAATATTCCTTTGTAATTTTGTTACAATTCTGCGAGGAAAGATTATGTCCTTTTTTCTTATCTAGATATATCTTTGACCTTATCTAATTAATGTTTCTTGAACGACACCGATAGAAGGACCTAAGGATAGACTAGAAAAAAAGTTAATGATCCTATTCTTAAGTTATTTTAACTACTAAACACCCAAGACGTCGGGCCGTATGTAAATAGTATCATAACTAATATAATACGCGATTTACACGGTTTTAAGCGTTTTATATAAATGCGTTTTACCGATGTAAATTGCGAGACAATATAAAATGTCTGATTTACAGATTGAAGCAAAACAAGCATAAAATAAGTAAGGCCTCAGGGATTTTTATTTGTCATTTGTATGTGCATCTGTTTAAACATCGGATAATTGTATTTCGCAGTAGGAAGGCCATCGTCGTGTTAGATGCAGATGTGTAAACATTCTGATAACGCTACGATTGGATTAATGAAGTCCTAAAACCTCTAGGCTAACACCATTCAATGTTTTTTTATTGATGGACAGTGTGTAAGCTGCTTAGTGATTCTCTAGCTGATTGCTTATTCTAATAGGCACTAATGTGTAAGGTCCCATTATTATGGCCATATTTAACACGCTGTTAGCGGTTTAAAACGCGGTATGTATTAGTTAAACTTATTTACCATTTTTTTAGCAACAACCCGACGTTTTAAATGCTTTGCAACAGCCGTGGTCATGGGGGAAGTGTCGTATCGCGGTTGCAAAGCAGTTTGTAAATCAGTTTACTTATACGTTTCGTGTTTTAAACCGTTAAAAGTGTTTTATTTAAATGTGTACTATAATTTTACATCAAATCCATAGTAACAAGAAGATTATTCGAATTATGTGTCTAACACGAGTAAAACTATGTTTTTAATTTGTCGAGGTTTGAATCCCGGATACTTCGAAGTACTGTACAAATGTAGTACCACCTACACTAGTGGCAACTAGAGAGAAGTGTCATAGATAATTATTATGCGGAGAAATATAAATCTAAGAATACCAATTTTTCGAATGAAACTACTATAAAACCTTTATTAGTTGAAAATGACGAATTTATCATAGTCTAGATTCGTTGATCTTGGTTTTGGTTATTCGTACGTATACAACAATTTTACATTGTAACAAAATTTAAAATAAAATTATCTTATTATATGTACCTATTGTTTTCTAAACATTTTTAAAATCGTCTTGTTTTGGTCGAAAATTTCGATAGACGAAGTAATGTGAATAAAACCGTTAATTTAAAAATTAAAGACCTCTCAAATATTTGACAAACTTACCGAAAACACAGTTCTCCAAAAGCACACACAGCACAAATATCACAAGTGTGAATTTCATTTTAATAAATAAACACTTAACTAGCTTAGAATAAGTTCAAGACGCGTCATCGCTGTGCCCCGGCCAATAGAGTTATGGGTCACGGTGCGATAACTTTTCGCCATCTACAACTCACAGTATCTTCTCTGTCTACATACTATGTGGACCACGGTCTATTTATAACAATATTATATAAATTCGAGTAAACCTTTTTTTCATTACAGATGTAATATAAGTATATAGTAAGGTGGCATGAATCTGCATATCTATACTATTAAATAAAGTTGAAGAGTTCGTTTGTTTGAACGCGCTAATCTCAGGAACTACTGAATCCAATTAAAAATATCTTTTTGTGGTGGGTAGATCATTTATCGAGGAAGGCTATATGCTATAAACATGTGACTAATACAAGCGAAGATGCAGCGAGAAGGTGAAAAAATTTTTTCATCATTATGGGATTACTAGATACTCAAGAAATATGTATGAAAGAATGATTTCTCTCTTCGAATCATCTAATAAATGTCTGCAACAGTATTCGCCTGTCTTTTAAGTTAACTAGCAAGAACGAAGGGACGCGGACAAAGTCGTCTGACACAGCTAGTATAGAGTCACTATCGATCTTATTAAAAGGCAAGTTTAACACTGCCGTGCCCGGTTGAATGTCCATTTATTTAAGAAGCATTATGTAATTCGGCTCGAACACAAGGTTCGCGTTTAACCACTGAGCCACGGTGGCATACATACTTGCTATTAATAATTAGCGACAACTCTAAGATCTAAGTCTAGAATATGGAAATGCTTCCTGTGCAGTTGTGCAAGCAAATTGTGTGTGAATCGGATGCGCATGCGCATAACATTGATTTACATTACGTGACATCATTGAAATGACAAGTAATCTTCCTTAACACTTGTGTAATCGATCGTATAATCTTTTAACGGTTTTAAAATTGCATGTTTTGGATGACCAGCCGTAAAGCATCTGAACCGACAAGGGTAAAATGTTTAGCGTTTTGAACCGTTAAAAGCTCAACGGTTATGCCACAGATCAGAATTTCGTATGTGGATGAGTCATAACATTTTTTACAAGGACATTGTAAACAAAAAGGTGTAAGAATAAAAAAAAACTTACCAAGAGCGAATCGACTTAGCGCAGAGTTCCGCACTATAGACACTACACAGCTTCACTGTTGTTAACTTTGAGTTTCTCTATTTTTAGTTTAGTTTTCGCCTAAATATATATTCATTTTAAAGTAAAATCCAATAACTATTCACAGTGTTTTGAGAACTACACAGTTATTTTTATCATACATAAGAGAAAATAAATCGGTTTGATGTATGTAAGCATTCCAATCTTTTTTAAAATGTATTTTGTTATTTGTGTTTGGTGTATCTATACTACTATTAAAGCTGAAGAGTTAGTTTGTTTAAATACTATATGTAGTTTACGCTAGTAGTACACATTAAAATAAAACACTTTAACGGTTTAGAACGCGATATATTTTAGTCAAAATTGTTTGAAAATTATTTTTAACTACGGTCCGGCGTTTCGGGTGCTTAGCAGCAGCCGTGGTCACGGGGAGAACATCGGGCCGTAGGTAATAATCATTTTCAAACAAGTTTAACAAAAATATATTGCGTCTTAACCGGCAAAAGTTTGGTTTGTTTGTTTGAACGCGCTAATTTCAGGAATTACTGATTCGAATTGATTTATTTTTTCATAGACCAATAGTAGCGAATAGTGGGAAATGTGCAAAATCGGTCTCTCTATTATTTTCTTCGTATGCTTATTCTTTTTTCTATATCTTCTCCCCCTGGCAAAGTATTAACATTTAAAATGACATTTGACAAAACCATTTTGAAAACCTTAACATTTCATTTATTGTTATGTACTGAGGTAATGTTCCTCTTTATGATAACTTGGCTTTGGTATTTCTAGTTTATTGCCTTAGGACAATTTATCTTTACAAGCTTCACCAATATTGTGAGGCGAAACAAAGAGAAGAGAAGAGAGAAAAAAGGAGGAGAGATAAGACAAATACAATTGTTTTTGCGTACGATTTTATTACGAAAAAAATTGTGGAATTCCATTTTCTCTTGTGGAGAATGGGGCGAACATATTTCTGTTATACTGTTCTGTCATATATTTTTTTTACAAGTACAAACAAGACATTGTTCCTAATTTGTGCCCTGCCAGACCGATTTAGTGTTTACTGGGATTCGAACTTACGACCTCTCTAGCTTACCGCATTACTCTATTAGCAAAGCAACAATTTAATTACTTTTAATAAAATTTTAGCAAATACTGTTATTAGTAAATGTATATACTTTTTATGTAAGGCAAACACGATAATGAATGAAATCGAATAAAACACATAATATGATTATATAAATTAAAAATATATTTTACATTTAAAAAAATGACGACACGGGCGAGAATTCGCTATCATCGGATCAATTGAGCTATTTTTCTAACCAATTGAGCTACTGTGCCATTGATACATGCATCTCTTGCGCAATGTAATTTCGACCTTAATGCTCACAAATTTTGGTTCAATGTCTTATACTTTGCTCATCTAATCATTGGAGATGAAATTACAGAGATGAATGTTTTGATATTATATCGATTTTGAAAGGTTAAAGTTTTTCGATCTAAAATAGATTTTTTATTTATAATTTTTTTTTTTATATTAAAGTTTACAACTAAAAAAAAAAAAGTATATTCTTGCTAAGCAAGTTGCATTATTATTATGTCTTGAACTAAGAACTACTTAATTCAACACATAGAACTGAATTCTTCTATTGGAGATCTTTGTCTCGCTTAAAACTACGCTTAAACCAGTATAAGTCACAGCACGGATGTTTAGCGCTAAACGAAGTGTAGAGGGGACAGTTGCGCATCTGTACAATCGCACACCTAATTGATTGGAAAACATGACTATACTCGAGAAGCAAGCGAAGCGTCATATTGGTCCGAGAAAGACAATACTATTGGGGAACCAATCCACGCTCGCGCGCACGACATTCACTCGCCCCGCGCCCGCTTCCGTCCCTTCGATACCTTATTTTTGACTTCTGCGCAGGATTCGTTCAACGCTAAAGATCCGCGTCGCTACTTATAACAAGAACTAAAATACTTGAAAGAATATTTCCTATAATTATTTGCGTATACTTCTGTTCACTTTTCCATAAATATCAGGGAACGCGTCTTTGCAGTATGGAAGTGTATTTCTCAGTTTATCGTACAGCGTATGGTCGAACATCTGTCGAAATTCTTCTTCAGTGGTGTATGTATCCGCGTAGAGCATTTGAAAGCCCCGCTCTTGGGTCACAAAGCTTTCAATACTTCTGGTTGAAGATACCTGAAAATAAAAGTTAAATTAAACACCTGTAATGCTTTTTAGCAGCCATGGGATTGAAGGTAGTAGTGGGAGACATTAGGATGTCAAAGTTAGCGCGATGCAAACAATTGAAAGAAGTTAAGAAAATCTTGTTTGTTTGAAAAACTTATCCATGTCTTTCTTACATGACATTTGAACGAAGGTGTAGTATTTCACGTCAAGTTTGCCATATCTCAAGATGCGCTAGAAACCTATTTTGGCATTGTTTATTAAAATCCAGAGGAAAACTGAAAAGTGCTTCTTGTTATGTCTTTTCCATATACTGATTCAATTAGATTACAATATATGTACTAAAATTTTTAGTTCAGTTTAGAAATATATGAATCCTGGTGGTAATCGATCAGATTGTTGATGGTTGTTGATATTCATAGCTGCCGTTGGACAAGCTTAACACCACAATTTTAACTTTAAAGTAAAATTCTTATTTATATTACTTAAAAAACAAGTTAAAAGTATTGTACTTACAGTTTCAAAACTTTCAGCTTTGGGTACTCCGTAAACACCTATGTCGACGTACATTTGCCAATCTCCAGATGGGACTTTCAGCTGTCCAGGTTTGTTCAACAACTTGAACGGGCACAGCCATATGGGATATACCTGAATTAAATATAAACTAAAGTTAAACATAAACCAATTAATACATAAACCAATATTTAGATATATAGAAGTAGTATACAATTAAATAAAACACTTAACGATTTATGACACGTCGGGCCTTAGTTAAATTCAATTTAAAATAAGTCAAGTAGAATATTTCGGTTTTTAAACCGTAAAAACTGTTTGTTATTATTTACGCAAATAGCAGTCATTTAACGATTTGAAACGCGATATATACTAATTTAAAAGTATTAAACTACGACCCCAAGTTTCGGATGCTTTGCAGCAACATATCTGATTAATATAAGGTATATCTAGTATACATTTAAATTTTAACACAGTTAAAATAATTTGCTTTCATTAAGGCTTATTCACATCAGTTCAATCTGATCGGAGTTTCTAGAAGCTTTGCATACCTCAAATTCTTTGTCAAATAGCTGTATCGCATTTTCCGTAACCTCTATAGGCACCAACATATCCTGTATGACGTGCGCCTTATTGTACAACTTCGTGACAGAATCTGGCTGCGTCAGTTTCAATAAGGAGACTTCTGGAGGCATTAACCACCCGAATAGTAGTCGGAAGACTGGGTTATTTCCAAACGGAATAATGTCCTGTGAAAGCAGAAAAAAAAAAAACGATTTTACAAAAAAAATACGAGACATTGAACCGGCATCGACAGAGTTCCGTGCTGTGGCTGTAACCAATTTATCTATACAGCCGTGTCTAACACGTTATAGTAGATGCTTTCCTATCTATTGATACGTGCACTTCTCGCGGCTGTGTATGCCGGTTCGAGTCCAGCCCGTGTCGTATAGTACCATCAAAATATTAATTATATGTGAATAATATTAAAGTTTTCAAACAAAATTTAATATGAGAATGCTCGCAAATAGATATCACGTTGACTAACCATTCCATTTCTAATTTCTATCTATCGCTTGGCAAAAGTACATCTATAAGTAGAATTGGTAGAAATAATGAAATTGTACAAGAAATCCACTTAATTATACTTATTTCTTAGTAAAATATAAAAGTGGTACACACAGTACCGACTAGTCTATATTTTTTGACAGTAGAAGGCAAGCATGAGTTTCATGGTCGTTCGTGACCCAGACGGGATTGCCATATTCCTACCACCCATTTAATCATCAGCTAGACGAGGACTAACATATAAGATGGCCAAACATGTTAAACCTGGGAGTCAAACCCATGATGCGTTGGTCAATGAAAATGTTACAACTAGTTCCTCACATATGTATAAGTTATAAGGGGTCGAAGTACTCACTCGCAATTCCCAAAAGAAGCTCCGGGTATGCCTGTGGTAGTAATCTCTGAGAGGAATGTAGTCGATGTGAATGTTTTTCTGACGTCGTCTTAATTTTAAATGCTTTTCCACTTGAGTGAAGAACCATTCGGAGTACCATCTACCGATTGGGTTGAACTGAAATTAAATGAAACACTTTTAACGGTTTAAAATGAGAAATGTACTAGTTAAACTTTGAAAACCTTAATATTTTTACACGTTCTTCCACATGAATGTTTTATTTAAAAATCGAAAATACATTGAAAAAAAATCGACTCGGGCAGGACTTGAACCGGCATCGTCAGCATTCCGGCTTGCTGCTCTAACCAATTAAGTTACCGTGTCCCGTATCCTCAAATTCTTTCAACCTATAGACATATGCACCTCTCGTGCAAAATACTTACTATGCCATCATCAGCGACTTCGTCTACCATATCCCCAGTCATCACCACGCCACAATCTTTATCATAAAGGAGTGCTTCTACAAACTGGTGGGGTGTATCTTTCATGGCTTCCTGCTTAAACCTCGTGGAAACCTCAGATAGGCTTGTACATGGGTGGTATTCTAGTCTGACGTACCTTTAACAGAATAAAAGTGCATTCCTTTAATTAGTCCGGTCAATTTAGACATTCGAAGTTACATAAAGTCCTAACAAGCTGAATTTTTGTGAAGTTGTTCAAAAAATAATTATAAACAATGTCTAGAAGTTCCCCATCATTCCCCTGTAAGGAAAACATTTATAACAACTTTGATAACTATGATAACAACTTTTATAACTTTTAGAATCGTTATATCTCAGAAACGGTGGCTCCTAAGAAAAAAAGTTTAATACTTTTTTTATAGATAATTTTATGATCTACAATTTTTGTCTGAAGTACTTTTATGATAAAACTTACCGTTTTGCTGAAAATCGCGAAAAACTCATTTTTTTTAACTTTGACCTTGAATTAATTTTTTTCTTTACAGGGGAATGATGGGGAACTTCTAAACATTGTTTATAATTATGTTTTGAACAACTTCACAAAAATTCAGCTTGTTGGGACTTTATGTAACTTCACTCTCATTTTTTGTTATGTAATCATATGGTATTTCATGATAGACAAGGTAAAACTCTAGCCATATAACATGCAATCCAAATGCGCTGCCGATCTATTTTTTTTTTTGGTAATTCAGAAACCACAAAATTAAATTTTAAAACTTTTTGCGGCTTTGGTCTCTGTGAATCAGATGTTCTAGAGAAAGTTTACAGAGCATGTATCATGGAACATGTTTTAGAAAAGGTATAAAGCAATTTTAGAAACAGACTGAACCTGGTGGAAATCAAAGCCCCACCTATTGATTATTATATATTTTGCTACCCAGAAACGGTTACTTCTTTGTGCTTCTTTGATCTAACTAAGAACTCTACATGATAATATAACAGACTGTATAAATTCTCAAAAACATTACGATACTCACTTTTTAGCCGGAATTATTTTAATTGTTGCTGATGTTAAGAACCCAAGGGTTCCGTAGGACCATGGAACAGCATAATACAAATCAGTGTTTTGATCCTGGAATAACATTAATCAAATTTACCACATTACAACATAAAATACAAGGTTTTTTATCCTCTTAATTTTCATTGAATATAGATGAAAACCGCAAAAAAATTAAAGTACTTTGGAAGGTCCTCTAGACTATAGACTATAGAAATAGATAAAAATATTGTTTTGAAATTCTTTTTTTTGTTATCTGTAATCTACGCTTACGTTGTTTATCTGTGGTTTAATGATTTAATTAATAGTGGTTATTAATAATTGATAATAATTATGATTCACAGACGAACAATTTCATTTCTGCCTAATATTATAGATCATAGAACGCACCTTACTACATGTAACTACTGATCCATCTGCTAAAACCAACTCATACTCCATACAAATGTGCTGGAATAATCCATGGATATGTGATGATGTCTCCACTCCTGTTCCCATTACTAGGCCACCGACAGTAAGCTGGTCCAGCTCGGGAACAACAGCCAATGACAGACCGAGAGGTGCCAAGGTTTTTGAGACCTGACCCATCGTGACAAGGGGTTCGCAGCGAACTGTCTGTAACATTAGACGTGAACAAATTTAGTGCTAATTCTAATACATAAGAATTCACGTTAGAGATACCGACAAACATGACACGGTACTCAAACCTACACAGCTTGAAGCAGCAGAATTGGTAACACAGACAGTATTCGAACTTACAGCAGTTTGAATACTGTCAGTGTCACCAATTCTTTACAATCACTTTGAGCTATTTTTTTAATATTAAAAAATTTATAGGCTGAATGCGAGATTAATTTTGGATAAGTGTATTAAAAAAAGTCGTTGATTTGAATCCTGGTAAAACATATCATTGATCCGGTCAAGAAGGGCACAGAAGTCTGGTCAAATGAATATACCTAAGTCATGCATCAATGAAACGGATATAGAAATGTGTTCATGCCCCACTTGAAAATGGTAACACCCAAAAAACTAGGTACCTTTGAAGCATAAATATTTTTCAAAGGTACCTAGTTTTTTTCACATTATGGCTCTATATAAATCAAGAATCGATTTTTAATTTAAAGTAGGTACTTGCCGAACAAATTGGCTTTTAATTTAGTAAGTCGTATATTTTAATATATAATCGTTCGAGCAGTATATTTTTTATGATAATATGAGGCCGCTAGAGGCAGAGTAGCCTAACTGTAATTTTATGATTGAGTTATTTAACATAACAATCTTATTTGACTAAGAGCATAATAGCGTTCTTACACAAATAAGTTAATTGTGCATCTTTACTTTCCTCCTTATAAATCATGTTTTTTGTTATTAGGCTACTCTGGATCTAGCACCCTCATATATTCTCAGTCTTAATACCTCAGTACGAGGTTTAAATTAAGAATGGCAACGCCAAACAAAACAACAAGATGATATAATCTTGTATCAATTCCAATGCCCCCATGTTAGCTTGTGCAGTTCCAATAATTAGATCTTTATGAGCTGAATGAAGTAATTGCTTCAATGAGTGGGGTACCGACACGACAAAATCTTAACAACTCTGTGTCGGTTTATTACCAGTTCGTCCTTTTAATGTCTTACTGCTGGGCTCAGGTCCTGCGTGGAGGGCTTTAAAAGCTTGGACCCACTTAGAGGTGAACAGACAAGCTTGGGGTACAATTAAAGGAAGATGAAATACCCCAGCGCCATAACATTTTTAAAAATCGGCTGTCGACCTATTAGTTAGGATAATCTGGAATCCACCAGGAAAGCAAAACGGGATTAAACTTCGGGGATTTTTCATCTGATGTGTGTTTGACCTTACACCTTTAATGCTACGCCCCATTATCCAGACGAAGTCTATCATGTATCATTAAATATAAATTGTTTAGAGACATGGTTGACGTGGTGGGGATCGAAATCGAACTACGAACCACAACTCGTTGTTAATCGCCATACATTGTTACCATAACACCAACCGCCCCTTTATAAGTCTGGCGGGTTTTTTAACGACTACCGCCACTAAACAAGTAATAATGTTGGTTTATCGTGCTCTCAGAGAAATTGTCTTGAAAAAAATCGATCCCGACACCTCGCTACCGCCGTACGTATTACCCACTAGACGTGGCAGTATTATCAGATGTTTTCTTTAATTTTCATGTAAACTTTATTACTTGCAAACATTTTATCGTAACGTTGTTTACACTTATCAACGGTTCAAATCTGAGGTTACAATTAATGTTCTGTTAACAAATTATATGTACCGATTACAATGTTTCTTATCACCTGTTTTAGTTCGTAATCGTTTGTAACTTTACGTGAGATATTTGACTAGCTACGCTTATACAAGTTTTCGTTACATTAAATATAGACCACCTCTGTAACCAAATGGTTAAACGTATTGCCTAGCATTGCTTTAAGCGCGAGAGGTCCTAGGTTCGTATCCCAGGGAAACAAAAAATTGTTTCGGTCAGGCAGGGCACAGAAGTCTGATCAAATACTTGCCTGTTGAAGAACGGATCAGTGAAACGGACAGAGAAATGTGTTCGCCCCATGCCCCGCGAGGGAGAAACGGTATTTCACAAGTATAAAAACCTTACAGCTGGAAGACGAGATACAGACACTAGGATCTTAAACTATATCGACGTCATTATCACTTACCACATAGAACCAAGGCAACAACTAACGGTGTAAATTAATGTTATAGCGTAACGTACTCCTTTTAAGGGGGGCATGTTTAAATGTTACATGGCTGTATTTATATTACAAAAGGGCGCCCCCTTTTGGAGGGGCGACTGCTCTCCCCTGTATCCCCGTGCAATTCTTTTTACTACTTATAAACACTACTTCGCGATCACTTACCATATTTTTAGTATCCACTTCCAGAATATCCACCATGTCTATATGTATGTTTGTAAATGTCTTCTTATAGAGCCCCTGTCTGAAGGACATTGTCTGCCATGTGGGTCGAGCTGTGCACAGACGTGTACTACGATCACCTGAGTGCCATGTTTTTATCTGGAACACATTTTAAGTTTAAATATTTAACCCACCTTAGTACTTAAAATTACGTTCTTTAATTTAAATTAACAACAATAAAGAATAGCCAATTCGTAATAGTCATACAATAAACTATTTAAATAGAAAAAAATTAACGGTTTAAAACACGAAATTAATCAGTTAACATATTATCAATTCATGTCAACGACCCGACGTTTCAGATGCTATGCAGCAATTTAAAAGTGAGTTATTTAAATGTGGCCCTACTATCTGCGTAAACTACAGACTATAAGAATACTAGCTGGTACCCGCGACTTCGTCTACACGGAATTAGGATTATGATTACGTAGTATCGCGCATTTAAACTAAATGATGTCTATCATATCATACATTACATAATTATGTGTAACTAACGTTTATGGCAGCGCACGCCAGAATAGCTCGCAGAAAGGAAGGTTTTTTCCTAGTTACTTCCTTAATATCATATTTTGGACAGCTCACACAAAATCTTTATAAATTGTAACCCATGTCTTATTCTGATATATAAGCTATATTATTGGAAAGTTTAACTGAAATCACTTCAGTAGTTTTAGCGTGAAAGAGTAACAAACATCCATCCACACATACAAACTTTCACGTTTATAAAATTAGTAGGATTTTAAAATTAAAAGTTCTTGAATTAATTTCATTACTTTCAGGTTCAAACTGGAAGCAATGTTTTAACTTTTGACTAACTAGCAATGTCGTAATATTATATACTGAAGTTTCAACTTCAACAAAAACGTAAGATGGCTTGCCCTAAAACAGGAATAAATCTCCAACGGTTCTTCCTATTTTGAATTTCAAATATTTTTGTTCAGCTGGGCGTAAATTGAAATTCAAATATTGAAAGCGTTACCTGAAATGTATGCGGCCTATAAATAGAGAAAAGGTAAACTTTTTTTTAACGCTCCGTCTTTTAACCGACCTTAAAAAATTAGGTTTTCAATTCGATTCGTTTATATGCTGTTTATAAGATTATAGGGTCGGGATCGAACATATTTCTGCGTCCGTTACTCTGGTAGGTTTTATTCACAAGTAGTTTAAACGTGTCTATAGTTTACGCGATATATTAGTTAAACTTATTTGTCTCCCCAGTCTCCCCGTGAGCACGCCTGCTAGAAATCATCCAAAACATCGGACCGAAGTTAAAAATCATTTTCAAATAAGTTTAACTAATGTATCGCGTTTTAAATCGTTAAAGTGTTTTATTTAAATAGTTTAAACGTGTTTAACCTTCGAGCTTACTTGGCGATCGACAGACTAATCCCTATAAATATATTTATTGCATTTATTTAATTATCATTGTATATACAGGTAAATTGATAATATGATAATATTTTTATTTAATTCAACTAGCATTTCAATTGACAGCAAAGGTAAATTTGTTTTTTAACAAAAATGTGATGTTATGTTATTCTGCCTAAAAAAATCAACAGCCTCGTTCTTTAACCGTTATTACAAGGACTGAGACAAAACCACCGCGGGTCTGTTTATTTTAATTTTAAAATCGGTATAACTCAAAACGCTCGAACGGTACCCACAATTCTTAATACAACAGAGATGGGTTATCTTCAAATGCAACATCAGACATACCTTATGTCTGATGTTGCATATATAATTGCAGAGACCGCCTCTGTAGCCAAATGGTCCTGTGTTCGAGTCCTGGAGAATCAATAGATTGTTGATGAATAGGTCGAGTAGGGCTCAGAAGTCTAAACAACTACTCTGAAAAACAACCAATCAATGAAACGGTCACAGAAATGTGTTCGCCCCTTTATTCCACCGGATTTTATTATGTACCCACATAGTACTTATGGCAATATTGTATCCTAATAAATTATAACTTACTTGTCTCTGCACATCCCTCACTTTTCGTTCGTGAGCTTTAGGCGCCGTCTTCAGCTTGAAGACCACGTAGTTCCTGACTATGGACCAGACCTTCCAGAGGAAGGACAGGGGCATCAAGACCGTCACCACCAGTAGCCACCGATACTCCACGATCAAGTACTCGGAGAGAGATTCTGTTTCTATCGCCGTCATTTTCCTACATTCAAAGTTTCTTATTTTTATAATACTGAAGTTTAAATTATTTATGTATTATGTATTGCCTGCAGTGTTTGGTCAAAAATCAATAGACTGCAATCTACCGTAGGCTTCTGCGTTTATGATTTCAATTCTAAGTTTTAAACTGAAAACTGTTTTGAGTTTAAATAAAACATTTTAACGGTTTAAAACGCGTGAGACTCCGGATCTTCCGAAATGTCGGATTATAGTTAAAATAAGTTTAATTAATTAAATACACTTTAAACCGTTAAAGCGTTTTTTGTGATGTACTAATCGCGCTTATTTAACTGTTTTAAGTTATAAAAAATAAAGTTAAATTCAGGTAAAAATCTCTTACTTACGTCGTCACCAAGTCACAGCCACACGGGATCTGAGCGCCGCGCGAGGTCAAATTATTTTGATCAATATAAGTCGTGTAAAGGTATCTATTTTTATCTTTACTCGTTTACAATAACGCCTACTATCCTATAACACGTATTCTGAAATATACGTGGACCTGTTCATTGATAAGACGGTATTAATTGATGGTGTAGGCAATTTGGAAATTTAATTTGTATAGACGATAGCTCTAAATTTCAAAATTACACGAAAGTTTAAAATTTCTTATCGATAGATAAAATCGGAAATTTCGATAAAAGATATCGGGTTTTAATTCGTTTTATTTTGACGGGTAACGAAAACACGTAACACGTGGAATTGAAGTTTGAACTAGAAATCATCGTGACACGTTAATAATATAAATTGTTTTAATACTGAAATTACATGTTAAAAAAACTAAGTTTTTTTAACTTTTTTTATTTCAGTAATGCCTGTTATAAGCGAAGCCGAAATGCTGTTATAGCGAAGGCGAAAGCCGTCGACCTATTTTGGTAACGCTTCTTTTATAAATCGAATATAATTTGAAAAAAATTTCGACTCGCAGACTCGAACCGCATCGTCACGTTCCTCTATCTTTCATGTCAATAACATGTGAAAAAATATTAAAGTTTTCAAACGCTTCTTTTATACTAGTAATTTTATAGTAGCAATTGAGACGGTGCAGAAATTATAGTCAATGGAGGTACTTTTAACTGCGGTTAAAGAACATAATATAACAACTAAACAAGACCCACCGATCTTGGCTGGACTAAACCCGAAGCGCGGTTAAATATATCGGCGTTTTTGTCAGTAGTTTGTGTGATTTCCATACGAAGTCCAAAATGTTTAAGAAAAATTATAAATTGATTAAAAGATGTTCGTCAAGTGACGATCGAACCCACAACCCTAGGTGGGTTAATGCATAGCTACCATTACACCAACTAGCCCGTATTAGTTTATATCTAAATGACACATACAACAAACAGTATGACAATTTAAAAATCGAAAATAAATTGAAAAAAATTTTCGACCCGAACTTTTCGAGCACGGAACGCTGACGATGCCGGTTCAAGTCCTGCCCGTGTCGAAATTATATAGTACCTTCATGTGCAATAACATGTAAAAATAATAAAGTTTTCAAAACTTACAATATTTCGTCACAATATACAACTTTTAACGATATAATGTTACCAGTGTCACTGGTTTACATTACGTTACACATATTGTAAAAATCATATTTATTTACTTTTTATTGTTGATGTCAAATGAAGCACCAATTGTTTAATAAGTCCTCATGGTCATTTTACATAGTTTAACTATTAATAATTATTCTTTACATGCTAACTTATATGTATACATATGCATAAATAAAAGAAACTGTTATTGTATAACATATAACTTTTAAATAAAACTACGGCCTGATGTTTCGGACCTTCCCGTGTCCACGGCTTAAAAATAAATTTCAAACAAGTTTAAATAAAATATATCGCGTTTTGAACCGTTAAAGTGTTTTATTTAAATGTATACTACTCGCGTAAACTACCGACAATATTTGTATAACTTTTGAAAGAATGCTGATCAACGTGATCATAAAGACATCGTCATATAGAAGATGCAAGGTAACCAAGAAAAATTACTACAAGAGAAAAAAGTTGAGTGTTTGTTAAAAACAATCTATTTAGGACTATGTGATTGCCACATTTAGTTAATCAGGGGGTTTTTAATTAAATAAGAAATAGATTTTCTAAACAATTTATTTTGCTGCCATTTCAATAATTGATCAACCATTACAAAAAAAATATTAACTTTTATAAAAGATCTTATTTACCCTGACTATTTTTAAAATAGGTTCTAGAACATAGTTAAGTCTTAAAATAAAATTATCCATGTATATGCAGTCAAGGGATTTAAATATAATAAAGATGTAAAATATATTTATTCTATTAAAAATAAACCCAGTAAAAATTATTTGATATGTGCCATCTTATCAATAAAACTTTTTGTTTACAGTTTTGATTTAATGCCTTCGTGAGATACAGGTATCACGGTATCCTGTTTGATTTTCTCCCTCCTTGGTGCTGTTATCACTAATACACCGTCCGAAGTAAGCCTGGATGTAACTGCCTCTGATTTACAACCTTCAGGCAATGCATACCTCCGAACAAAATGTCTTGAAATATAACCATACTCGTCTTTTTTTTCCTCTTGCTTACCTTCGACAATAATAAACCCATTGCATGTTTTAATTGATATGTCCTCTGGGCCAAAGTCCTTTACATTCATATGTATTTCATATTTATTGTTTTCAGTTCTCACGGTACATTCGTTCCTCCAGGGAAAGTTCTCCAGCCAATCTATAGATCGTAACACTATTTCGTCGCCAAACTTTGAAGCAGGCCACATTGTCATTGGCGATTAACAAATACCGAATATTTCTTTAAGCTTATTATCAGAGTGATATTCTAGAACTTTCACGAAAGTAAATAAACAATTTCTTATCAAATACAAAATAACGAGTCAGCTGACAAGACTGTATGTCGGCTTACTTACAAGACTTTGACAGATGACATCTATCACAGACAAAGAAAACATTCAGCAATTATTATAGACTATATTTTTTTTTGTCAAACGAAAATAATTTTGTTATTGTAATTTATAAGTCTCTGTGAATAATGTACTACAATAATTTGTTTTGGTTATATTTTTCAATGTTAACTTTACTATTAATTAAAATGAGCGCCTTAGCACGAATGAATTATTATTATTTATAACTGTGTAATACATATATATACCTACTCATTTCATTTATCTTACTCTGATAAGACCATACATTCAGGTCACTATATTTTGAAGAGTTCTTTAATTGATACTAGAGTTTTGTTAACATTTATGCAAAGTGCCATTTTATCGATCTAGGTATTTACGTGTAATTAATTCCACGCTATTATTTGACTTTTTGGTAATGGCGAAAGTAGCAGTGGTGACTGGTGCTAACAAGGGCTTAGGTTTAGCATTGGTGAAGGGTCTGTGTCAGGAACTAAATGGAATCGTATACTTAACATCTCGGGATCTAAAAAGAGGGCTTAAAGCGTGCAACATCTTGAAATTCCAAGGTCTTGACCCGGAATTCCATCATTTAAATATTACAGACAACGAGGGTATACAGGAATTTGTTAAATTTATCAAAGACAAACATGAGAAAATAGACATTTTGATAAATAATGCCGGTGTATTGTTTTTGAAAGACGCTCCAGAACCGAAAACGTTTCAAGCCGAACAGACGCTTCTAGTGAATTTTTACTCTTTGGTCAATTTCACTGAAGCTATGCTACCGTTAATAAGGGAAAACGGTACTATTCTAAATATATCTAGTTCGTCCGGTCATTTATCACGGATTCCCTCGGATGAAATTCGAAAAAGATTCAGTGATACAAGTTTGACTTTAGAAGACTTAAAAGAAATGGTCCAAGAGTATCTGAAGAGTGTGAAGATGAATACAGATACCAAAGTTTGGGGCTCATCACCGTACGTCGTATCCAAAGTGGCTGTAATGCTTATACATTTATGCTGAACAGGAGATTAGCACCATCACGTATGTATATTACTATCTATGCTTAAACATATATTGACCCATTAACATTTTTCTTTAATTAATCAAAATGTTCTTGACTAGACAAATATAATTAATATAGAATTTTCCATAGGTATAATTTACGAAACATCTATCTCCTTTTTACGCTTATAAAACGTGTATAATGTATGTATTTTGTGTAACTAAAAGAGACCTACCTGTCAAGACAAGCTCGACACGGACGTACTCGCTTAGGCACTCGTATGGCGAGAATTTTTGCCAGCTGCAGAATTATAGTAATCATTCGCTTAAGAAACTGTAAAGTCGCTTCTTTCTCTCATTTCGTATATAGAAAGTTTTTGTATAATATATTGCGCAATAATCGCAATTTTGGCTTGCTTTAGATATCACAGTTAACTGCGTACACCCTGGCTACGTTATATCGGACATGACAAATGGAGCTGGATCTATAACTCCAGAGCAAGGCGCTGTTATACCACTACAACTCGCTCTACATCCTGAAAACGGTGGCTTGTATGTATGGCATGATGGTTCTCGCGTACCTTGGGATGGACCGGATCCAAGAGGATATATTGATAGAATTTTGTGACTAAACGTTTTTAATCCTAAACAACTCTCATTTAAGAGTTATCTATACTAATATTATACTACTAAAGAGTTTGTTTGTTTGAACGCACTAATCTCAGAAACTACTAGATCTAATTGAACAATTCGTATTCGTCAAGGAGGGCTTTAGACTAAAACATCACGTTGCGACCATTAGGAGAAAAGAACGGGAATCTTTGAGGGTTCTGTTGCGATAACGGCTCAAGATACTCAAAATAATATGTCTGAAAGAAATGTTCACGACAGTATAAGTCTATCTACTAAAATAACTGGCAAACAAAATTGGGACGCAAGCGGCGCCGTGAGTAAAAGTATATTTTACAAAGATGACGAGATTTTCAAAAACAAATTTCGATTGCCAAAATAATTATTCTACTCGGACGAAGTCGTTGACGATAGGACGTTATGTAAATCCAGAAATTTGACACTATTGCATATTTTTCGATTTAACTGTAACTTGTAAGCGATGTGCTGTAAATTAGGAGATTATTAAAAGATCTGATGATGATTCATTAATTTTAATAAATTTTTTATGAGTAGCGGCTCAATAAGGTACAAATTCATCCTAGTTGCATCTCAGTAGAAATAAAATAATGTTTCAAGGAACATCGATAGAGCATGTAGTATGAAACAAATATACATTTCAGTCCAGTCGAGGATAGGAAGAACGTAAGAAATATGATAAGAGACGCGAGCCCAAACCGATAGAAATATGTTTAAACAATGACATAATAATTGATATTATAATAAAAAATATAAATCAAATGTTTCAAATAAAACAAATATGTTAATTCATTTTACAAATTTCTTTGTTATCATATTCCTTTTGTTAAAATATTATCATAGTAAGATTTATCATTTAATTCACCAAATGAATAAGAAAATATAATATCGTGTTTGAGAGACTTGATTGCACGTATTTCGTTTACTTGGCGTCGATGCATTCGGCGGGGTGCTGCGGGGGCTTGGGGGGCGCGAAGCCGGGGGGCATCGGGATCGTGTTGTAGGCCGCACCGCCCCAGTTCACTTTTTGACCGTTGGCGGACCACTGTTGCATCATTGGTGCTACCTGCAGACGGAGACATAGCGTTATTACTACATTATTGGTCGCCGATTCAAACCCCATCGGGTTCAAAATATTTCTAATGAATTAATCATTTTTTGAAACTGTAGTAGTGTAGTAGATCTGTGTAGGTTTAATTGTGTTGATCTGCACTTCATTTCCTCTATCTCAGGTAAAAATCCAAATACATTTTGAGAGATACACAGAGTCTCTGTGTCTTTTTGTTTGTCAGCAAAAGTGTAGTGTGAGTTCGTTCGTGTTAAGTTCTGAATAAAATTTTCCCCTTCGACATAATGTAATTTCACCTTTAGTATATTCTTGTTAAGGTTCATTGTTGGTGCTATTTAACTACAACTAGTTGTCAAGGGGAGAGACGTAATCAAAATAAAATAAAAATAATTTAACTAGTATATATTTCCGCGTTTTAAACCGTTAAATGTGTTTTCAGTGGCATGCATTAAAATTGTGAATTACATCGAAAATTGAAGTTTGCCTAAGAAAAAACTATTAGATGAGACTTGTCAGATTGTTAGTAAGTCTGCATAAAGTACTTTTTAAATTTACCTGTATCTTGTTGAGGCCGTTGGGTTGCATGTTGAGGTGATTGAACCGCGCGAACAGCTCCTGCTGATTGACCGGCGCCGGCGGCTGGTTCTTGCCGAAGTTGACCGACGTCGACATGATCGCGGGGTCCATTTGCGTCCAGTCTAAGTAAATCGCGTTGTTAGTGTTGAAACCTGCCCGTTTCGAGCAGTACGTCAGTATGAACATACTGATTTATTTGATATGAAACCACTTGTCTACTATTCCATTTTTGAAATTACGAAAATTAACCGTTTTACTAGTGTGTGACTTTTCCATGAAAAATTTTCGGAACCCTCTAGAAATTTTGATGTATGCAATATTTTTGCACTACTACAGATATAAATATACATTTACTTTACTTATTCGAGTATTTTATTTTTAAATAATTGCAATTTTATTTGTCTACCCTCATAAAAATGTTGTACCTTGCGGTTGTGGTTGGTGTCTGCCGTACGCGTTCAGGTGACTGAAGCCGGGAGGTGGAAGACGTGTACGCCGGACTCGGTCCATGTTGTCACTGATAAATAAAAGAATAAATTTTATTATTTGGATCATATTTTATCAGTAAATTTGAAGGAGCTGATGACTTGATTGAACTCGTCAGTTCGGGCGATGGTCGTGAAAATATTAATTCATCACTTAATTTTGCATTAAACTCATAGTCGTAAAAATTATAAGCAGCATATAAGTGTAAATATATAATATATAAAAATGAAAATGTAATAAATCAAACTAGTGAGCAAAGTGAAGTCAAAAGGGGTCTAACATTAGAATAAGTTGCAGCACAGTTACGCTGGTATGGTATATCCCAGAACCAAAAAATCGTGGAAACGTCATATCTTACTAATAGGATAGAAAATTAGGAGAAAAGTAATTTTTCAATAGAACACTTTAACGGTTTAAAACGCGATATATATATCAGTTAAACTTATTAGACAATTATTTTAACTACGTCCCGACGTTTCGGATACTTTGCAGCTGAAAATAATTAAAAAAACAGTTCAACTAATATATATCGCGTTTTAAACCGTTACAGTGTTTTATTTAAATGTGTGCCGCTCGCGTAAACTACAGACAGTATTTAGAAAAGTATCTGTCAAAGTCTACGCTTCTTACTTACTACGTAACTTACTTTAAAATGAGACCATACTAAACCAAAATATGTAAACAGTACTCACCCACTGGAGATGTTAAGCATCATTTCTGTCTCCATCATCTCGGCTAGTGCCTTCTGTGTCTCTTTGAACGGGTCAAAGTCGAGGTCGTCGTCACCATCGCCGGCCGCGCGACCGCCCACCCCTTCGGAACCGCGGAAGTTGTTCATCCTAGAGAGACGAAGGGATTTTTTAAATTTAATGTCCATTTAGACGATAAGAAAATGACCACCTTTACCAGGATACACGACTCACGCCAATTATTAAATAAGTGAAAAACATTGAAAAAAAAAAAAGCAGCCATCTTGTATAATTTCTGATTAAATTATTTAACATTTTATATATCTCAGGAACACTACTGGTTCAAATATATATTTTCTTTATTGGTTGAGCATTTATTGAGAAAAGCTTTAGACTATAGACCATCAGACTGCGAACAATAGGAGCGAGGAAATAGAGGGGAATGTGGGGAAAAACAGGAAAATTCAGGAATACTTCCTGTTATGTTACACCTATTATACTTTAGTATTATTCCTGTCTTTACCTTTGTTTGTGTTCCATTTCAAGCCGCTCAGCACTGAGCATATTGTGTGGATAGCGTGGACGATCCGTGGGGAGTGGCTGCGGCGGCATCGAACCTGCACCTGTGCCACGGGACACCAGCCTCATCTGTTGAGCCTTGTGGAAGTCTGTAAAGAACTTCTCCATGTTGTCTGCTTGGTACCGGCCCTCGTTCTGTAAAAATAAGCTTTATATTAGTTTTAGATACATATAAATAATGTTTTATTAAGGGATAAAACAGTCTGTGCTATATTTTTTTCTTTTGAAAGCTTTAATACTTTTCACAAATTATTGCACATGATGGCGCTATATAGTTTAAAAATCGATTATAAATTGAAAAAAAAAAAACGACATGGGAAGGACATCACCTGGTAGCTTAAATGGTTAGAGCAACAGCACAGAACGCTGTGCCGGCTCAAGTCCTGCCCGTGTTATAATTATTTTCGAATTTATAAACGATTTAAATACTGTCTATAGTTTACGCAAGTAGTACACATTTAAATAAAACACTTTAACGGCTTAAAACGCAATATATTAATTAAACTTATTTGAAAATGATTTTGATGATGATCCCCTTGACCATGGCTGCTGCAAAGGCATCCGAAACGTCGAGCAGAAGTTAAAAATAATTTTCAAATAAGTTTAAATAATCGCGTTTTAAACCGTTAAAGTGTTTTATTTAAATTATAAACGATTACATTTTTTTAAATAAACTTTTAACCCAGTTCCTTCCTTCTAACCTAATTACTAGTATGAGATAACAAACATAACAAATGTTAAAAGTATCAACTTACAACACTATGTGAATCAAATCCGTTTACAAGTCCGCTCGGCATATGTTGATTTTGCATTTGTAACTGTTGATTGTGAAGCATAAAACCTAATTGACTGCCCATTGTGTTTGCTCCCATGGAATTCACTCCAAGTGGATTTACTCCTAATGTGTTTGCCCCCATAGAATTCACCCCAAGTGGATTACCCCCTAATGTGTTTGCCCCCATTGAATTTGATCCTAGTGTGTTTGCTCCCATAGAATTTGTTCCTAGTGTATTCGCGCCTAATCCATTTGGCCCCATGGGATTTACGTTTAACGTATTTGCCCCCATCGAGTTTGCGCCTAATGTGTTTGCCCCCAGAGCATTTGCACCTAGTGAATTCATTTGCAGGTTATTGGCTATGTTCATGGGTATGGAGTTCGTCATAGAGCTTGCGGGGTTGCCAAGTGTGTTTGAAGGTAAAGAATTATCTACTCTCATTCCGAAAGGAGGAAGGATGTTGGGGTTTTGATGATAATTAGCACCTGAAAAAGACAAGAATTAACATTAAAATCATAGTTTTTCATACGAACATTACATGCATGATGTAATTACACTGGGCCCATGGGTTAACTTTAGTTCAAACCTTCGTTGCGTCAAAGATTAATTCAGTAAGAGCAACGGCACAGAGCATAATTGTGAGTTCGATTTCTGCCCTTGTCGTCGAGTAGTAAAGTAATTAACATCGGATCCAAGATAAAACTAATATATGTCGAGTTTTAAGCTGTTAAAATATCTAAAAATAGAATGCACCAACCTAATAATTCACTACCAGACTCTAATCCTATACTAGAGGTCGGCATAAAATGTTTAGGTTCCATAACACTGTGTTGCCTAGCCATTAATTCGTTCTGTCTTAAGAGTATACTGTGATTCCGTTCTCGCAGAAGCAATTCCTTCTCCATGAGACCCTGGCTAATTTGACTATGTCTATCGCTACCTAGGTACATTTCCCTGTCTAACAGCCCATAACCGTTCATAGGGCTCTTGATCTGTGGCATAACATTGTTATCGACGAGACCTGCCAGCATTTCCCTATGCCTTTGCATCATGAGAACTTCACTATTGGCATCATTTAATAAATTGTGTGTATCGTCTTCGAGTAAGCTGTGGTCACTGTTATCCAATAGATCGTGGTTCTCTAAAAGGCTGTGTCTGTCTGATTCTAATTCATCTAGTTCGTTTGTCAAATACTGTGTATCGTTATCGAAGGCCGACGTCTGAATCTCTTGTTCCGATTTGTCTGTAATTGAACTGACTTCGCTCGTTTCACTGACACTGTTCTTTTGTTTCGATTTATCAGATTTACTCTTTTTGGGTTGACCGTTTGTATTGCTATCTTTATTTTTGTTTGCTTTTTCCGTGTGGTTGTCCTTGTCGCTATTGTTATTTTTATTCTGTGGTTGCTGGTTATATAGTGTGGGACTGGAAGATCCTGACGTACCGTTTTCTTGTGATTGAACTGTAAATTTATTAATGAACATCAATAATCTATACTAATATTATAAAGCTTAGCGCTTTAATATCAGGAACTACTGGTACGTATAAAAATGATATTTTTAAATAAAACACTTTAACGGTTTAAACGCGATATATTAGTTAAACTTATTTGAAAACGATTTTTAACTTCGGCCCGACGTTTCGGATGCTTTGCAGCAGCCGTGGCCACGGGGAGACTTAAAGTGTTTTATTCAAATGTGTACTACTCGCGTAAACTATAGACAGTATTTAATAATATTTTTGTGTTTGATAGAACATTGATCGAGGAAGGCTTTATAACATCACGCCGCGAACAGGAGCGAAAAACAGAAAAAACGGAAAATTATTCTTAATAATAATAATTCTTCTTTAAATGATATAAAAAAATCCGCATCATTATAGTTTTATCTTTTACGAACAACTTTTAAGAACAACATATAATGTAAAAAAGCTGAGGAGGTCGTTTGTCATTTTTTGAATAAGTTGTATATACCTGTAGATTGTTGTGGTCTGGGACTGGCCTGTTTTCGAGCTGGGCTATCTGACGGGGGGGAGGAGCCGAGGCTAGGCCACGCCTCCTTTCCATTTACACTAGAACCACTACTGCCCGTGCTAGTAGTACTGCTGTTACTACTACCGCTTGAGTCTTTTTTCGATCTGTAATAATTATTACTAATAACTAAACGCTTAAAAACTTTGGAATTGTTAAATTAACCTTCATAAATTTCATTGTTAAAATGAATTTTCGTTAAGTAATACGGTGATTCAAATTAAACGCTGTTCTTACTCACTTAGACGTACTGACTGAATTAATTTGAGACGATGTGACCACTGTTGTAGGTATAAAGTTAGATTGATTTCCTGAAAAATACAAAAATATACTATGTAAACCTGAGTATACATGCAATAAGAACTTATTTTACTTTTGAAAACTTTACTATATTTCACATATAATCGAAAATAAATTGAAAAAAAAAAATCGACTCGGGCAGGACTTGAACCGGATACGAGGTAGATCGATTTTTAAAATAAGTTATTTTTCTGATTTTTTTTTCAATAGAAATTTAAATTCAACAAATGTCAAAAGTATCCCTCTCACCATCTTTTGTACTGCCTTTATCTGCATTTACACTAGCATTACCTGAAACCAAAGCCACTTTGTTTGGACACACAACATTTTTATTATCTTTAAATATCATATAAAGCCTAGTAAAATGAAGTACAGAAGAGGAAGTAACTTATTAATATTAGAGGAGGACAAGCACTTGTTAGGTGAAATAACACGAATGACGTTGCGCTGTCGACCTTTTTTGGCTTTTGGCATTAAGTTTGTAATTTTACCTAGTTGTTGCTTGTCGTCGGGCCGATCCCTCGTGGCGGATAGAAGCTGTTGGTGCAGCCGCCGCTCGTACACCTGGTGCAAACCGGCATGCATTTCTTCCTTCGTAAACGAGGCCATAGGATCACCTGTTGAAAACCAGTTTGAATATCTTGAACCGATAAAAGATAGTTTCTCTAGAAAAGATTGTATCCTCTCTATTAAGGTAGGCGTAACCATTGACCCAGCGGGGTAAATTACATCTTGTAATTAATGTCATAGACATTTAGATTTTATTTATATTAAAAAAAAGGATACCACGGGCTGGACTTGAACCAGCATCCTCACACATCGTCGAAACATTTTTGGACCCAGTCATACACATCACTCGTGTAATTTAATTTCAGAATTAAAACTTACGATTTGCGTTCTACATCGTATTTATTTTATATACTCCTTACAGCTATTTTATAAAGTAAATAATTACAAAGTTCGGTAAAGAAAATAAAAGGTTAGGCGAATAACAACGGGGATTGTGTGGAGAGGATTGTGTGTGTGATGTTGGGCTGGGTAAAGACGTAAGTCAGTGGATTGGAAGCTGCTGTAATCTTAACATTATCGGAAGAGCTTATTGAAGCCCAACCGGGACAGATTAAATATTCTATGCTAAGTACTAACCTAACTCGTGAAGATACATGCAGTCGGGCTTGGGACAGGGCTGATTCTTCATAAAGTTCGCGCAGTACTTGGTTGTACCCAGGGAGCCCTTTAGCACGCGCCCGTCCAGCGTCACGTTGTTCACACCTTGGATGGCACGCAGCGCATCCGCGGGCAAAACGTACGTCACGTACGCGGACGCTGACGGACTCTGCAAGGTTACGTCACTTTTCTGAGTAATATCAAATCAGGATATAGAAGGGCGCCTCTTTAATTTAACAGCATATATTGAAAAACAAGGTTAAAGATTGTAATAGATAATAATAAGAATTGCATAAAACACATACCTGTGACCCCGCATACGCCGGACTCTGATTTATAACTACTTTGTGAATTTTCCCATATTTGCCGAAGTACTCTTGCCGTTTCAGGATCTGTAAAATATAATTTTTGTATAAAAACAAACATCAAAAATATAAGCAATGTTTACGTAAGGACACATTTAAATGAAACATTTTTAACGGTTTAAAATGCAATGTATATAAACTTGTTTTTCTTATGATTTTAGATGAGCTTGTCCTTTCTAAGATTTGGCTTTAGTTTATGGAAGTTTTTTGCAGTTTAAAACGCGAAATAAATATTAGTTAACTTAGTGGGCCCTTTCTATAGCCGCTGTCAAGGGTCCGTATAGTCTCGTCGGAGTTAATTAAAAATATCGCTTTTTAAACCGTTAAACTGTTTTATATAAATGGCATATAAATATATATTGACATACCTCTGGGTCTGCGAGCCGAACGGGAAGGCCAACGACGAACACGAGGTTGTTCTGCACGACGCGAACGTTCGCGAGCGCGCGCCTCGACTCCAGCGTCTTGTTCCGCCGTTTTTGCTCGCGGGCCTTCTTTTCCGTCTTTATAGCTGCGACCTAAAACATTTATACAATTATGACAGCCACCTAATATTTTGAATTAATGCTTGCATTAAAGGGCTGAAGTCAGCGGGACCGCCATCTTGCGCATGGTACTGTCAATTTTAAGCAAAAAGTCGAGACCCCCCCCCCCTTTGTCGCAAGTGATACCTGCTTTTTGCGTTCTGCGCAGCCATCCGCGCTAACTTCAGTCCTGCCAAAAAGAGAGCGCTGTATACAATGTGACTTTTCGTACCTGTTCCTGACTGAGTGGTGTGAAGTCTGCAGGGTTCTCCGGGTATGCCTTCCGACATGCAGGGCAGAGGCCATTCTCCCCTTCCCGGATGCGGTTCCAACAAAACCGGCATATCTGTTAAATTTGCAAGATTTTAGCATATGGAAACTTGGAGACACTATTTTTTGTTTAAGGAAACTTAGTAATTATAAAACATATGCCTTGAATCAAATCCCAAGTAAGTGTCGATGGTTCTAGGATAATTTCTCATTTTTTTAAAGGTCTACAAAACGAAACTTCAACTTACAGACCTGGTTTAAATAACATAATACAAAGAAAAAATCATAAAAATTAAACTTATAAATATTTCAATAATTCTCTAATTTCTCAAGAGCCTGTAAAAACGGCCTAAGGACACAGATCCAGCGATAGAAGAAAGACTCTTAATTAATACTGTCTGTAAGTTACGCGAGTAGTACAAATTTAAATAAAACGCTTCAACGGTTTAAAACGAGATATATATTAGTTAAACTTATTTGAAAATTATTTTAACTACGTCCCGACGCTTTTTCGGATGTTTTGCAGCAGTCGTAGTCACGGGGACGCGTTTTAAACCGTTCAAGTGCTTCATTTCAAGACTGTTTTTGAAAAATTGAATTCATTTTGCGAAATAAAATCGTTCGCACGCAACACAAAAGGTGCATCTTAATAGAATCAGTAAAAAAATAAGATCCCACTTGAAATTATATTTTCTAAGGAGAGTACAGTAGATTACAACTGACGAGCACTAATTATGTAAAATCGCAAAACAAACGTGTAACCATTACTATATTTTGTTTTAGTTGAATAATAACATTGATTTGCTTATTTATCTATAACATAATCTTATCAGAACATTTTGAGAATGAATCGAATGTAATATTATTGACGTGGGCGAATTTGTTTTTTGAGTCCTACAATTTCATATATTAGAATTAAATAAGCATCAAGAAATATGTATATAAAACATTGTTTCATAGTATTGGCAGTATGAGATTTTAAAATAATTTCGTATTTGTTACCCAAGAGATGGCGTTATAACACACAATATTAAAAATCAATAGATTATTTAGGACATATATTATATTATGTAACACTATGCTGGATTCAATAATTGATTATATTTACAGGCAAATAGTCCATCGAATTTTTGTGCTCGTCGGTCCTGCTCGACCGAAATGTATCTTGTCTCCATCATTCGAACTCAAAGGTAACGTGTATAAAGAATCAGTAATTCGTTGGTAGCGCATCGTGGAACACAACTCTCCAGTTGGTTCACTCCGAATATCCAAACCGCATCTTGTTTAGATTTCATACAGCTAGATTATTTCACCTATCATCTCGCGAAGCCTGTGCTTCTCTGTCTCCCTCCATCATAAAAGTTGATAATTTCACGATTATCTCTATGCATAGCGCAATTTTTGGTTTTGCAAGATTGACCTCAAACTTCGCGTTCGCGCAACGGCGAGTGTACTGGGGCGGCACACTAGTCCACATTGTAACATAATACCAGAGATACAATATCGTTGGCACATTGCATTGTGAAGCAAAGGTGTTGATGACTTTCCGATACTGGAATCGCGTGCAGTAATACGTCACCTTGATAAAACGCCTGATAAAAATCGGTTCTCATGCTACTTAGCATAAATGATAAGAATGGTTTGAATATAGTAAACCCCTGATTGTTTCAACACTGTCCATTTGCAACATAAAAAAGCGTTGTTAATATGTAATGTTTTCTAATTAAGAATTCTGAGCTCTTTTTAGGCAGTTGATATGCGCTGTCGAGCTAATTTGGTTTTGGACATTCGGAAATCCACAGACTGAAACCGGACGCGATTAAACTTAACGGCTTTTTCATCTGTGGACGGTGGTTCGTGACCCGGACGGAATTTCTATATTCCTACCACCCATTAATATCCAGGTTTCCAGACGAAGTCCAGCATGTTTCAGAAAAATTATAAACATGTCACCTGGTAGGGATCGAATGTACGACCCAGTGATCATTAGCCTTACATTGCTACCATTAGATAGATAGAGCTATCGCGTTTTAAACCGTTTAAGTGTTTTATTTAAAACCTTGTTAATCAGTGATCAGTTTTAAAACTACTAATTCACTATTTCTAGTTATTCTACTAGGTGAATAAAATATAACTCACTTGATATCCACATGTGCACGGGTAGAAATGGAGATCGTCCACCTCCAAGGGTTCCATACACAGTGGACATTCCACCTGAAAAATTTTTTTTTTCAAAACTAAAATTTTATATTTAAAAAAGTTAATTCATTTTTAATGGATAAACATTTTAAACTTATCTGTGGTAACAAAAAAAACTATCAATTAGACCTATATAATTGATTTTATCATTTAGCACAAATAAAAAACAAGAAAATTAAACACACTGAACAGTTTTTAACGAGCAATTTTTAATTCTGACTTGACTATACAAATGTTTTGCAGCAGCTATGGTAAGAGGCTACTAAGTTAACTAATATACATTTCGCGTTTTAAACTGTCAAAATTTGACTTTTACATAAACTCCAGACAACACATAAAAAAGACAAATTTATTTATAATCATGAAGAAACTATGATAAATTATTACTAGGTCAAAATGCGGAAATGTTTTAATCAAGGTAGCCGAGTACAAATACTGAATTAAAGCTTTATTTATTAAATACTGTCTGTAGTTTACGCGAGTAGTACACATTAAAACACTAACGGTTTAAAACGCCATATATATTAGTTAAACTTTAAGTCTCCCCGAGTTGCTGCAAAGCATCCGAAACGTAGGGCCATAGTAAAAATAATTTTCATATTACTTTAACTAATATACATCATGTTTTAAGCCTTTGAAGTGTTTAATTCAAACTTGTTTTTATCAATAAAGGCTTGGTTTAATTAAAACCTCTTGTCTCATCAAAGAAATCAATACTTTCCCCTAATATGGAATATATATAAACATTAATATTTTTCTAAAATGTCTTATACCTGTTATGTTTTTTATTGTTAATGCTTTAGTTTAAAATATAGTCAATCACCTGTTCTTCTCCACTCTGGTTCAGTACTGACATCCTAGCCCCGACACCTATTTGTTCCGTACTTGACAGCAAATACGAACAACACCTGCAAAGATTATATTTACATAAACAATTTAAGGCTAAATTACTTTTTTTTATTTATATTAAAGGACTATTCACCACATCTGTATATGGACTATGTAAATTTACAAATTGACACTAAAAAGGCTTTATTTCTATTTTCAACCATCAACTAGATAATACAATTTGTATCCTTACTCTGCATAGTGTCTAAACCGATAAATTTACATATAAAACGCATACTTTCTTTGTATTCGTGGATTTTATCACTTGTTCTCACACCTTTTGTTGCTTATTGACAGAAATAGGTCTTTGTTATTTCTTTTGTAAATAGTCAGTTTTAAATATGTAATAATAAAATGTAGAAATATACTTAATTACATGAACCTGTTAAAGATGTATATAGATATGTTGAGGCAATAAAATGATGAACATTATGTAAGCACAATTAGAAAGTGGGGTCATTATATATCTCTATGACTATTATATTATTTTGTACGATGATACAATGTTTTTGTGCTGTATAGCAAAATGGAATAACAATCCACTCTTCTATCAAGACAATTACAATTTACATTTTGTACTCCTTAAACTTTTAAAATCTGTGTAAAAAGATATAAACACAGTGCACATATTGATGCATTTAATTATCTGAATTTGTTTGTTGATCTTTAGAAACAAACCTAACTCATGTAATAAATAAAGTCTTGTGGCATTTCTTACAGATTGATTTCCATAATTAACAATTTATAAAAACAACAAGCTGATAAATGTTTAATACAAACAAATCAAGAGGCAGAAACAGGTTTTATTGTACTACCTTGGTACTTGTAATTTCCCCATCATTTCACTTTATATGCATGTAAATATACCTATTGATTATTGTTTACTAACTTGTATACATAGTAAGTGTTATTTATAGATTAACACAGGTACTTCAATAAAGAATAATAAAAGATTACAACAATGACTCAACCCAGACTGACAAGATCACACTGACGTTTTACAAGGGAAAACAATCCAAGCCCACTTTTTCTATGGAGCTCTGGAAAGTTTCCAAAATGTTCGATATTTAATGGAAATCTTATAATAACAGTAAAGAACGATACTGAGATAGTTTACGTTGCATCGTAAGTACCTACTACCGTACAAAAGTCCGTCCGCCAGCTGCCATTCATAATATGTGGCATAAGTCAAACTTTCATTTCGTACAAGGATGGACTAAAAATAATTATTAACTCTCCGTACGTAATTTAACAGAAATAAAAACTAATGAGCCTCAATTTTCTACGACGATTCCATTTTAGGTGAAAATAAATCGATGTTTACCTTACGTCTCCTCTCAATGCAAATCTTTTTTCTGTTGCAGAATCAAGATTGCTAACCCTTCCGTAAAAGTCGACGATGAATCCTTTCCAATAGGCCTAATCCTGTTCACGATTCAATTTAAACAAAATTGCGAAGCTGAAATAAATACAACTGCCCCGAAGATATTTTCTGCGAGTTACTATACATTTGTTTTATGAAATGGCCTAATCTTTTACAAGATTCCGTTCTGTGAAACCATAGACAATTCCTATTATTTTTTATTTTAGTTTATTGAATCATTGTTATTTCATGTTTGCTTAGTTTGTACACAGAAATCTTTTAATTTTACTATTTTCCTTTTGTGGGCTTTTTTACCAATATAATTTACCTCTTTAGGAATTGTTTGAATATAATATTGATTTATATAATAGGTTTGTATCTATTATCATTTTTATTTACCAAACTCGATGTATATTTAATCTGTACTACGGGCGCGCCTATATGTCAAATATGGTCAATAGTAATTACAGACTATATCGAATTCACCGTATAGTCCACAGACTGCTTTGTTAAGGCATTATACACATACTTATTGTGTATTCATACAAAAATGACCTTCCGAATCTTTTTTTTGTAACTAAACGTACAGTGACTTTATTTTAGCTGCCATAATTCCTCACTCCATCCAAATCTGCTTTGGATTTTTTGTAATTAATTTTTGCATCTTAAATAGGTACCTAGTATTCATTTATTTCATTAGAAGTAGTATGAGAATATTAGGAATAAAACATGACTTACAAGCATATTATATATATTTTTTATAATAATTAAGAATAAATTCTTACATCACGAGTTATAAAATAAATACATTTATTGCCTTAACTTAAGTCCAAAAGTTTTCTGTACAGTTATTGTTAGTGATGTACAAACGAGATAAAAAAAACGTTCAAAAAAATAAAAAAAGGGCCTTATCAAGAGAAACTAATAAGTTCACATTTTATAATCTGTGTCACAAATATCTACCAACAACTTAACAAATTGTGTCAGAATCACAACCAATAGTTTGCATCTTAATTTCATTTCTTACTTAATATTACACAAACTATATCATTGCTCTTCACTTAGCCTAAAACAAGAACCATTCTTTACCTTATGATAATTAATTACATTAAAATTAAGACTATCTAATTTCTAGCGGGTGTTTCCTTCGTGGACTTGTGCTTTACTTTACATAGCCGAGCCCTTTGTAATCTCAGATACATCTCATTCAGTGAGCCAATTTTTACAGATATGCTCATATCGACTTATGGTGAAGAATTGTCTGTAATTGAACTTGAGGATACATGTCATGGTACAGAATTTTAAAACATTTACAGATAGGAAACATGTGACAATGATAAAAACACATTATGTAGAAGAGGATTTAAATAATTGATTTTTATACCCACCTACCCTCAAGTTTGTGCTCCACCCGTCTTTATGGTACATTTTTTTATAGTTTGAGCGATTTTTTTAGCACGCCAAACGCGCACCGGGGTTTAACGCTTCGTCAAAGGCATTATTTATAAAAGGCCACTGTGACATCCACAATGTGCTCCCCTACACTATTGTAACAACCTATAATACCGTGGTAAGAAATAATATCGCTCAAAAGATAATAAATTAAACAGTTCAAAAATATCACGAATAATAAACGTGGCAAAAAATATGGCATCAGATTTTTAAGTACTTGACAAAGTATGACTAAACAAAAAGTTGTTCAAAATAAAAGAATGCACTAAAATCCAGGTATAAAGGCATGGAAGACAGAAAATCATTGCTTTCAGATCAAAAAAAGGAATAAGTTTATATCTAAGAACTAATTTAGTTCTGTGAGCTACTGGCCGATTGCCAAAATTAGAGTAGTAACCAATTCTTCTAAATAAAATAACTAAGACTAAAATGGACAAAATATTGTTACATATAAATTATGTACTTCTGCGTCGTAAGTTATCAAACCGTGGACTCAACTGTTACACAAAACATAACACGGGCATTAATTTCAAAATTGACTAGATATCTGTGTGCATAGGAATCATACATAAAATAGCTAAGTAAAGGAACCAATACACTGAAATCCTGGCGTGGTTGCATTATAAAAAAGATAAATTATTGCCATTAGCAAAAATACACTTAGAACTGTACTTTTAAATTATGTATACTACTTGTAACACTTTTGTACAATTTGTACAAATCACATCCTAACGTAAAACCATTTAGTCGCGAATCTAGAACGAGCTAAGAAAAAAAATACGCATATAGACGCTATAGATAAACTCGTAATCCGATATACAAAATCTCACGAAACGATAAAAAACATCGCTAACGAAAATATAATGATCTCATTCACTGGTGTATAATTTAAGTACACGCGCACTCGGTCAGTCTAATGTAAGCGAGGCCGGTCGCGGTTCGGTTTCCGTCAGATCTGTACCACCTGTCCCCCAGTGTTATTGCATACAAGACCGTTATTATATGCAAAACACAGACGTAGACAGTTCGCATCTGACGTGAAAACCGTGCGGTAGTCTTGTACGTTACAAAACTTAACAGTAACAGGCCGTGTAGCTGCGTTGGTGTCCATATCACATTCACATTGCCACTAGAGCGACACTGGGACCGAGTAGTCATCACTTGGACGGCTGGTAGGGGGGGTATCCCTGGTGCGGCTGAGCGGCCCTACTCCCCGTCGCGTACAGCTGCTGTTGGAAATTGTGAAACTGCGCCGCGTAGTTAGGATCTGCTGTCGAGGGTACTGCGAAGCCTTGTCCTTTAAAGCCAGGGTTCGGTCCGCCCATAGACGGAGGTAGAGGTTGTGCAGCACCCATTCTCACATTGCCGGGACCCATACCACCTTTAACACCTCTGAAATTGGGACCGCACATGGGATTAGGCCCAGGTCCACCGAAAGGATCGCCGGCCATTTTTGGAGGTGAGTTAAAACCGGCTGGATAATGTGGCATTCTTAGCATTCCTGGGGCTCGCATCACCCCTCGCATTCCCCCTTCCATGTCCATGCCTCTCGCTCCCGGGAAATATTGCACGCCTTTACTGCTGTCCATTTGCATTGGATTTGTAACTCGTTGTAAGAAATCCAAACTGGGAGGTCCTCGGGGTCCTGTGTTGCAGGGCATTTGTGGCCTTGTGGGTAAATACTGTATCGTGTTTGGCGCACTAGCTTTTACTTGAACGTTAGCCCCATTAAAGGGTGGCATTTTACCAGCGCCTCCCATCCGTGGGCCCAACATTGAGGCGTCAGGCCCCATAGGTCCCATTGGACCACCCATAGGGCCTCCTCCCATTTTTGGACTTAAGTTCATATCTGGCGGAAAGTCACCAGCTCCCATCATACCTTCCATAGGTCCTCCTAAGCCGGGCCCACCCATACCCTCCATATGGCAACCTGCAAATAATTAAATATGCAAACGTTAAAACTTTAGCATTTAAGAAACATAAGAAGATAAATGACAAGAATAAAATAAAACTGTCAACAAGTCTTTGTTCCTTAATTAATTGCATCCCTCAGTTATTATATTGATAGTAATATGCAAAGAACGTATTAAAGAAATATAGTAGATCTAAGTTAATATAATAACAACACCTACCTAAATCATTCATCATCATATGCGGATGTCCGTGCGGATGCATAGAATGGTGATGTTGCATGTGATGAGGCCCTGACCCAAAGGGCCCCATTCCAGAACCGTTAGGACCCATTGGTCCAGATGACCCCGGGCCACCGCCAACCGTATTCGTTAATTGCTGTGACATCTGCGCTAATGAGGAAATCGGATCGAACGAAGAGGTGGCCGGGCCCATGGGTCCATTTGGACCCTGATTGGGGTTGATAGGAATGTTATCCGGCCTATTCATACTACATGGTCCTGGGAAAGGACCCGGTAGACTCGTGCTGTTCGGACCACCAGATAACGTTGTCTGAAATAACATGATCAAACTTATATTATCTGTAGTTAATAAATTAAACAATTGAATTGCGAGATTAACTTATTTTTTTTTAATCATTGACATTAAATGTATAAAAAAAGAAATAGATTTTGTTTGGTAAATATTACTAGAATTATCATTATTTTTACATTAGATACAGTTTTGACTGTTTTGGCCTCAAAAATTTATTCTATTATGTTTATTGTCTAATGAATGGAATTACATCATGTACAAAGATGCTGTAATGCTAGACTAGACTGAAAACATGATAGAATACTTTAAAAAAAAAAATATCCCAACATTAGATACAGCCGGGTGGCATATTGGCTTGGTATTAAGATTCCGTTATACCCAACAGCTGGATCCATATGAGCGAGATGAAACATACTTCTTACATTAATACATACTTCTGTATTTGATGACATAGAATCGTCAGGAAGTGCTTGTGACATAGTGGTGACGGCGCAACTGCTTTTCGCACAAGAAACGGCGTAAGGTCCCTGGTTCATTCCAGACGAGTCGCGTTGCGGGGTTTTAGAGGCACTTTCTTGATTCGACCTATTCGACGACGGACTTGGTCTTGATTTTTCATCTGTTGTTAAAAAATTAAATTGTAATATATGCACTTACATTTAACACAGAGTAAAATAAATAAAAAAATTCAAACATTTTAAACTACGACGAAATGCTTTGTACTAGCCAAAATCAGGCCCCGATCCTGTAACTGCTGCGTTTCGAGCCGTAAAAATGCCTAATTATTTATATAGCAATTCCAAAAGAGACTGTTTTGCTCTAATTAGAAATAAATAAAACTAGCTAATTACTTTTATAACTAGACTATGTAATATGTTTTTTGTCTCAAAAAAAAGGAAATATGTGCCAATATAAGAAAATATCTCCTAAGATTTATCACATTTTATTATGTTACTTAAAAGCTTAAAAGTATACTTTCATATGATATTACAGGGGGGGGACACCCTGTAAAAAGTTTTTTTCATTAAAGTAATAGTTACCTGAACACTTATTGCCTGCATTTGGTGTTTGGGGGTTATTAAAGCTGGGGCTCTGTTCCAGTGAAAACCTGCCCGCCCGCTGTTCCGACAGCGATGAGTGTGGCTCAGGAGTTCCAGGCATCATGCTGTATATAACAAAACTTGTTTAGAGAATATGACAACTAGGTAGGCGAAATATATATAACAGCAAGATTGAGTGATGGAATAAATTTGCATATTTAGGGCACTGGTAACATTAAATAATTAAAAAGACTATTAATATATAATAGATAATATGCATTTTATAACATACCCCGCTGGTGATTTTTGATTCGAATTCGACTGTGGCGTTTGTCCTCCGCTGTTCGAGGGCGGCCCGTTGTCTTTTAACGACGTATTCGGCTGTTTCTGTATCGTCAACTCTTGCCCTATCGAAAATAATTCAATTCAAACACTTCCACGCAAATATGACGTTCGCAAGACTTCCCCTTCGGTAAGAGATGGCGCTGTACATGTACGTAGTGATAGAACGAATTAGCCATAGAGTATGAAAATTATGTTAGCACATTTTCACCAACCACCACCAATGAAAAACGAGAAACACAAACGTGACTTAAAAAGAAAATTTAATGAGTGACGACACAAAGTGACAATGATGACAAAGAGACATTTTACCCTCTTCTAAGGGCCATCACGCCAGGAAACCATCAGTCTATTTTGACCAGCTGAAATTACTTATCAAATTGTAGATTTCCATTATCAGGCTGTGGGCGAGAGGCTGATGGTTTCACTAGACGTGGAGGCGGCTAAAGGATGCAAGCGAAACGAGTGTAGTGTAAATCCGTGAAGCATTCGAATACTTTCAGCGACAAACAAAGCTGTGTTACCTTCGAACTGGTTGAGGTAAGATATTTGTTGCGGGGAGGGGACGGGCATCAAACTTGGCTCCTTGTTTTGTTGGTTCTTCTGCCGTTGCGCCGCCAAACATTGCAGCGTTCGGACAAACACACCGTCGTCCAATTTCTCCAATATCTCTATTTGGCCAACATTCGATCCGACCGTCGGCAATGATTTAATTTCGTCACACGTTGGGATTTCAAGCGTCAAGCGTTTGCGGAGGGAAGGGGAAAAACAAAAAAAAATCGCATTACAACTACGAAAAAAAAACGCAAAATTTTAGAGTGCATTATCGATATAAGCTCAAAAAAAATTAAATTCGTGGTTGGGGAAAATGTCTAACATAGAGAAAACAACATGCATCTACTTCTATGGCTCACGCTTTCAAAATGCAAAACCGCTGACAATCGGTTAATGATTTCAAAATTAAAATCTCACACAAAATGTAGCTTCTAAATGAGGGTAGTTGTGAATTCTCCGGCTATAAAGTGCAGTACGAGAAACTTCTACATAACTATATATTTGAAAGGCATGCTCGTTAACGCCAAAATTAAACCAACAAGAAGTGTAATATGATTCAAGTTTAGCGCCGTTAAAGTTGTAAACAAAATGACTATTCTTACCGGGAGGATCGTGTTTGTGTTGTGGTTTGCAATGCGCGGGGCTACTGAGTGCTGAACCCGCTCTCGGCGCTTCCGAAGTGGGCGTGCCTTGTGATGGTGACTGGGTTGCTATTTTATAAAAAGTAAAATAAATATTGCATAATACAATATTTCCCTTTTTTATAATAAAGGAGGACAGACATCCATGGTTTTATTGGTTGAAAGGTAAAAACCATCCCAGTTGTTCTATTTTGGTATTAAAGATTCAGAAATCCCGATTGAATCCCAAACGCTTTTTTAACTGTGGACGAAGTTCAAAACTTTCCAGACAAAGACATGTTACAGAAAAATATATATCGATTTTTGGAAACATTTTGGCTCCGGTAGGAATGGAACCCAGGACACGAAGATCATTCATCACTACTATTATATTGGAGCCAGTTATAAATGTAGATACATTAATCCAGGCCAGGCAAGTTAAAAATAAACAGGTTTTTGATAAAAAATGAAATGTATGAACCACCAACTAATGATCTATTAAAAAACTTACCGATAGGTACTGATGCAGATCTATGTAAGGGTGACGCTCCGTAAGGAGGAGGGGGAAGACATCCACCACGTTCTGAGCACGGAGACTTTACTTGTGTACCTGATACACAATCATAATTTTAAATACTTTCATAGTACCATCTAATATTTAATTAAAAAAATAGGGATTTAAAGATTACAGGGGCAACACTTCAAAAATCATAGTTTTATATAAGATGGTATTTTACTTGTGTACTGACTGAGTTCATTGTCCATATTCTTGTTATCATCAAAGAATTGATGATGTAACTTTTGCCAGTCTATATCTGCGTGTGCGTGACCGGGGCTCTTAGGACTCCTTAATGCCTTGTGAGGTCCACCACCATCGCCCCCCATCTGTAAATTATTATATAACCATCAATAATTGTCTCTAAATAAAATTGTACATGTATTTATACATATATTTAATGAAAGAAAAGGACAGCCAATCTTGGGATTCACTTGACGGTTGCTGATATACTCCAGATCTTAACAAGATGCGCTATTGAACTATTTTGGCTTTGAATATAGGGAAATTAACAGACTAAAGCACGTTTAAACTTCACGGCTTTTCCATCTGTGGAGGGTGTTTTGTGACCCGGACGGAAGGTCGATATTCCACTCATTTAATATCCAGATTTCCAGACGAAGTCCAGTATCTTTCAGAAAAATTGTAATTTGAAATTATCTAAATATAAAATAAATATATGAACGTTTAAGAGATACAAGAAATACTAACTTCTGTTTAAGCCACCAAACTACTTTAGTAATGCTAGTAGCATAATAGCTAATGATCATAATACTCACATTTCGCCCCCGTCCGTAGTCGTCACACATTCCGTGATGGTCCGGACCACAATCTCCGTGAGGTACCATACCACCCATCATACCGCCCTCCATCATCATACCACCTGCAAACATCACCATTAGACCAATATCCTACGGGTGGATATTTGACTTAAGATAAATAAAGTTTATATAATACCGTTCATAGCTGATAAATTTGGACCAGGCATCATTCGTGGCCCCATGTGGGGTCCACCCATCATGCATGGTTTTGGGCCGCCCATTCCACCCATTGGGTTCGGCATCCGCTAAAAAGTAAATATTATAACAATTATTTTATTTTTCTATTTGGGTGCTAGCCATTTCACCCATTTCCCCTTTGCGGAAGACATTGGGTTATTAAATATAATGCTTGAATCGTTATGATTTTACACATGCTAGTTTAAAAATCTAGACAATAAGTTAATATTTATAACAACCTAATAATTATGCCTTACAGAAAGAAAAAAATCTCCAAAAAATAATCAATAGAACAACTTAGATCAGAATATTGACTAATCACTAATTAACTTAATAGAAACTTACCCCCATTGGCCCTCCACAACCCCTTCCCATATGCATATCTGTACACATAGCGGACTTCATATCTGGCCCTCCACAAGCTCCTCTAATGCCTTTCATGCCACAAGGCCCCATAGGACCCATCGGCCCATTAGGCCCCATTCCTGACATCATAGGTCCGTTCGGTCCCATCATGCCATTAGGCCCCATTGAACCATGCCCACCCATCCCCATCCCAGACCCCATACCCCCCATTGGGCCACCCATAGGACCGTTAGGACCCATGGGTCCTGGCCCCATCGGCCCGCCCATAGGTCCATTAGGACCCATGGGACCTGACATAGTGCAGCTTGGACCCGAATTCATGCCGCTGGGCATAGAAACCATGGGTCCATTTGGTCCTGACACCATTGGGCCATGTTGGGACATGGGTGGGAAAGACATGTTCATATTTGCAGACGAATTAGGCGGGATCTCTGGATTTTGCTGTGAGCCATCCCCGGATTGGTTGGGGTTGGCCCCACTCTCGGGGAATAGAATCTGTTGCATTTTTCGTATAGTGGCCAATTGTTCCTCCCGATGGGCGCGTTGCTGTGGCGTCAGGTTCTCGTCAGGTATCTTTACACCTACGGAGGAAACTGAAGCATACTCATGGTTAATGTAACAGATTCTATAAAAAAATGATACATATGAAATGTTGCAAATCAGACTCAAGTTACCTTTAGGGCCCGGTTGACAGGATATATTGTTGTCGCCACTATTATTGTCAGCGGAGCCAGCTTCCGAGCACGGAGGCATCTGCGACGGCCCGTTAGCCATGCCGTTTGACATTACGGAGGGGTTTTTCTATTAAAAAATATAAATATACATTTAAGCATAGCAGTAAAATATAACTACGAGGGTACAAGAGTGCAATATTAAATATTTAACCAAAATAGAATCAAAATCCTCCAGAGAAATATGGTCAGAATTACTCACGGTGTCCCAGGGCATTTCACCATCAGCACCGAGGCCGTCCATGACACCGCAGGACGGGGTGCCCCCGGGAAACCCATCCATAGGACCCATTCCCGGGCCCATTTGACCCATTTGCCCGGGACCCCCCTTCATCATCATCATTTGATTCGGTCCACCCATCCTGTTAGGCCCCATCATATTGGGGCCCATATGCCCCATACCGCCGTGACCCATCGGACCCATGTTTGGTCCCATAGGGCCACCCATCATGTGGCTCATTTGATTTGGCCCACCCATCATGTTCGGACCGCCTCGCATACCACCTCTTTTAGCCATGGCCAGATTATTCAGCCATTGTGCTGGGTTTTGTTTATTAAATTGGCCAATTTTAAGTGGATGTTTCTGTAATTAAAGCTTTAGTTATTAAGTTTCAAGAAAACACACATTTTTTTTACTGTGTTCGTTATTTACATTAATGTAAGATTAGTTACATAGGATACTGCAGTGTTATATCGTTAGTAGTTGAAGCGAGTGGTAAATCAAATGGCAATTCAAAAGGTTGAAAACACGTTTCAAACCATATATAGTTGTGTTTTTTTTCTGCATATATATAATTCTTAATATTACCTCCAGGTACTTTTTAGTATTCGGCTGCGCGCAATGATATGCGATGATCGATTGATTTTGTCCAGATATCACCGCTTCCGCTGCCTTGTTGGCTAGGAGCGTAGAGAACACGAAAATTTGACTTTGCTGCTGGGAAAATAAATATATTAATAAGCTTTCCGGCTAAACTAATTTCAACTTATATATTGGATACCTAATGAAAAACTATACATAGATTCTACTTATTTTAATTTTAACAAGATTGTTACCTCCATACTCCCAGACTGTTTACTAATAACATTAGATGGCAAGGTTTGGGCTTCACTGGACATGGGCCCCATGGATACGCCGGGCCCCATGGGTCCAGACCCTCCCATGCGACAGGACCCCATGTTCTCTGGACCGTTTGGATTTCGACAATTTTGATTACCATCCTGGAATACCAAATATCCTTTGTTAATTCAAGTTTTCCTTTATTTTGTTATATATTACTTTAAGACTGAATAACTATTATTAAGCTTATGTTAGTTGTATAGTACTATTTTGAATACAATTGCATACTTAGTGCTTTTTTTATTTAAAAAAAAGAAAATTAGGAAAAATATTTACTTACCTGTATGTTTCCAGGGTTACTTCTGAGGCCTGTCTGAGGATCTATAATGTCATTAGAATCTGACGATAGCCTCTCCGATTTCATGGACCCGGGGCCTCCAAGATCACACTGCGGCGACTTAGTCGGATCACCTGCAGAAAAGAAAAAAAATTGTTTTACTTTCTGTTTATATTTGTCAAACTATATTTTATTTTAAGTAGGAATTGCCATTTTAATGAAGCAACAAATGTGGTAGCTTAAAATAATAATTTTTTTTATTAAAAACGATTTTTATAAAAAAAAAAATTATTAATTAATAATTGGTAATATAATCTTTTTTTTTCGTATTTATTTTATTATACTTAAATTATTCAACAAATTTTAGTAAATTTTTGTATGATTTATTTACTAGTACTTTTATAGTCACCGATTATATTAACAATTAGCGACAAAACAGGATTACCAATTATTGTTAGTGATTCCAATGTTCGTAGACCTTATTATGGATTAGTGTCATAAGATATTTACCATTGAATATAACACTTTAATACAAGGTCATTAGGTTTAAATTCATTTAAAATGTTAACACAAAAAAGACTAAGCTAAGTTAGTGATGGTACAAATATAACAAGATTTAATCTGCAGGTAGGCAAGTGAGACAAAATTAAGTAAGGTCGACTAAGTTATAATATAATAGCTGTATTAAAAGGTGATAGAGAAGTATATGTGTAGAGTTACAATACAACGTTTTGTCTGTGGGAAATATTCACACGTTGTTATATAAAAAGTCCCATTCATTGAAGGTTTTATATGTGACTATATCTTTTTTAATTCTAAAGTTTTTAACGTTGTGAAATATGATATGAGATTTACAATGTTAGAAACAGGTGTGTACGAGTTTGAAACGTAATCTTACAGTTAACTTCCTTAAACGTTTTTAAGGTAATTTCTAGTTATTATATAACACAATATACATAACCAAATAAATAATGAGTTGTGTAGCCTGCCTTACTTGGAGAGTGGTAAAACTTATAAGTGTATGTATTTAAACAAAAAATCACCTAAAATCCATTTCTTTGCCCTAAAAATTTTTTTTAGTAGCTATATATTTTTTTTATATAAATATATTCCAACTCACCATCACTATCCATGAGACCATCAATTTCCGTCTTGATTCCGTCAACACCAAGATCAGCAGTGCCGTCTTCAGCGCTCCCTTGACTGTGGGGCTCCAATTTCACTCGGTGTGGGGCCTCATCTGGTTCTTTCTTCAGAGCTGCTGGCGTTGGCAAAGATGCCGATGGTGGCCGTGACCCATGACCTGTTGATACATTTAACAATGGACAATTAGTAGTTTGATTGTTTGTTCCCCCCATCGTACAACATATCAATCAGTCAAAAGTTATGCATTTTAAAATATCTATTTATAGTTTCTAAAAAAATATATAAATCAATAAATTTAATTTTTTTCATCTGAATAAATAAAAGTGTTGTTTTTAAGTCAAATTTAATGTTGCTTAGAACACTAAAATAACTTCAAGTCCAGGTTAATATAATATAGGAATTGTGGCTAATTAAATGCTCTATTGAATTTAATGCATCCTTTTTTGTACATGTTATGTTATATCTTATAATATTATTACCTTTTGAATAAATACAGTTATTCAATTATATCAGATAATATAAAAGTTTGTATTATAAATTTATTTTATGTTATATAAATTACATTTACATACAATTACCACAATTACTATTAAATATTATATTACCATATTCTTTGATATTTATTTCTATAGTTAACGTGAGTAGTAGCTTTATACACTTTTACGGTTTAAAACGCGATATATTAGTTAAACTTATTTGAAAATGATTTTTTACTTCGGCTTGACATTTCGGATGCTTTGCAGCAGCCGGGGAGTCTCCCCGTGACCACAGCTGCTTTAACTAATATATCGCGTTTTAAACCTTGAAAGTGTTTTATTTAAATATTCTTTTAATCAATTACCAAGAGAAACCCAGATTTCCTTGGCATAGAGGTATAACATTTCTAAGTTGATTTTATGTATAGGCAGAGTTGTGAGCTTTACCCAATCAAAAAATATCTTTCCAAGGGATTCAAAAGAGAATAAGCATTATTGTATTGTATTGCTTACATACCTGGTTCTGTTGGATCATTTGGTTCATCTTTAAGGCGGGCACCTCCGCCTTTCTCCTTCTCCTTGATCATACCCCTACGTGCCTTCGCCAACTTGACTGTATAAGAAAAAATATCTTAGTGTTGATGCTCTATACAAAATGTTTCACCTATTATTGATATGCCCTTTATACTTATTTAATTTTCCATTCTGTTACCTAAACTTTGTGACCTTTGACAATTAATTTTTATAATGTAGTTTTATTACCAAATATTCTTTATTTATCTTAGTTAATGCAACCTAAAGGTCTATATAATTATATAAGCAGCTTTTTATCTGTTTGGATCCCTAAATACAAGCTTTTTATTATAACTACAAGTTATGAGTTAAGTTTTTCTAAGCCCCGTGTGTTAAGCATGACAGATCTTAGGTTTGAATTCCAGAATAAATGAATAATTTTAATTGACTGTGGCACACATTTGCTGTCTTTAAAATTTTTAATAAAGGATTGTCTGTCCTATGCCCCACAACGGTGAAAAATGATTTGAGAAATTAAGTTAAAGTATCAGAAAATTTAACTTTTAAATTACAAATTTGTCAGATTGATGTTTTAGAAAGAGACAAAAGTTAACTTATTTCAAGGATAATGCATCTAAAAATGACCATATAAAGTGACAGAGAGTCAATCAAGGGCATTTTTTAAATGGCACCTTCGAACATTATTGTAAATATCTAACAAATATGATAGAAAGCTATGATCACAAAAACACTGCTGTTTTTAGGAAGTCATAATGCATACATGGTCCATTGTAAACATGACTAAATAACATTTGTATACATACAAAATCTTAAAGATCTTTCGTTACGGGCGCAATAATTGGCACATATCCCACAAAATAACCGAGTGGCACTTCATTTAAATAATGTCATTATACTGCAGCGTGCGATCAAGATTATTATAAATAGAGGATCGACAACATCGTTTAAACTAAAATAATATGCTCCGCGACCAATACAACCGGCTCCAAAGACGCGTCCCCTGTCCCATATATTTAATTATAATAAGATCACACCGCATTATGCTATTAAAATTCCAGGTTTACTCTCCATACATAAACAATGAGAAAGATCGGGTGTAGACAGGCGCGAAGCACATTAACACACGTTTATTATGGCCGATTTATTGCTATGGGCACGCCATTTCACTAGTTTTACACCTCAGAAGAAAGCGTCTAGCTTTAATTAATATCATTCAAGTGATATAATTAAGGTATATCGAGGAGTACGCAGGGCGAAACAAAAAATCGGGATCGCTGACATTTTTGTTTATGGTACATCGTCGAGACGAGATCCAGAATCCACAAATAGCCAATAAACGTACATGATTACCGCCTTCTGACGGATTCACTGCCACTTGATAACACAAATCACAGTATTTCTTCACATTTATGCAAGTTTATTATCATTGAAAATTCACTCATATAACTATTTTCTTTCTATCAGCATTTAATACAAATCACCACGCACACACAACACAACATACATAATATAGGATATAGATTATAGGTGGTAGTGGTACTAAGTAGGAATGTACAAGTTAAGAAATAGGGATGGGTACGTGACGTAATCGATTTTTAATTATGTTGATATTATGTGTCTAAATTTTGTCAAGGAATACCAAATGCAATGAATGGATTATAGTATACAACATTCAATTATCATGTTATATTTGTAATGTTTTAGTTTTTCACTAAAATGAGTAACAAATTATTTCTAAATATTCTTAAGACATTACTCCTTTAAATTTTCTAAAATTCATTCACGATTATCGAGTTATTGTCTTAAATTTGATAAAGTTTATCTTAAATGAATAATAGTAAATTGATAATTGTTTTAAATCATGTAAAAGTAAGATTAAGAAAAACACCGTCATAATCGATTAATCGATGACAAATTATTATGTTACAGTGACACTTCATTGATATTATATTGGAATCACGTTACATCTAGTCACAAAATGAATTAGAAGAATAATTAATCGATTTCCCGATAATAATAACAATAATGAATATATGCCTAAAAAGTATTTCCTGATACAACTAAATCTAGTTATGATCTAAAGAACTTTAAAGACAAGATATTTCTTTGTAATATGCATTCTTCAAAAATGTCTATGGTACAAGAAGGGGCTGCCAGCTTCGTAATTAAGAATTACCTACTTTTAGAGACTTACGACTTAAATTCTTTAAGGAGCAGTTCGTGGTTTTATATCATTAGTTTTGTTATATTTATTAACATTATGATAAAGGCCAGCAGTTTGAAATTTTGCCGCTTTTTGATTAAACGCTTAAAAATAATCCTTCCACTTTTATGTACTATTTCAAAAAGGTTTTCTTAAATAAAAACGTAGTACTGGGGTAGAATACACAATTCTAAGTCTGTGTTTTTAAACTTTAATAACATATTCATGGTTTTCTACTTATTTCTGCAGTAAAATTGTATACGATAATGCCTTCAATGTGTGAATTTTACTTTTTCTTATTCGGTAAAATGTAAATGCAGTTGGCAACACCACAAGAAAGGGAGGAGGGATAATATCGCTTCGTTGTCGTGTATTGGAATTTTTCTGTGTGATTTGTGATAAAATAGGATTTTACAATTACAAAATATAGTACAGCAAGCATTTGTGGCATATGTACTCTTACAACACTCGGCCATCATCAATAGTATCAACGCGGCAAACATTCCGACCGCTCCCAGCGCCTAAAGTACGTACGTCAATCATCAGCAATTTTCATACTGTTTGTAGTACCTGCGTATAGTAGGGGCCGTGCGATAGTAAAAGCTGTTGGAAAGTGCATTCATACGGGAAATCGTCATTGTAAAGAGTTATCTCACGTCCCATTTAATTAGGAGCGTTTCATATAATCGCCAGTGTATGTACGGTTTCGGTGCTTGAAGCCATTTTCCGAATAAGACGAGTACAATTCGTCGGTTCTTAATGTTTTTCGTGCTATTTAGTGATAGTGATTTTTGTGTTTGAGTTGCTGTATCAAAAGCTTTAATCGCTGTGTAGTGTTGTTTTCCCTGATGTGCTAGAGATTCAACTTTTCCATAGAAGTGGGTAAGGTTCCTTTAATTTTGAAAGTAGTCCATACACTGTTTTACTGAATCCCTACAGCAGGCAGGTTCATTGATATATTATAAAAATGTATTTTTTAATCTTACCAGAATTTTAATTAATTATTAGGTGTGTTGTTTGAAGATAAAACTTGATTGTATTTTTGCTATCTTTACTGTAAATATTTCCTATAATTAATAATAATCATAAATTTCTCTGGCATTCAGTTAGTACATTAATTCGCCATAGAAATAAATGTAATTACAAAAAAAAATAAAAAAAAAAGATTTAATTAAATTTTAATAAAAGTGATGCCAAAAGGGTCATGCGTCAGCATAACTTGCAAAACTCTAAATTAAAAGATATGGCACTTATAAATGCCTGTAATGGACAAGATTTCATCTCTTCTAGATTTATTTTTCTTCTATATGTTAAAATATGGATTACATTGTAGATGTTATGCAGCTCAGTGTTTAAACAAAAATCATATAAATGTCTACACTAATAACTTTGTCATATTGGCTTAATGCTGTTACCCCAAACTAAAGCAAATCTAAAAGATACCATACTGATTTGATGAAAATAACACTTTCCTACATTGATTTTTGCTTTTATAGAATATATAATGTGCTAATAAAATGTACACATAATATACACTCCCTTGGAATAGGAGGGAGTCTCAACACAGTACTGCTTTAAATAAGATGTAACTAAACTCTTAAAGTGACACATTAAACATTTATCAGTTATAAATTACTTAATGCTGTTAGTGAATTCAATTTTAAAAAAAAGTTATATTCACCTTAGCAAATTTATTAAAATTGGTAAGCAGTTTAGGTGTAAAACAGCTACAAACATCCATGATTACAAATTTGCAATTATAATTCAATATATGACTCACTAAGAAATGCAACCGAAAATTCTCTTTGAGTCATTCACCAGGAATGTATTATGGCAGAAATCACACAAGATTTATTTATTTTTTCCGTTCCCTTTACTTTAAGTTGGATTGCATCCAAAAATAACTCCGGTTGTCTCAGCAAATGTGACATTAGTAATGACCATTCTTCAACACTTAATTGCAGAAACAATTACCTAGTCTTAGAGAACTACTCACTCACAAGGTTAGTGAAAAATGATTTATGATATACAATACATAAACCCTACAAAAGTACATATATTATTTATGTTTAGTAATCTTCCGTTGAGCAGATGTTACAACTTAAAGAGATTATATTTGATCGTCTTTTCTGAAACATAAGATTTTGATACAGAGATGACATGCATGTTGGCTTCATCATTAGTGAAGTACTTGTCATCAGAGAAAGGATGTTGCCCAATGTCATCATCTTTCTGACCATAGCTAGTCTTACAGTGGCTTTTCAAAGGGTACAAACTTATTTCAGTAATTTACATAACAAAATATTCCCAACTATAATCTATTTTTTAACTTAATCTATAAAGCATAGAGTAGTTACAATTTAACAGCTTATAAAATAACAAGTATAACAGAAGAAAAAATGTTATTGTAACATAAAAAAAAGTTTGCAACTTTAAAAGTTATAAATAACATGTGTCGGGTGCATTGAGTTACATTTTTGCAACTGTTATCATGTATTCTTAATCTGTGAGTAGTCGGGCGATTTTACATGCGTGTACTTTTATTATGCAACTGGAGTTTCTCAAATGAAATACTTTTAATGGTTTTGAACGAGAAATATATAAAACTTAGCTAAGAATGCTTAGTATCAGTCGTGGTCCTGAAACAACTTTTATTATTTCCTACAAGGAACGTCGCGCGATATTATCCTACTGAACGTGACCGGCTCCATTGGAGTTTTATCAAAATTTGTCAAGCCGATTAGGCGTGCAAACATCTAGAGCCGATTAGTGTAAGGAAAATGAGTATTGTTTAACTTATCTAAATAAGTACTGTAGTACGCCAGTACACATTTATATAAAACACTTTTAACGGTTTAAAACGCGAAATGTGTTTTTTATACGTTAAACTTGTTTATAAATAATTTTTAACTACGGTATGACCCTTTTATCTTATCTAAATAGAAAACATAATTTATATACAGTCAATGCAACTAATGACAATAAGGCGTGCTAAATGCAACGCTTTGGTATGGAAATAAGGCACTGTTTAGTTGTATGCATATACACGTGTGCATTTTTTATCCCACTTCATTGAACTGTGAAAGACAAGGATACAATATATATTCCCATATGTCAATGTAAAAATAGGTCCAATCAGAAACGTCTTGGCGAAATGTGGTCCCAGGCGAGGGAGGAATCCGAAAATATCTTGACTTATCCTTAAATCCGCTCAATTTATTGGACAAAAGATAGGAATGAGGGAACGTTTTCTTGGGCTGTTAAAATTTTCCCGCTCGTGAATTTATGAAATATTTTTATTGTAATTCGAGAATTATGTGCTTACGTACTTTGCGAGCATAATTTTGTAAGGACTTAAATTTGAAAACTTACATAGTAACTAAAAGTTTAAAATCAATAAATACAGCGAATTCTTTCATACTAGACCACAGCACGAATTTTCCATTCAAGTCCCGCCCGTGTATATTTATTTTTACTACATATTTTTTTTAATTTTATCCTTTAACTTTAATTAAAACGGATTCCTTTAGTTTAAAATGTGCGTTGCCCACAAAACATAATATTTATTTTATATTAGTACTACGCTTACTTGAGATTTATAGAAAAAAAATATTGACCATAAAAAACATTTACAGATTTTTGATGTTTATGCGATGTTTATCTAATAATTGTATCTTTTTATTATTCGTATTTTGCATTATAAAAACCCACTTTCTCTCGTTGGGGTAGAGGGCAGACTCATGTTCATATATGTTTCACAGATCGCGTTTACAAGGAAGTAATATGGAAACAATTTGTGCTCTGTCGGTCCGCCTCAAGTTTGTCTTGGATTTGAATTCTTCCTCGCTCAAGCTTGACAATTGAAATCAATAAAAATAACGAAAATTTACGACACGGGCAGGTCGAAATTTTTCAACCCAAAGATGCATGTATTGTCAATACATTTGGTTGAAAAAATTCGACATTGTCGAATTCGAAATCGGTAGAGTAACCTCTAACCAATTGAACTACCGATTTCGCACGGAACGCTATCGATGCTGGTTTAAGTCCAGCCGGAGTCGTAATTTTTTTAATATTTATTTTCGATTTTTAATTTATATGTATAGTGCCATCATGTGAAAAATATTAAAGTTTTTAAATCAATAAAATGGTTTGGTAATCACTTCGAAGCTTTGTTTACCTTCACCGATATGCAGACAAATAACCTTTGTCAAATCCACCTAGATTTCCGGGCACCCTATGAGTCAACTTGTTTTATAGTCTGTTTGATGAGGTCACTAGAATGGATGTCTGTGTTCAATCAACATACTGTCTGTTATCTTTGAACTACGTTCCCTTGATACCTTAACTGTTTTCTTGGACAATATCGTTGTCTCTGTATTAAACAACTGCTTGCATGTGCTTAAGATATTGCAATAACATGAATACTGTCTATTGTTTACGCGAGTAGTACACATTTAAATAAAACACTTTAACGGTTTAAAACGTGATATATTAGTTAAACTTATTTAAAAATGATTTTTAACTCACAAGTTGGTTGGTGGTTGGTTGGTTTGGTGTGAAGGTAGTGATGTTTGGCTAATAATCAACGGGTGTAGGTTCGATCCCCACCGGCTTTGTCTAACCAGTTTTTCTAATTATAATTCTTCTGAAACATGTATCACATCATCTGGAAATCGGGATGCTAAATGGGTGGTAGGAATATCGAAATTCTGTGGGGTCACGAACCACTGTCCATAGATGTAAAAGCCGTCAAGTGTAATCGCGTTTTGGTTGCAGTGTGTGGGTATACGAATATCCAAAGTCAGCCTCCATGCTTGTCTATTCTCCTCTAATATAAAAAAAAAAAACTACAAGGAAATACTAACTACTACTACTTTGAAAACTATTTATGACACTGGCTGGACAGTTCTTTTTTGTCTTAAAATACCTACTTCTCTATTTCTTTCAAGTTTAAATGATTTTTTATTAATAAGGCTAAAAGTAAGATAGGTTATAATTATGTATTACTTATGAATTTCGTCTTGGGATTTACTTAATTCCCCCCTGACTGAGTGCTATAGGGCCGTCTTGCATTGTAAGCAGGTGAAGTCCTAGATACGAATCTCGAAAGCTTAATTGTGTCGGTCAGAGAAAAAGGATCAATGTACAAAACGTTAATATAACATGACTAGCCGAGTCAGCGACTTCGTCCGCGTAGAATTCGGAAATCCAAATTTGTTTTTTCAAACCTCCACATTTTTGTAAATGTAAGCTGTTACCCACGACGTCTTTGCATATAGCATCGCTCACTTTTTTTTAGATCATTTAAAGAGGAATCATGCTTTCATTAATTTTTTTAGTAGTTTATTAGTATAGATATAGATATAACCCATTGTTTTAATATTTACATTATTATATTTTTTAAGATCTGTGGCAGATCCTCTGTTGTACATAGTCTGTTGCTTTTTTTTTAGTCGTACCTGTCACGATGATCCTGAATTATTGCGATCCATTACCGGCCTGCTAAGTGACGGAAGGCGATGAAAAAGGCATCACATCAGACATGGATGGCGTGAAGAAAATTCATTCGGGGACTCTTTACCGGTGAGTAATAGTAATTATATCGTGGGAAAATGCGGTGCCAACTGTGGAAAGTGAAAATGTGCCTACGTAAGTCTATAAAGAATAGATAGATAATTGCGGATAGTCCTATCATCCATTTAAGGACTAAAATCTCCAGACAAAGCCGCTGGCACAGCTACTATGTATTATAAAGCTAGAGAGTTTGTTTGTTTATTTATTAACACGCTGTAATCTTAGACATTGCTGGTTCAAATTGAAAAACTTGGTCAGACCACATCAAAAAGAACCACCAAGGCCACCTTATGGTGGTGGCGAAACAACCGTTCGGTTTGGTCGACGTGAGCGAGAAGAGCGGCATTATCAGTAGATGTTAGCTCTTCGATTTCTCGAAGAATGACGATAAGAAAAACAATGATATGCAGAACAATGGCCGTGAAAGCATTACACATTATTGTAAGAACCATAACCGTTTTTATGGGAATCAGAATTTGTCGAAATACTTAATACGTTCCCCTTGTCCACTAGTGTTGAACAAGAAGAATTAGTAGTGTAATCTAATGAAAACAATGCTAGCTATAACGAAACTATTTCTACTTATAACATCTATCCCAATGACAAATGTGGGCAGGATAACCTCATTCTTGTAGTAACATCTATTAGTTATACGAAGTTTAAATTTAGAATTACTGCGTGGTATTCTACGCATATCGCGTGAACGAAAGTGCGGAAAAATTTATACTATTTTGAGTTCAGTTATATAAAGTTTTATGTGAGCTGAGTAGTTCAAATGAGCAATTTAATAGTGAGAAATTATAAATGACACTAGCTGTCTCAGCGACTTCGTCCGCGAGAATCGTAATTTTGGGCTTCCAAATTCGTTTTGCAAACCCCTTTATAAACTTAACCCACGACGTCGGTCGCGTCCCTTCCCGTCGTTCTTGCAAAGTAATCACAGAAGATAGACTAATAGCGTCGCGGATTATTTTTAATCATCTAAAGAGGAATCATTGTCTCGTACATATTTTTTGGGTATCTTGAACCGTTTTTGCAGCGTACGCATCGGAGACCGATAATTATGAATAATTTTCCCAATTTGTGTCACATTTCTCGCTGTATCTTTGCTCCTATTAGTGTTTTATAGCCTTTTTCGATAAATGCTCTAACCAACACAAAATATTTTTTCCTGAGATTAGCGCGTTCAAACAAACAAACAAACTCTTCAGCTTTATATTTTAGTATAGATTTAATGGTGGAAACGATCGTCTTATTACCAAGATCTTCTAAAAAGATATTTCTATACATTTTTTAAGACATATCGTAATACTTAATTCTAAATGACCAGTCATTTTATTACCATTATTATTTTTTTACATAGTAACACTGATATATACACCTTTAATTATTCGAGAATCATTTTATCGTTTATCGATCTATGCTTGTTTGAAGAACAAAAAATCGGTTTGCAGTAAAATCGTATAGTGTTCGACTACGAAGATCGCATTGAATGGAGACTTACACGTTCGGAGCTCAATAAAATCCCTAATTGATATTTTAATCCGAAATGAGTGCAGCTGTGTAGACATAATTAAAATGGGTTTATAGATAAACCCTATATGGGACGGCTAAATGAATTAAAAATAATCTAAGTTTTATTGACATATTTCTAGTTTAGGTTAACGATGGTTGACGACCATGGATGGTAACCACTAGAGAAGCGCCGAGTGACATATTGCCGAGTAACGAGTACCGAGTTTTACTCGGCTCAATTTTTTCCCAATCGAGTACTCGGTCGAGTTACTCGGTTCAATCAAATTCCCATTCGCCGCGTAAACAAGTACAAACAGGTTCGCGCCGGTCAAGACGTAGGTTCACTCTCATCTTCTCGTAATTTTGTCTCATCACTACTCTTTAATTAGTATAGTTGTGATTTTATTAATAAAGATTTTCTAATTTACTAATAAACATATCATTGTCTTTCGGGCTGTTCGGCCGACGTGAACGAGAAGAGGTTAAATCTTCGAGCAATCGAGAAGTTAACATCTGCACACGTGATGGCGAAACGTCGAGAACCTCTTCTCGCTCACGTCGGCCGAACAGCTCGAAAGACAATGATATGTTGAACGATGGCGTGAAAGCCTCAACAATTTACTAATAAAACTTTTGTATTAACACTGTTGTTTAAATTATATCTATACGTATGTATACTCGGTATGAAATAACCGAGTTATTCGGCCGACTTCGAGTATCAACCGAGTACTCGGCCCATCTCTAGTAATCATACACTACTTACTATAACGACTTCGTCTGCGTCTGCGTCTGATTATAATATTGTTCTTCGTTTCTTCTACATTTCCCACTGTTTTAATTTAAACCAGTAGTAAGATAAATGGTTTCAAACAAACTGCAATGTTTGAAGTCAGGAACACTCGATTAATTCAGGTATGCATCGTTATAAGGTTGTGCCGTTGTCAATTTACATTTTGTCTTGAGCATATTTCTTATTATCGTCCTTGGAACTGTAACCTACTTATTCGAGCTTGAATACTGAAAATATAAATTGCGCATACTTAATTCACGTTCACCTTGAGACTTCATATTTCTATACTAATCTTTATGAATCGGTTAGACATCGTTTTTTTTAATAATAGAGAAGGACAGATAAGCAAGGGTTTACTTGATGGTAGGTGAAATACTCCAGCCTATAGCATCTAAACAAAGAAAGCTCGCCTATTTCGGCTTTGGATATTCGGAAATCCACAGACTGAAACCGGAACGCGATTAAACTTCACGGCTTTTTTATCTGTAGATGGTGGTGCGTGACCCGGACGGAATTTCGATATTCCTACCATACATTTAATATCTAAATTTCCAGATGAAGTCTAATAGGTTTCATGTCGATAGGTTTGATTAGAAAAATGTTGGACATTGCTATCATTACACCAACGAACCGTCAAACTGAAAACAATACTTGGCCGGGCTGAAAAGTAGGTCATTTCAGTGGGAACCACATTTTCCTCTTGTAAACTGTAAAAGGAGGAAATTAGAAAATCCTTTCAGTTCGTATATTTGTTATAAAACGCCGAGACTCCGGGGCGTACGAGCTATTGCCCGTTCATGAGGTGAATAAAGTCTACTTGAAATTCCGTAGCGAACTCTAAGAAACCACAGTATAATTTCATTGAAATTCAGTATCGGAGTGCGGTAACCGTGGCGCAAGTTGAATGCTATTGAATAGACGCTATGACATATTCATAGTGTCGCCTTGCTTCCGAATTATGTTGGAATTTCGTCTAGCAGTGCGACGCTGGTTCCATCACGAGCGGAAGCGTGAACGAGAAGCTCAACTTACGTAGTTGCGTATAATCATATAGACTTACGTATTAATCATATTATCTCAGAAAAAAGTAAAATATTTTTCAAAATGAACTATTTTTCTTATTCAGTTTCTCACTTTGAACTGTGACACTTGTTAAGGAACTGTCTCTAAGTATATACCTATATATATTTATACATTGCTAAGTTAGTTAGTTAGTTAGTTAGTCTTAAATACACAGACATTGCTTTTGCAATATTTTTTCTTAACCTCGCAGTATTCTTAAAATAGTGTTTACGATATTTGCTGAAATATATTGTAATCATTTAAATAAAACACTTTAACGGTTCAAAACGCGAAATATATTCGTTAAACTTGTTGATAATTTATTATAACTACGGCCCGATGTTATATTGTAATCGTTACAGACTTAAATATATTATCTTAGAGTGTAAGCGCTCTCAAATTGTATTTTATTCGAGATTTTTTAATATCTACTTGTTACACACTTGTCGCTTACTGCTCGTCGCTGTTATTGTATCCGCGACCTTACGAGTGAGAATCGGGGGGTATGAGGCGGTATCGCCACTCTTGTGTTGTGATGTGTCATTGTCTCCTACTAAACAGCTTGTATAGTCTCATTGGACGGATGGAAGTGTTTTTGATATAGGTATCATACTTTAGGATTACATCTCATTTCTATACTAGGAACTACCCATTCTTTGTTTGTTTAAACAATGGAATTAAATCAGGGCTATTTGTGTTGAAAATTTTTACGGGATCGTTGGTCTAATGGCGTATGGCCAATGATCAACGGGTCGCGGGTTCGCTCCCAAACGGGTCCAACGTGTTTCAAATTTTTCTGAAAATTCTGAAATCTGGATTTAAAGGCGTGGTAGGAATGTAGAAACCCGTCCGGGTCACGACCACGGTCCACAGATGAAAACGCCGTGAAACTAAATCGCGTTTCAGTCTGTGGATTTCCGAATATCCAAAGCCAAAATAGATTGACAGCGCATCTTGTTTAGTCCTCCCCTATCATTAATGAAGCAAGAGAATTTAGGACATTTTCTTTAGATTTATTACACGTTGCATTTTTCTTTGAGACCGGTGTGAAAATGTTTGTAATTGTTGTTGTTTTTCTTAGTAATTATAGGTTTTCCATTTAATTATTATATTTAGTATAGTAGAGTAGGTAAGTATTTTATTTAAGGGTTAATATATTACATCTTAAAAAAAATGCTGAAAAATATTTACGTAATTATATAAAAAAGGGGAAATGACTTCCGCATCTCTTAAAAGAATATTTACTCACTCCTACAACGCGTCCGACATGTTTGTTAACGAGTGCGTAAATATGTATGTGTTAACAATTTGTCTATTGTAAGGAAAAGGTCAAACAGCTCGCCCCCCGAGTCAAACAGTGTCAAGTAGCTGTGAACACAACTTGTAATGAGCTTATTGGATGACGCTTTATGGTCTTGTGGTGCCTTTTAGTGAGATCGGCTACAGCTTTAACGGTTTAAAACGCGGAGTATATAATTTACAGCAATGCAATTAGTTAAACGTATTTATGATCTTTATTAAAACTTAAGCAATAATGGGTAATAGTTAAATTAAATGCAATAATATACGAAAAATATTTTTAATTTTATAAATAATTTACCTTTGCCAAAGCAAACTTATAGATTAATTTTTAAATGTCATT